GCTAACTTAAACCGGTATAGCTTAGTGTATTAATATAGGAAGGTGTCTTCTAATAATAGATAGTATTATAAATAATTATAAAGTTATTATAAAAAGTTTTATATAATAAATTTAATTAAGTTAATCTTTAAAAGATACATTATATTTTATTCTTTTAAAACCTTAATTATTTACTTTTAATTTAATAGTAGAATTAAAAAAATATAAATAGTTTATATATATATATATATATATATATATATATTTAAAGGGATAATTTTAGTTAGGCTTTCCTTAATATAATTTATTTATATAATAATTATTTTTAAATTTAATTTTATTATATAACTTTTTATAATATTTTAATTAATACTATTATTAAAATAATACCTTTTAACTTTATTTATATATTATAAAATTAAAGTTATAAATATTTATTATATTATAATTATTATTATTAATATTATATTCTTTTAAATATTAAGTTTTAAGTAATTATTATTATATAAAAAACTATATATATTTTTAAATATATATAAAATAGAAGAAAATTATATATATTAATAAGACTTTTATTAATTAAGTATTATAACTTTTATTTAAATATATAACTATTAATTTTAAAAGAATTTAAAATAAAGAAATAATTTATAATATATTATTTTAAATTTTTATAATAAAATATTAAAATTTTAAAAATAATTTATAATAAAATAAAAGAATATAATAAATTTATTCTTTTTAGTTTATATTTTATTATTAATAATTATTAACTTTTAATAATATAAAAATAAAAAAATAAAAAAGTAAATTTAAAATTCCTTTATAAAAGAATTATAAAGATATATATAAAACTATTAAAGACTTTATATATAAGCTTTAAACTATTAAAGAAGAAATAAGTAACTAAATTAAAAAATAATTATATAGTATAAAGGAAAAATATAGTGTAGCTGAAGTTATATTAGTAAATATAGTAAATAATAAGAGGGTATGATAGAACTTGTGCTGTAACGATAGAGGTTTAGGTCCACTAACTAGTGCGAGACCGAGGTTCTCTTGGGGCGGCAGTTGGCCAACGGCAATGCCTGGATTGCGGTAGATGTAAATCTATAGATGCCTTTCTCAATGTTGAATTTGTGGCGTGGTTCTGCGAAGAACTCGTCGTTCTTACGCATCGAATGGAAGTATGACAGGGTCTTGTTCGTGCCCTGCTCGTACGCGATCTTGGCCTTTTGGGTCATGATTTTGCCTCCTAGATACATTGGTTTCCGGACAATTTTCAACTTGTGGGTCCGACCCGTGACAGCACAAGAGAAAGAGGCAATCACCAGGTCTGGTATCCCGATCGGACAAGACCTGGAGTGCCTTGGAGTTTCGATGGACATCACCACCTGTCGAGCAAAACTTGAAAGGAGTCAATTGGCCATGTCCCAACCATGAACCCAGATCTTGTCCCCTACTTCAAGGGATGGTTTCGCAATGCCATTGTTAATGCCAATTTCGTGGAGCTGGGGCAGAACGAGTACCACGTCTACGCCGAGGTGCCCGAGTCAAGGACCTCGGGAAGGAGGACTACACTGCAGCGTTTACCCAGCTCTTATCCGTCGGGCAACCCGTCGAGATCACATTCTGGCCCAAGAATACGTTATGGCTACCCAACGAGGGCGACCAACACTGGAAGTGTACCAAGTCAGTCATGACATGGAGAGGAAAATCCTCCCCTTGGTTTCCGAGGTCGATCCTCGGACCCGAAACCCTCCAAACTTCCGGCTCTGGGTGCGACGATCTGTCCGAGACTTCGGCAGAATGGTTGGCCTGGTCAACAATTCCAGAGCCGCGGTTCCCGAGCTCTGCGACATGGACGTTCATGCTGCTGGTACCCTTGGCGACAACACCCAACCCGAGGGCATCTGTCTAGGTACCTTAAGCTCATCCCATCCACCAACATAACCAAGAGCAGGTTAGCAGCAATTATACAAATCTTCGGACACTCACACTATGACCTCGACGCTCATCAAGATAGAATATAATTCCACCCTAAGGCAGAGGAAGAGTCTAATACTAGATAGCCTACCGACTTCTCGAAAGCCCGGGGTAACTAATTTAATAATAAGCTCTATTATAGCTAAGAAGTCCTAACTAATTTATTTAAACTTTTTACTATAAGAGATAAGTTTAAGTTTATTTAAAGTAATAATTTAATTTATTAATATATTTATTAAAACGTTTTTTATATTAATATAATTATAGTTATTAATATTATATTTTTTTAAACTTTAAGTTTTAAATATTTATTATTATATAAAAGTATTATATATATCTTTAAATATATATAAAATATAAATAAAACTATACTTTATATATTAAAGTCTTTATATATTAATTTAAATTAACTTTTATAATTTTACTTTTATTTTATATATATTTAAAAGAATATAATATTAAGAATAATAATTATAATATAATAAATATTTATAATTTTAACTTTATAATATATAAATAAAGTTAAAAGTATTATTTTAATAATAATATTAATTAAAATATTATAAAAGGTTATATAATAAAATTAAATTTAAAAATAATTATTATATAAATAAATTATATTAAAGAAAGTTTAATTAAAAATTATTCTTTTAAATATAAATATATATTTTATAATATAACTTTTATTAAATAAATTATAATAAATAAGTAAAGGGGTAAGTAGTTAACTTTAAAAAGTGTATAGTTAGGTTATTATTTAAGTAAGGTTATAGGTAGTTAAGTTAAAAGCCCTAGCCTTAGTTTAAAAAACCTATTAACTAATTTAATACCTAAGTTAGAAATTTAATTAACTTACTTACACCCCTTTATACTTATTATATAAATATTATAGTTTTTATTTAAATATATAATTAACTTTAAAAGAATTTAAAATAAAGAAATAATTTATAATATATTCTTTTAAAATATTTATAATAAAATAAAGAAAAATATAATAAGTTTATCTTTTTAAGTTTATGTTTTTATTATTAATAATTATTAACTTTTAATAATATAGAAGATTATAATAAAAATAAATAAAAGAATAAATTTAAAGTTTTTTATAAAAAATTATAAAAATATATAGTTTTACTTTTATTCTATATATATTTAAGAATATATGTAATACTTTTATATAATAATAAATATTTAAAATTTAATATTTAAAAGAATATAATATTAATAATAATAATTATAATATAATAAATATTTATAATTTTAACTTTATAATATATAAATAAAATTAAAGAGTATTATTTTAATAATAATATTAATTAAAATATTATAAAAGAGTTATATAATAAAATTAAATTTAAAAATAATTACTATATAAATAAATTATATTAAAGGAAACTTAACTAAAATTATCCCTTTAAATATATATATATATATACTTTAATAAAATCTTTCCTAAATAAGTATTATAACCTTTATTTAAATATATAACTATTAATTTTAAAAACTTAAAATAAAAAAATAATTTATAATATACTACCTTTAAAACTTTTATAATAAAGTGTTAAAACTCTTAAAGAGAGTTTTAAAAGTAATTTATAAAAATAATATCCTTCTTTAAATCTACACTCTTATTATTAATAATTATTAACTCTTTAATAATATAAAAAAGTATAATAACTTTAAAAGAAAGAATAAATTTAAAGTTCCTTTATAAAAAAACTATAAAAAATATATAAAACTATTAAAAACTTTATATATAAATTTTAAAAGAAAGAAATAAGTAGTTAAATTAAAAGATAGTTATATAATATAAAGAAAAAATATAGTGTGGTTAAAGCCTTATAAAAATATGTATAAAGTTATTAAAGACTTTATATATAAGTTTTAAACTAGAGAAGAAATAAGTAGTTATATAGTATAAAGGAAAAATATAGTGTGGCTAAAGCTATAGTGACTTTTAACCTGGCTGAACTGGAGACCGCGGAGTTCCGCCTTTCCTTAAGAGGAACAAGGCAGTGCTGCCCGCAAGCACCACAACTTGATCACGCACAGCAATGTCCTCTACAGGTGACGTTATTCTTGCTACGGATCTTAAAATGCTGTAGTGTAGAATATTCGGAAACATGAAAGACTGGAATCCATGGCAGGTGAAAAGTGACACTTGATGAGCCCCAACCCTAAGTCGGCCTTGCTCTACGATGTAAAGAGTCCTCCCTGCCGTCATCGTATACATAGCCTAGAAGAACTGGCATTTGTGCGGGCGGATGCCTCTGCTCTGACGGAATAGGATGTCCTCTTCCCCTTGACCATCATCCGGCTCATCCGTCGATTCAGGCCCACGGCCTCCTTGAAGGCTTTGAAAAATTGCTCGTTACCTGGTCCTGCCCGTCGGCAGGTACCTACGCCGTCGACGCCAGATACGTACATCATATCAAGTCTAGCTTGGAAGGGGACCAATCGAGGCGAAGGTGGATAGATCATGGGAGATATCAGTGTTTTCCAGACCCTTGTGTGCCTGGGCCTCCCAACGCGCCACAATAGCCTGGTGTCTTGAGTCAGGTTCCCGTCCTTAGGGCCGACAAAGACAGGAATACCTTCAATTGGTTGACCCAGATGCCTAATACTCTCAGAAAAGGCGTCGGCTGGGTTGTACGGATCAATGCTGCCTCAACCTACATGCTTTTTGACGCATTATACAGCCTCAAGAGTTTCATACGTTGCCATTCGTGCTTTTCGGTCCTAATGCTCCGAGTCCAGTCGAGAACCCAGTTCACCTCTTCCCACTCATATTCGGCTCTGAGGAGGTGAGCATCGCGAGGCTCTCAATAAGTTGTATGATCCTCTTGGAAACCTCAATGTACACCTGCAGAGCTGGCACGTCATACTTCGGAGTGAGAAAGTGGCCTCTGAGCATGCTGAGGAACGCAAAGACCTTCTCTCGCATAGTTGTGGACCTCGGCCAGCGCTTCGTTCAGCCTCTCTCCCTGGTGGTTCTCTCCGACCTGGGCGTGGGGGTTGCTCCAGTGGGTGAGCCTGTTTCAACAGATGTAGACTGCCTGCTTCATGTTGTAGCGATGAACGTTGAGGTTCATGAATTGGTCGTTCCGTTGCATGGCGTGAAAGTACCCGTCAGCCATGCTGCAAATCCAGGTCACCGGCGCGTCCATAGACACGATCCTGCTTTTGCCGTCGCGGAGCGAGAAGCCGACTTGGCCTTTGCACTTAATCTCAACCATAAGGTTGACGTCGGCGCCTGCCTGCCTCTCGCGTTTGGTGGAGCGGGGGGCGTTGTTCTTGTGGATGGCTCGTTCTGTGAAAGACCGCACCCTGGCAGTGCCAGAGCGCCTCTGACTCTCCTCGAGATCGTGAGTCAGTGTACCAATCAGGTAAGAGCAGTTGCTCTTTGTGCGTCAGCCGCCCTCGGAGTCACCTCCCTCGCAGAACGCGCCAGGGACCCAGCCGTTGGCGAAGATTTTGCCGATGGATATGGCAAATTCATCGTCGCTGACGACAGAACCGGGCAAGATCTTTGCCTTCACCATTTGCAAAATAGCCTTGAGTGAAAACTTGGCTTCCTGGGACAACCCAGCTTGGGTTTGCACGTTTCCGCCTGCCTGAAGCTGAACGCGAGGGCCTGCTGCGTGCCTAGAGCTCTTAGTCATCACAGGTGGCTGCTGGTTCATGTTGCCTTGGTATGGCGCGTGCTCGACGGCCTGATACGGAGGAGGAGGGTCGTCCATCTGTGTTGACGTTAGCAATAGCTGAGTGATGAAATCATAACCACTATCTTACCTTGGAAGTCTCGAAAGTTGAGAAGTCTGTTTAGTGGACGTCATGCTTCGGAGTGAAAAAGTGGCCTCTGAGCATGCTGAGGAACGCAAACACCTTCTCTCGCATAGTTCCGGCAGCGGGCCTCCTGTCGCTTCAGATTTATTGGCACGGCTGGTGGTTGCTTGAGCAAAATCGTTGCCCAGGTGACTGTCCATGAAGAAGCATCCATAGATGCTGCGTTGCTCAACACCTCCCAACCGGCACTGATATTCCCATAGTGCACTACGGCTTTTCTAGAGTACACAAACTCCTGTATGACCCAGTTTCTCTTTCACTGCCAGCGATTGGTCAGCAAAGGGTACATCGATCCCAGGTCAGGTGAAGCTCACATATGTACCCAAGCCCTCTCAATAATCTCCCAAACCGCGGCCCAAAGACCATTTACCCACTCACTGTATGAACTCTGTCATTCAACAGGTAACTCTGAAAAGGGAGTTTGGAATACAGAGAGTCGACGGCTCAGAAGACTGAGCAGGCAGAGGACCCTGTGGGACGCCATATGCGTGACACAGCTCCAGGAACTTGAAGATGCTATCTTCTCTCAATCACTCACTGAAACAGCCTCGATACGCCTTGCAGAGTTCGTCTTGATTATCCTCTCCCCAGTGGCAGTCTACTTGAGATTGAACACCCACGTACAGACCAATCGAAGACGGGCCACCGAGCCAGAATAGTATTTCTGAGGTAAAGAGGCAAGGCTGAATATTTCTTACATAATTGACCAGAATCACTTGTTGAGTTCGCTCGCGTGTATTTGACTGGTCGATACACAAATAGTCGCTACAGATATCGATGAGCGCCTGAAACTTCTGTCGGAGCCTGACGAGCGCGACAAAGAGCTTCTTCGGAACAGCGATCGGTATGTTGTTGCAGGAGACAATTATATCACCGGCCGGTGCCTTCCGCAGCTTCATGGGCTCTTCCTAAGCATATTAGAGCGCATAGTACGACCATGGTGTATTAGATTCGACGCTGGGCAAGGTGATGACCCGGAGCTCGCATTCCACTGCCCAAGTGGGGAAGAAAGAGTCGATGTCCCGCGCGCCCAGAGAGTCAAGAGACATATACTTCTCTTATGTGAACTTATTTCTCTCGTAAAATAGTGTTTGAAACATCGGTGGCGTGCCTACCCAGGCCGCCGTGAGCATGTGAGCACCGCATCACTTTTTAGAGCAACAGGTACCAGTGATGCGCCTCATCATCACGAAACCATATTGATGCACCGGCAGAGGGGAATCAGACGCCAGATGAAAGCGCAAGCGACCCCAAGGACCTTCCAAATGAAACAATCAAGGTCTGGCAGCCAGGACTCAAGCACACTGTAAACCTGAGGCTGGGTACCAAGGTAGGCAACACTATGGTCTCTTCTTACATACCTGAAGTGTGGACTGTGCCAAAATTAACCGCATTCAATCCCGGTCTTGGTTCCTATAGCCAGAAACTTTGTCTCAGAATCGTGTTGGTTGACCTAAGTGGTTGGGTCAGGCATTACCTTCTATTTACTTTGGCTTGAGTAATGAACCCAGGAAAGCCTTAAGTCCATGCGTATTCCTTGGATGTGCACACTAAAGCAGCAGTTGACAGAAAAGTATTTTGGTATTCAACGCATTTATAAGCAAACATTGATTAGAGCCATTCAGGCATCAAAGGTACAAAGGAATCCACGCCCGGACGTCATAAGTAACGAGAAAACCCCCAAGATGGAGTGAAGCTCATTCATTTCTTCCACTGTCCGGCATCCCGAGACCCCTTGGCCACATCGGACAGACCATTCTCAACACCTGTTCCGACGTTCGCAAGCCCATCTCCGAGAGGTTGTCCGATGCCACTAAATACGGTGTTAAATCCTAGCACGGGCCCTCGAGTTGCATTTTATAACGTTCCACAAACATGAAGGACTGTAGTATGATCCAAGGGCAGGAGAAAAGAGATGCTTACCCAGTCACACCATTCACGGTTTCCCCAAGGCCGCGTGTTGCTCCACCGACAACGCCGCTAGTGGTGAAGTTAGTCCTGCTACGGGTCCTAAAGTGTTGTATTCTAGAATATTCCAAAACATGAAAGACGGGGATCTGTAAAAGGTGAAAAGTGATGCTTGCCCCAATGTGTTGCTCACGCCCGAGACGGTGTTGCTATCATGTGTTAGCCAACTGCTGCGGATCCCTAGGTGATGTGCTCTGGGCCCGCTCCAGATCAGGGAAAAAGAGGGACCCGTAGTAGGATAAGTATGGAACCTAGGTACCCGAGAATTCCACTAGCGGTCTTAGCTGCTCCTGTGACGCCGTTGTCTGAGTTCTTGTTCATTTTGAGGGCTGGTGGTGACAATAGGCCGAGTTAGTGTGTGTGTTCACTGTGTAATATTTGACTTAAAATTGGAGAGGCTGTGCAGAAAGTTCAGGTCAATTAATAATATTCGAAAGATTTCCGAAGAGATTCAAAGGAAATGGACGTCAATATATAAACGTGGCACAGCACAGGCAGCCTGGACAAAGCATGTGTACCGTACGTAGGTCGTCATCAGCCAAATGCGGGATGATGTCATTTGTGTGTGGCACACATCAGCTGTGCCACACCCACCCCCCTGCGTGGAAACAGGGGTATCAGGCGGGAGCATCTTGCTATCTCGGAAAAACGAAGCAAAGCCCCCCCCCGGTTAAATACTGTAAAAATACGTTTCCAAATAGTTAATAAAGAAATACTATTTTTATATATATAATTACTAAAAATGGTTAAACTATAAAGGGCTTTATTAAATAAAAGCATTTAAATACTAAATAAAGAATATTTAATATATAAATAAAGGGGTAGAAAGCTTATTAGTTAATAGTTAAAATTTAATATTATTTATACTTAAATTCTTAGAGATTATAAGGCCTAAATCTTTAATTCTAATTAAGTTAATTAATACCTTTTTAAATTAAATAATAATAGCTATTATAATTAATTAAAAAGAGTTATATAATACTCTTTACTTATATTATTAATAATATATTTAAAACTATCTTTAATATTTTTATAACTTAATAAAACTATATTTATAAAATAATAAAAATATCTTTATATTTCTCTTTTATATTTTATTTAATAAAAATATTTTTAAAAATATTTATATAATCTTTTATATATAAAATTATTTAAAAATAACTATTTTATAAAATTTATATTAAAATTATTTTATAAAAATATTATATTATAACCCTTATTTTATTTATACTCTATAACTATATTTTACCTTAAAAAATAAAAATTTTATATTATATTTAAATACCTTTTAATTATAAATACTTTTTTATAACTTAATTTTATAATTATTTTTAAATAAAATAAAATCTATTTATATTTATATTTTAAAATTATAAAAATCTTTATAAATAAATTTACTTTTAACTCTTTATCTATAAATATTCTAAAATATTTATATTAAAATTACTTTATAAATTTTAAAATAAAACCTTTTAATATAAAAGTTTATAATACTTTATATAAAAGTTAAACCTATTTTATTAGAAAATATTTAAAATAATATATTTAAATTTAATAATTATAATTAATTTATTAATTTTATATTAAAAATTTAAATTAAAAATATTTTTAATTTTAAAATATTTTTATTTCTAATAATTATAGTTAAAAACTATAAAAATACTTTTAATTTATACTTTAATTTAATAAATATTATAATATAAAATTAAATAAAGTTATAAATTATATTAAAAATATTTATTAATTTATAAAGAATTTATTAATATATATTTTATAAGAATATTAAAAATTAAAATATATATATATATATATATATATAAATATAAATAAATTTATAAAATATTTATAAAATATTTATAAAATATAACTTTATTTAAAATTTAAAGTCTTTAAATTAAAAGGTTTATTAAATTATATTATATAGTTTATTAAAATTTAAACCTTTTATTAAAAGAAAATCTTATTAAAAAAATAATAATTTTAAAATTTAATACTTAAAAGATTAAAAGTATTAATTTATATATAACTTATAATAATAAATAATCTATTTATATATATAAAAATATAAAACTATTAAAATAATATAAAAAACTATAAAATTTATATTAATTTACTAAATTTATTATTAAATTTTATTATTAAAAGAATTTTAATACTTTATTTAATAATTTTAATATTATAAAAACTATTTAAATAAAATTAATTTAATAATTATAGATTTATTTATTAATAATATAAAACTATTAAATTAAGTAATTATAATATAGATATTAAACTTATTAAATAATAAATATATTAAATTTATTTAAAATATTATTTAAAGTTTATAAAAGATTATAATAGTTATAATATAAAAATATATTTTTAGCTTTATTAATAAATTAAAAAGAAAAATAAATAAAAATAAAAATACTTTTATTATTAAAAATAATAATAAAAATAAGAAAAATAAAAAATATATTATAGTATACCTATTATAAAATAAAAGGTTATATTAAAAATAATTATTATTTTCTTTACCTTAAAAAGTATTAAAAAGTTAGAAAAATAAAATAAAATTAATAAAAATTATAATAATTTTTAGAAAAACTTTAAAAATAATAAAGAAAAAGGAAATTTTTAAAATAAACTATTAACTATTTATAATAAAATTAATAAAGAAAGTAATAATAAAAATAAAAAAGAAAATAAATATAATATAAAAATCTTTTAATCTAAAAGAAAACAATTATTAAAATTTAATTTATAAAATTATTATAATAATAATATAAACTATAAGAAAATATAAAATATACTCTATATATAATAAATTCTTAATAATAATAATATTATTAATAAAAATCTAAACTATATAAATAATATAATATATATAAAAATAATTTAAAAATAAATAAAATAAAATTTACTTTAAATATATATATAAATATATCTATTATAAAATATAAATCTTTTAAGTAATATTAAATATATAAATATTAATATTAATTAAAAATATTAGTAAAATAAATATTAAAATAAAAAGACTTAAAAATAAATATAAATAATAAAGATATAATTTTAAATAATATATATTATACTTTAAAATTTAATATAAATATATTAGATTTTAAAACTATAAAGTATACATATAATATAATATTTAAAAATAATATAATAAAAGTAATAAATAAAATCTTTAATAAAATAAAATAATAAATTATTATAAAATAAATTACCTTATATTAAAATAAATACTTATATAAATATAAATAAAATAAATAACTATTAAATATAAGTAAAACCTTCCTTTAACTATTAATAAAGATTTATTAGATATATATTTATAGTATTATAAGTTAAAGTATATATATATAGACTCTTTACTTATAATATTAAAAATAATAATATAAATATTAAATTTTTAAAAATATAAAAGTATTATTATATAAATATAATATATACCTAAAGTTAAATATAATATTAAAATAAATAAAATAAATAATAATTTATATAATTATAATATATTAGAGAATATATAGTAATATAGTTAATCCTTTTAAAAATATTTATAATAATTATAAATATTATATATTATTTTAAATAAAAGATTAAATATTTATATATAAATCTATTAAAGTTTAAAATTAAATATTAAAATCTTTTAATAAATATAAAAATATAATAGAAAATAAAATAAATAAGAGAATAAAAGAATTTAATATTAATAATAGTATTAAATATATTAATAAAAATTTAAAATAATATTAAATAATAATAGTATTATATATAATAATACCTCTTTATATAAAAGAATTTAATGGTTTTATAGAAAGAAGGAATTTAATAATATTAAATAAAATAAAATACTTATTATTATAAGCTAATTTATTATATAAGCTATAGGGGAAGCTATTATATTTAGTATATATTTATATAATATTATACTCTAAAAGATTTAAGGTGAAAAACCCTATATAATCTATTATATAATTATAATCTACTTATAAATTATATTAAATTATAGGATTTATAATATATTATAATAATAATAAAAATAAAATAAACTAAACTTTAAAATAGAAAAAGGGTATTAGTTAATTTTAATAAAATAATAAAATATATAAAATATATATTAATAATAAAATAATATAAACTAAAAATATAAATATCTTAGAAGGTAAATATATTATAAATAAAGATAATAATTCTATATTTAAAAAATAAAAATAAAATTATATAATAATAATAATAATAATAATAATAATAATAATAATAATAATAATAATAATAATAATAATAATAATAATAATAATAATAATAATAATAATAATAATAATAATAATAATAATAATAATAATAATAATAATAATAATAATAATAATAATAATAATAATAATAATAATAATAATAATAATAATAATAATAATAATAATAATAATAATAATAATAATAATAATAATAATATAATAGAATCTTATATAAATTACTACCTTATACTAGAAGAAAGGATTTTAAAATATAAAGCTTTATATATTATAAAGGATATATTATTAAATAATTAAATAATAATATTAGAAAATAATATAAAAACCCTATATATACTAACTATAAGTGGAATAAATAAGCCCTCTAGCCTAAAAAGGCTATATATAAAGAAAAAGTACCTTATTAGGTAAAAACTATAAAAATAAAGTTAATTTATTTATAAGTTAAAATATATATAATATAATAAATATAAATAATATACTTAATATCTATAAGCCTTTAGGGAAAGTAGGTATTTAAAAAAATTTATAAATAACCCTAATATAATAAAGCTTTATTAGGTAACTAATAAATTAAATAATATATACTATAAAGTTTATTAAATAATATAAGGTTTTAATTAAAAATTAAGAATAAATTACTTAGAAACCTTTACTATAATTTATAAATTAAAAATATAAATATTATTATTAATAATAGTAATAAATAAAAACTATTATATATATAGTTATAATATAAAAATATATTTTATACTTTAATATTAATAAAGAAATATATATAAAATTACCTTCTTATATATATAAAAGGTAGTATAGGGTTATTAAATAAAGCTTTATATAACTTAAAATAAAACCTTAATTTATAATATAAATATTTAAAAAGAATTAAATAAATTAAAATTTAAATCCTACCTTTATAATAAAGGAATATTTATAAATAATAAAGAAAATATTATATTAATATACTATGTTAATAATATAATAATAATAAGTAGTAATAATAATAAAGTTAATAATATAATAAATAAAATAAAAGAAATTATAAATATAAACTATTAAAGAAAATTAACTTCCTTTTAGAAAATAATATAATAATAAATAAAAAAAAAACTCTAACTATAAATTAAAATAGATATACTAATAAAATACTTAAAAATTTAATATAAAAATAATAAGAATATAAAACCTAAATTAACTCCTTTTATACTTAGAAAAAATTAATAAAAATATAAATTAAGCCTTAAAAATAAAATAAATAATTACTAAAAATAAAATAAATACTATATTATATTTAGGTTTAAAAGTTATATAAATATAATATATTCTATATATAATCTAGTTAGATATATATTTAATTCTAGTAAAAGTATTTTAAAAACTAAATAAGTTATAAGAATATATATTAAAATTCCTTAAATTATTTAAAATATATAAATATAATAAAAATTAAATTTATATAAATATTTTAACTTTAATTAGGTAATAACCTAAATAATAAATAATTTATATTTAATTATATATTTATATTCTTTAAAAATAATAAAATAATTAACCCTATGTTATAATTTATAATTATAAAAATACCTATATTAAGTAGTTATAAAATTAAATATATAGCTTTAAAAGAAGCTTTTAAAAGCTATATATTTATATAATTTATTAAAATATTTTAATATAAATTTAAATTTAAATTTAGAATTAAATAAACCTATTATATATATAAATAATAATACTACTATTAGTTTAGCTAAAAATTAAGTTTTTATAAAAACTAAATATATAAATATAATATATTATTATACCCGAAATTTAATAAAAGAGGTTAATAACTATAAAATATATACTTTTAAAGAAAAATATAGCTAATTAGTATATTAAATTAATTAAAAGACTATTATTTATTAAATTTAAAGATTTATATAATTTAAAAGAAAATTAATAATAAGTTTAATACCTTTATTTATTAATATATTATAAAATAAAATAAAAATAAAATATTATAATACTTTAAATAATAACTTATAAAATAATATAAAACTAATAAAAGTTGAAATAATAGGTTTTATCTTAATAATTTATATAGTATATATAAGCTATATATATTATATATACTATATATAAAATATATAAAAGTTAAATATATAGTTTAATAAAATTACTATATAAATATAGTTTTATAAATATTATAGTATAAATATAAACTTTTAACTTAAATTATAAAAATAACCTTATAAACTATAAACCTATAATATAATATAATAATAACGTAAATAACCTATATAAAATAAATATTAAATAAAAATAATATATTTAAATTATAAAAGTTTAAGTTTAAATTGTACTTAAAGTAAATTTTAAGATTTTTACTTATATAATAGTATATTTTTCCTATAATAAAAGGTTTTTATTACTAATAAAAGTACTATTTTCCCTTTTATAAAAGGTTTTAATATAATAAATAGTATATTTTTCCTATATATTAGGTTTTATTACTATATAAAATAAGTTATTTTTTCCTTTATAAAGGTTTATAACTTAATAAAAATAGTTTTTTCCTTAAAAATTAAGGTTTTTAACTATTAAATATTTTTATATTTTTAATCTATATATATATATATAAATAAATATATATATATAGCTTATAGGGGCTATAAAAATATATTTCTAAATAATTAATAAAGAAATACTATTTTTATATATATAATTACTAAAAATAGTTAAACTATAAAGGGCTTCATTAGATAAAAGCGTCTAAATACTAAATAAAGGATATTTAGTATATAAATAAAGGAGTGGAAAGCCTATTAGTTAATAGTTAAAATTCAACGCTATTCACACTTAAATTCTTAGAAATACCCCCTATTTAATAGTTAAACTATTTCTTAGCTCCCTTTTAAAAGTAATCTTTTTTATATAACTTTCTTAATAATTAACTTAAAAATATATAAAAAATATATTTATAATCCTTATTAAAATCTCTATTTATCTATATTTTTAGAATATTTATTATTATACTTTTATTATAAGAGGTATAGAGGTTATTTAGGTTGATAAGATAAGGAGATGTACAGACCTATTAGTTAGTTTTAAGTAATCAGCTTATAGTCCTAATAATATATAAACTTTAAGTAAAAATTGTTCTAAAAATATAGTTAGATAGAGATTTTAATAAGGATTATAAATATATTCTTTATATATTTTTAAGTTAATTATTAAGATAGATATTAAGAAAAGATTACTTTAAAAGGGAGTGGTTTAACTTTTAAACAGGGGGTATTTAACCGGGGGGGGGCTCTGCTTCGTTTTTCTGAGACAGTGGTTGGCGAGGACTGCACATGGAGAGAAGTGCTTGAGATCTAGATCGCTGGAAACGAGCTGTGATTTGATTTGGTGTGTTGATGGCGCCGTAGACCGCAGGCTAGCGTAAAGGTTATGCTGTTCATCCACTCTCCTGTGCCCGCGGGCGCCATAAAATCCAGGCTTTCCAAGGCTCACAGAGCAGCATTGATCGAGACTCCCCCCACGACTATTCGCACAACACCAATCATCCTTCCCCGATTCCGATACATAGAGTCCAAGATCTAGGTGTTTCAAGGGAGACCCTGTGTCAAAATCCTTGTACCTAGGTAAGGAGGATTTTCAAAAGCATCTGTTGCCATTCAAGCCATTTAAGCAAGAAAACTCAAGCCACACGTGTGGCGCGTCCGGTTTCCAACGTCATCTCATCAACCGAATACGGCATCCCGACCTTTCTCGGAATCAGCATGTTATTTGAGCCCGTGATTTAAAGATAAAAATAAAAACAGGCTGTATTTCAATCTGGTTATAATTTTTCTATCTCTAATCTAGTTATGATGTTTCTAAAGAGAGAAATTATCGCTGTTCAATCCAGAGCGTTGATGGGTCAATCTTCAGTGTTCCTTTCTCTGCGCGCCCACGCTTCCAATCCACCGGCCCCCTCCCCTTTTGGGAGTTGTCTTTCCACTTCTATTGAAGTCTATTTTTGGACTTCACACAAGTCGATTCCGGTCCAATATTAGTAGTCGCTAGGGCCTGACTGGTTCTGAAAAAGACAAACAAGTTTGCAAACAATCTCTTATCCTTTTATTCGCGCCCCTCACTTCCTGTCCACTTCATCAGGGCCGGCCTCTTTTTCCGGGCTGCTAGTCCCCGTGCCTTGAGTGCTGTTGCTGGCGGCAGCACGATCTGAAGTCTTCGAGCTGGATTTGCCGTTGGCGTTCTGACCCTCAGGTGAGGGAGTACGAGTACTGTCCCGCTGTGCATCGTGCGACTGCCCGGAGGGCCTGGCCCCATAATCAGAAGGCCTCACGACAGCCCGGTCCTTTCATTTCCGATCTGGCGTGAAGCTAGCTGCACGAGGGTCGAGTCTGAAATGAGGCCGAGGCTTTTCCTCCATGGGCTCGGGCTGCTCCTGCTGCTCCTGCTGCTCCTGCTGCTCCTGCTGCTCCTGCTGCTCCTGCTGCTCCTGCTCCTGCTGCTTCTGCTGCTTCTGAGGCTGCTGCTTCGGCAGCCTCTGGTGCCTGTTGCCCTTGAGACGGAGGGGACCTTCCTTGACCTCGATCTCCTCCTGCTTCTTCACCGTGGGGTCCCCCCACGAGATTCGAAGCCGGCACCTGTAGACAGGGATGCCCTGTAGCTGCCTAATAGCCATCAGGGCGTCGCGCCGCATCACGAACTGGACATAGGCACAGGTCTGTTCGGGCCTGTTCAGATATCGGATCTGGCCGTAGTTCTCGAAGAGGCCCCTGAGGTCGTCGTTGCTCACCGACCTGTCGATGCTGCCGACCACCAGGGTCGTGTTGGTCTGATCGGCAGCGTATCGGCGGAGCCTGTTTGGTGGCACCATGGGGTCTGGCGTGCACGCCATCTTGTCTGGAGCGTTGGCTATATAAGCCGAAACTCGATACGGGCTGTAGACTGGGCTGTAGCCGTAGTCGCGGTAAAGCCTGTTGTGAATGGGCGGTAGATAATGGACAAGACGGACAGACCCTTGGCCGGGGCGAATGCCTTTCCACCTCCCATGGCTGTCCATGGTGGCCATCTTGACGGTTTTGCACTGGTGTGCGTCCACCAGGTACGGGATCTGCACCCCGCTTGTTGGCTGGATGACCCATCCCCAGACTTGTTTCGGTACCTCCGCCACCAGGACTGGGGAAGTAAGCTCTATGCCGTGAATATCATAGTTCGGCATGATGAAGATCTTATCGGGATTGGATCCGGATACCGGGTGGTTAAGAACATGTGCCTCGAGCCACTTGCAGGAATAGCAATGCCCCTGGGAAGAGCAGACGGGATCGAAGACATGCGTGAGTATCATCGGAGGCTGCTGGCAGGGACCTTTCGGCCTGAGACAGTCGCAGTCGCGAATATTTGCTTTTTTACAGCAACGCATGATCGGGCCAGGCTGTGCCTGCGCTGATGGAGGTTGCTGAGTGTTTTCCATGATGGTTGAACTTGGTTGATGAGAGATTCAAGTCGACGTGAACAAAAGGTCCAGATTGGTGGCAGAAGCCTGACTTATGTGCAAGAGAGTAGTTCTTGATGTGATAGAACAGTGCAGGTGCCACAATGGTGTGTCGGATGGGAGGAAAGAGAAAGCAGACAAGAGGAGAGCGCGGGTTGCATATATCACTTGTGAGCATTTCGAGCAATTTCTTCAGACCAAGCAGGACTATAAATTACTAGCCAATGTTTCCACACCACTAAAGTCCCTAGTTACCAGCAAGGTCAACTTTTGGAAGTCACCAGATGAATTCTTTTAAGCAATTTATCCACCTGTTGTTACTAGGGGTAGAAGACGGTGCGAAACTGGGCAGCACTAGGGTAGTTTTGTTTCTATTCCCCATACATATAAAATATATGTCATGCCTTCATACAGTGGTAAACACTTAAGACACAGTGTTTTTAGAGAGAAAAAATATAGTGCTAATAACAGTGCAGAGAGAATATAGTACGTCTGTGGGCACCTGGCTTTAGTCTCCAGACAAGGCTGGAACTATGCAGCACTAATCCTTCTCTATAGCGTGGAAAGCTAACAATAATTGTCTGATTATCAATTCTTTGCAATTCTCACGGGCCCTATCATGGAACCAAACCACATGATCTGCAGCGGTGCCGCCGAGGATCAAGTTAGGCCTCGTATCAAATATTTGGTTGAGATCAAGTCTGCTGGCGGCACGAATACTGCCACGCACTAAGCAACCTTGTGAGGCACGCCTCCAGCCCGGTGGCTCGTCTTTGAATCCTATGCGTTGTCTGCATATCCAAGATAAGCCCGGCTAGGCCCTCGTCCTGGAAGGGGAAGCTACCCCGGGGTACACAGGCCTGAGATTCTGTAAGACATCGCTTTTGAGAAATCAGTCCTAGTCATCCAATAAGACTGTGCGCAAATTTTTGAGTCGCCCATTCCTGACAACCGCATAACATGACTTACCTATCACTAGTAGTTAAGTCCAAGCACCTCTAGCACTCGACTGGGGTTAACACTACGCCTGCACATGGTGACTACTTACTAATTATCAAATTTTGGCTTTTCTCAACTATACTAGAATTGTGAGCTTGCCGGGTGTCTTCAATAGCTTTGCTTGGATTTATGAACTTTCCATGTGAAGTCACACAGTGTCTGTGGAATGTACCCTAGGGTATGTAGTGTGAATTCATGTTGCCTGAAGCATAAGGATGATAGCAAATCATCTCGTTTCGCAGCTATCTTCCTTGTGTCACCAAACCCCTCGAAGACGAGCTGCATCCCAAATCCCATCATGAAATAGCAAAGTAGTAGTAAGGAAGCATCTCGAAGACCCATAAACTTGAAAAGTGCATCTGTCCCAGATCCGAACCCGCTCTTGAACTTGGCGTACCCAAATGCTGCACACCGGAAACGACGAACTAAATGCTGGTAGATGTGGTGTTCCCCACCCCTTGTGTCGTAGAAACGAAACGCCATGGCACAAAGATGCGGTCGGAATGGCAAAGCAGGAAGCCGAAAACCTCCCCGAGGACGACCAGGCCCAGGTTGCGCAATGCCGAAGGCGCAAGGCCATACGACCCTAGCACCAGTGTCACGACAGGGCTGACGATGTAGGACATCCATCTGAAGAGACCTGGCCGTCCAAGAAAGGATTGCGAGGCCTCCTCAAGGATCATGGCTGTGGAAGCAACCTCGTCTAGAGTACCAAGAATGTCGTTGGTCATGTTCTGGGCCTCGGACAAAGATCGGACGTGATCGTTTTGCCTCATAGAGAGGGTTACCGTTGCAGAAGTGAGAGTGTCCAAGCCTTGGGCGAGTGCTTGCTGCCGTTCAAACAGCTCTTGCAGTCCAAGTCGTGATAATTCCTGGGAGAGACCGCAATTGGTTAGCTACTCAGCAGACTATTATTGAAAGCAAAGTAACTCACGATCTCGTTGGTCAGTGACAAGGCAGACGCAGATGCTGTGGCCACAAGCGCGGCCCATCTATTGAGGTCTTTGCTTCCCTCGACAAAAACATCCATGCTCCTCTCCTGTGCTGCAGCAACATGGGACGTACCGTCGAGGACGGTCTGCATCATGACTGCAAGTATTCTCTGTAGGTTTGCGGCGTCCACGAGGCCGTTACTGATAGATTCGCCGGACCTTCTTAAGGCTATGTCTAGGTTGTCAGTGATGAAGCTGTCGGCCGTCGCTAATTTCTCTCTCAAACGGTCAAGCTCTGGCTCCAGGCTCGCAATCACATCGCCTGTTCTTTGCACTCGAAGCTCGAGACTTTCCATATGTTTTTGAATCTCAACCTCGACGCCGTGGGTCATCTTCGCCATCACTTGGATGAGGCGCTGGTAGAGGAGGATGTTCTGGGCTGCAGAGCAATTGTGTCAGTTGCATTTCCCACCGAGGCCTCCGTCTCGCCAGCTCACCTTTCTCTTGGTCTGCCCTCGCAGCCTCGCAGAATCTCAGAGCTTTGTGGCGGTAGCTGACCCATGTCGACCACGCCGAGTTTTCGGCGGCAAGGCCCGAAAGACAATGGTCGATCTCGCGAGAATTGACGTGGAGCCGTGCCTGTCCGCCGAGTGACAGCCGGCCGAGTGTGGGTTCGCGAAATTTGTCGCAGACGGAGGGGATGGTGAACCTGCCGCGCTCGAGGTCGCAGATTGCCATGCTCGCGGCGTAGGAGTCGACAAAGTCCCGAATCTGCCGACCGCTATCCGTGAGCACGGTCGCCTCGTCCTTCCCATCGAGTAGCTGGCAGTTGCCAACCAGCAGCCTCGCTGCAATCCTGTGGCAGAGGGGCTCGGACTCGAGATCTTGTAGCTCGCTCAGGGCGACGGTGTAGACCTCAGAGGGTTGCGACCCTGACTGGAGCATCTCGATCGGGCTGAGGTTGAAATCGTGGCGGGGGCTGGCGACCACCTGCTTCTTTCCTCCCCAAAAGGCGGTAACGACCTGGGCCCAGAAGACGGCGTACCAGAAGAAGCTGTGTTGAGTCATCGCCGCGATCGTTACTGGAAGGAAAGAGCGCAGGTGGGTGGGAGAAGTTAGGGGGTTGTCGTCAAGTTGCTGATGGGAATTGACGAGTTCAAGTGGAAAAGAAGGGCAGGGTGACAAGGGCGGTAGCAGCTACCATTTTGGAAACTGAAAGTTGCGAAAAGTGAGAGGTACCTCTTACCCAGATTGAACAAGCCTGGCCCAATCGTACTTGCGGGACAGGAGACCGGACGAAGGGCAGAATGGGAAAGGGTTGAAATCAAGAGGGCCATGCAAAGGACAAAACAATGGGAGGCTGGCCAGCTGAGGGCTTAAAATCCAGAAAGACTTGCAGGATCGAGGCAGGATCGAAGGTTGGCTTGCTTCTGTATTCATCTACTAATTTAGATACAGCACATTCGTACACAAGATTTGTCCAAAACTATCACCCATTCAGAATGACATCCGCCGCCTTCTCGCTGACCATAAAGATCGGAGCCTGGATGAAGATGCCGGGGATGCGCGGGAAAACACTGGCATCAACGACCCTCAGGCCCGTGACTCCCCTCACGCGGAACTTGCTGTCCAGGACCGCCAGCGGGTCGTCGTCAGCCCCGATCGGGCACGTACACGAGGCATGGTGGCCCCAGGCGTGGTCCTTGATGTACGTCCTCAGGTCGGCGTCCGACACAACGCTGGGGCCGGGCCGCTCCTCGACGAAGTCGTCGCCGCCGAGGATGCCGTACGACTTGTACCGGCTCAGGGCGTCCCTCGACATGTTGAGCGCCTGCACCATCGCGTCCAGGTCGCGCTCGTCCGCGCCGCCCTCGGTCGTGCCCGTGTCGAAGTAGTTGAAGTTGATGATGGGGGTGTCGAGCGGGTCTGTTGTGCGGAGCTGGACCGTGCCGGCGCGGTTGCGCGTGTGTGCCTTGAGCGTGTACCACGAGAAGTGCGAGTGGTCCTTGACTGCGTCGTCGCCCCACCGGGGAAAGTAGCCGGTGAAGTCGATGGGGCCTCCAAAGATGTACATGTCGATGTCGGTATTGTCAGCTGCGTCGGAGTTGACGGCCATGGTGGCAGCAAGTCCGTTGGTGGCGTACGCCCCACGAGCCCCGAGGATGTAGGGCTTGTCTTGCCAGCGTGTCAGACACTTGTCCTGGGCCTTGCCGTCAAAGGTGCAGCCATCCAAGAGCTTGAAATCTGTGGGGTGCTTGACATTGATGTTGATTTCATAGCGATCCTGCATGTTGGTGCCGACACCAGGGAGGTCCTTGACCACCGGGATTCCGAATCCGTCCAGTTCAGCCTTGGGGCCGACTCCGCTGAGCTTGAGGATCTGAGGGGTGTTGAAGGCGCCGCCCGAGAGGATCACCTCTTTGCTTGCGCTGGCGGACCCGGGGGTTCCTGAGCCACCGCCATTCAGGGGGCTTGCCCGGTAGAGGTATTTGCCATCCAAGAACTCGACACCTGTCGCGCGAGGAGTCGTGCCACTCTGGTCAAAGACGACTTTAGTGACATGGGTGTTCTGGCGCACAGTCAGGGGGTACCCCTTTGCGACTGTATCCGTGATGTGATCGCGGATGGAAACCCGCGTGCCATCCTTCATGATGAGAGGAATCTGGAAGAAGCCCTGAGCGCTATCGCGGTTGGGGTCGTCCCGATTGTTGGCATCAAGCAACAAGGTTTTGGTGAGTGCGGTGACAGCAGCGAACGGGTCGGGCCCGTCACCCATCACAGCCGCTCCGCTGGCCAGCTGCCGGGTGAGCTTCAGATCTTGCAGCAGAATGCTGGGATCGGTTGGCTGGACATTCTGCCACTCATAGATCTTGTCGAGATACTTGTCCATGTTCGCTGCGGACCATGTTGTATCCCCGGTGAGCTGAGCGATTCCATTCCAGTCGCTCGCATGAGGCGTGATCCAGATCAAGGCATTGTGGGTTACGCTACCTCCCAGGGTTGCTGTTGCAAGTGTCAGAACCTACATGTCGGCACTGTCATCGAATCGAGGACTCACCAGCTCGGGGGTAGAGGATGCCAAGGGGCTTGGCTCCTGACGGTGGGTTCGGGCCAACGTGATACTGGTACGGCGCAGTCTCGTACGTGAACTTTGGGTCCCGCTTGGCACGTTCTTGGTCCTGGTAATGGTTGACGAAGATATCCCAGCTCAGCTTGGGGTCCTGGGTCACGGCAGCTTGGTAGCCAGGCACGGTGATGTTGACGTTGCCGGCCTGGTCGTCACCAGCCTCGATCAAGAGAGTACTGTGCCCAGCCATGGCCAGTCTGCAGGCAAGCGGGCCGCCTCCGGCACCGCTGCCGACCACGATATACTCATAGTCCTGCACTTGGCGGTCATCGAGGGGGTTGGCCGAAGCCAGTGCTGATAGGAGCAAAGAAGGGACGAGGTTCGAGATCCTCATGATAGCGAGAGATGTTACAAGCGAGGGATGAGGCGACCTTGCCTTCAACTACCACCACAAAGGGCGGCAGGAGACGCGAGACTTTATACTGGTTTCTTGTGGTGCATCATGGGCCAACAAAAGACACAAGCCCCAGTCACTCGCCGGTGTGGGTAGCATGGCCGTGGGTAGCATTGCCGTGGGTAGCGCCATCGTGGGTAGCGCCATCGTGGAGACGTTGTCCTGCGCGTAGGAGCAGGAGGAGGCGGCTGATACAGCATCTCATTTCGGGTTACATCGCGCACAACGGACGAACCAGACTTGGCTACAGATTGAGTCCGGCCGGCCGGTGGCCTCCCAGAGTGACCTCCCCAAAGGAGATCTCATACCCGCTGCCAAGCCGTGCCGGCCCTTGTGAGCAATATGATGTTGCCCCTGAGTCAAGGCACACAGGTGCTGGGCAGCTGCAGTCTCCCCTGCCGTCAGGAGCCACACGCGGGGGTGGGCTCCTTCAGGCCACTGGGTCACTGGGGCACTGGGGCACTCGTCCTAACGGCTCGTTCCGACATCTGGTGTAGACCAGATCGGCACGCAGATCCGTGGACTTGGACACAGGCAGGTAAAGCTGAGGTCAACGGTCACCGTCGCGGGTCTGGCTGCGTCCTACTGGAATTTGACAACGATCTGACAACGATCTGACGTTGCCCATAGGGCAAAAGTAAGGGCAGACGACCGTCCGGCAGACGGGAGGTCCAGCTCGGCATGATGCCGGTCACGCCTGCTAGGGAATCCCAAGAGGGTGTGGAGCTGGAGGTTACACAAACAGGCCCTGCAGTAGTCAAAATGGAAGCTGGGCCGGTGCAGGTACAAGGGATTGTGTAGCCGCATAACACTCATCAGCAAAGTACCAGTTGACACTAGGCCGGGCCGACTTGGGACGTTGGAAGGCCCGTCTGCTAGGCCAGAAAAAAGAGACTCGCCAATGCTCGTATTTGATGCACTCTACATGGGTGCCATCCTGGGGACTTGGGTAGGACATGTACAATGCTGTGTGTGTGTGTTTTTTTGGGGGGAGAATATATATATATATATATATACGGATATGTCATGCAGGCATGGTTTGCACCCGTCGTGCGTACCGGTTAGACACGATGATCCGGGATGATGATCCGAGGCTGTGTTGGAGCACGACAAAATCCACCTGTGCACGTCCCCACTCCAGTCCGTCTTGGTGGTCTTGCCCCTGGGCTAATGACTGACCTTCCCGTGGTTCGTTCGTTCATGCAAATTCAGATAAACTTTACTCAAGCATCCTCGGGATGTCGAAATATGGTCAGCCTTGTGGGTCGAATAGATTTGTTCGGGCCGATCGCGAGATCGTAGGCCGTGCCTGGGTTTGGTGTTTCTTGAATCTTGTGTTGGCAACTTGGCTGCTTGGGGCACTCTTTGAGTTGTGCAAAGACGACAGCACAGGACGAGTGCCAGGTGACTGTCCAGGTGATTGGCAAAAGCGGATGACTTCCTGTCATCATGTTGAACGACACCCGATGTCTGATTGGCCGTACATAATTGAGATAAGATCTCAGATGTTACACAGTATTAGTGTGAGTGATCAGCGATTGACAGGTTCATCCGATGGCCACAAGCGCTGCGCCTGTCTGGCTGGCTGGCTTGTCTGGGTGGGTACCTAACCCAGGTAGGTTGGGGGGTTGTCGAGGTCGACCTGGGGTGTCAAGGGTGTGTACGGAGTATGCTGGTCCCTGCTTGCTTATGTCATCACCCTGGCCGGAATTTTCGACCTCATGCCGAAGGTCCATATGCCATGGCGCCCGAGTGCGTGCGACCGATGCGCCATGTAATCGGCCGCTGCTGAGCCCAGTCGCCATATCTCCAATGCTTGCACCCAGCAGAGCGAGGGCCTTTGCGCCCTCGTCCGTCGTGTCATTACCCTCCTTCCTTGTCCCAGCCTTCCAGAACTGCGCGCCTGCACCAGCTGCGCGCCGCCAGTTTTCCGCGTCCACCTCGAGGCCCTCCAAGCTGGGCCGCACCCCGATCTCGATCCCGCCCGGCGTCGAGCTCACCATCGGCGAGCCCTACATCCTGAAGGACTTCACCACATACAAGCAGACCCCTAGGAGGACCGTCACCGTCACAGGACCTCTGGGTACGCCTCGCGTCGGCCGCATGGCTTTGGCACCGCCGCTCCACGTCTGAACTGTGACATGCGCTGACATCCGTGGGCGACATGACAGGGAAGCTCGACCTCAACGTGCCCCCGTTCCTCAAGCTCGACCATGACACAGAGGCTAGGAGGTTGACCCTCACCATTGAGGACAACGACCAGAAGAAGCAGAAGGAGATGTGGGGTACGACCTCCACCGCGGCTCCCAGGAAGCCCGCCCCCGCGCACCACTCCACGTTTCACTGACCAGGCAAACCCGCGTTCTACAGGCACCACATGGGCATACATCCAGCGCTACATCATCGGCGTGTCAGAAGGGCACACGGCCGTCCTGCGGCTCGTCGGTATCGGCTACCGAGCGACCGTCGACAAGCGGCCCAACCTGGAGCAGTACCCGGACCAGGACTTTGTGTGCCTGCGGCTTGGCTTCTCGCACCCCATCGACCTGGGCGTCCCCGAGGGCGTCAAGGCGTCCACGCCCCAGCCCACCCGTATCCTGCTCGAGGGCATCAACAGGGAGAAGGTCATGCAATTCGCGGCTGAGATCCGCAGGTGGAGAGTGCCGGAGCCTTACAAGGGGAAGGGTATATTCGTCAACAACGAGACGATCAAGCTGAAGCAGAAGAAGATCAAGTGAGCGGCAGGTTCAGCATTGAAAGGGAGGCCACAGACGGGGAGGCCAGGACTGGTGGTCGCGGTCGCTCTGGTGCCATATCATACGGCCTGTGCCGTTATCCGCGCTGCTGCTATGGCTTCCTTCTGGATCTACAGATCATTCATAGCAAGGAAAATACGAAACATACACTGGAAACTTGTGTGTGTGTGTGTGTGTGTGTGTGTGTGTGTGTGGATAAGTTCTGGCAGTGGTCTCGGAAAATGAGGCAGCACCACATCGGGATATCAACTCCACCGAGTTTTGACGTCTGCTGAAGCTACTCGCTCCTGACTAGCATGATCTTGCTCGCTGAATCCTCCCCGACTAGCGGGCTGGTGTTGAATTGCGAGCCCGGCCGCACTTGGTGCACAACTCAGAAGCACACAGTCCTTAGCATTCAAAGATATGCTCCTCACACCGCTTCCGGTGACATACCTAGGTATTCATGTATGACATTAAGCCCATATTAAGTAGTCTAGATTGTTCTGATCAATGTCTTGAGCAAGGGCCTTACAAAGACGGCCGCTCGACCTCCAGTCCATCCACCGTTTCCATAGTCAAGTTCGCTTGCTAACCAGTGATATCGGGATGCCGAAGAGCACCAAGCAAGTCTCCTTGGTATTAATCTAAGTTGTAAAGGGCATGGCCTGGATCATTGACAGGTCAGCCAATATATCGATCTCCCAATAATTACCATCGATTAATTGGCTATCTTTTATGGTGGAATCGACGACATCTGCCTTTAGCAAGCCCTAGAGAAAGCAAGTGAATCACCAAGATTGCTTGCTCACTGGTATGACAGTGTGGTCGAGTTTATCAACGGTTTCAATTCCAAAACTATGCCTTGAGTCTACCCAACTGCTGCTACTTCTGCCCAACCGCTCAAAAAGTCAAAACCGGTGCCCCTAACGCCCAACGACACCAGGGGTACAGGAACAAGCACATGATTCGTTGGCTAGCTGGGACCTGCGCTGGTTCCAGACAGCATCGCTCCACTTGCCATGTATCTCGCCGCCAGTTACGCCCATTGTGAGTTGTTCAACATACGCATCGGAGTCTGTGCGCCCCTCCTTCTGAGAGCCTTCCTTGAACCCCCAAGCATAGCCGTCCTTAACTCCCCTGTCGTAGCCGTTCTGGACTCCCGCATCGAAGCCGTCCTCGATTGCCGCATTGTAACCTGCGTTGTAGGCAGCGTCCCGTACCTCGCGCAAGCTGCTGCCGTGTTCACTGACTTCATATGCAGGAGGTGGGTCCTGGGGATGATACCCCTGCTGTACATGCTCGCCATTTCCGTTGTCATCAGGGGCATCCTGTCCCTGGGGATGAACATTACCCAGATGACGGTGTCGAGACTGGGGTATCTGCCTCTGCTGCTTTGGTCGTTTTTTATGGGAGTCGGCCGATTTGGGGTTCTCACTCGGTTTTACAGAACGCTGTGATGAAGGCATGACTATGGTGTGTGGCTGGAGTAAAAGGAATAGCTGAGCCGTCGCTATTCTGATTATTCCTTAGTTGAGCGACGATAAGCTAATGAATGGTGCATGTATCTGTAATAAGTAGTCCTGGTAGAAGTCTTGCATTTTGATTTTAACTTAGGGGTCAGAGGGTCAGAGGCCGTGTATTTATAATGTATAGGTATTGGTACCATCGATCTGGGTGACCAACTGGGAATGTGAGGACAAAGGACCCTGCTCACAAGACTCCATCATATCGAAAGTTGTGACGAGCAAATCAATTCTACGGCTCGAAAGTCCTCCAGCACCTGTTGGTATGAAGTAGATCTCAGCACGTGTTGTAATTACCACCCCCGAGCAGCATTTATCACAACCAACACTGTATAAAAGCTCGTTGCCAACACTGAGATGGCCTTGGAGCAAAGTATTGTTGACCTGAGCCAATTTCTGCTGTGCTGACCTAGATAGGTCCTGCGCCGTTCGAATCTAGTCGCTGGGACCCCCATAAGGATATTCCCCGTTACTCTGGCTGGCGTTTGTGTCAAGTTGATAAATAGCACTTGAGGTCCTGTCCCCCTTTGTACAGAAACTCCCCCTCGCCCCCAACTATTGGGGCCATTCCCGGCACTCGGGACAGGTGTTTGAGGGAATGACCCAGCAGCATGGCGAGGAGGCAAGCCTCGGATTGGTCCAATTGTTCTGACGCTGGAATCATCTGAGATATTGGAGGGAGCATGTCGCCTCGGTGGGGCTGAGGTGCCATCTTCGCTGCGCGGATATGAATATTCCTGTCTTTGGGGTGACTTTCGATACTAATCGTCGGGTCTGTGCACTTCTACTGATGGGGTGTGTCCCAGGGGTTGAGCATTTCTAACGCGGAAATATGGAGACTGAGCCTAGAGGCATGTTCGGCTGAAGCGCTGGTACCATTGGCTAGTTTGGAAGGAAGCCATACGGCTGCTGCTCAGGTGCCACTCCCATCGATGACTGCTTTGTGTCTTGGCTTCGGTTGGTAGCTACACTAGACATGTTGGCTCACTTGCCTCTGTTTCGTGAGCATTTACTATCACGGCACACGAAAGTATGGTTGGTGTCATGGGCTCTTAACTAACTCTTAGAAATTGGAAATTCAGTTCTCGATGATAACAACAAACAATGGTTGTGGTTGAAAAGGCTGGGGAAGAGTGACCGGATACACAAGGGAATGAACTCTATTTGTCAAAGCGCCCAGTTTAATTGAAACTTGTTTGTCCATGCATGATGTTGAGCTGAAGTGCCCCCCCCCCCCTCAGATCGATGAGTGTACCTAGGGTGGGCATGCAGTGCAGCATGAGGTGGATAAAGTCACCACCTCAAGTACTATGTAGTACTGCCTTGACTTAGTAACCCTGCATTCTCTTCAAGATACTGTGTTTTGGGCTCTGATCACCCAGCCCGTAATATTGAGCCTTATTCAACACAATTCCACAGGAAGATGCTCGTCCAGCCGACTCAAATTTTGAGGATCCAAAGATACCCGGGTAATTGGGCAGATAAGGTTGAAGAGCTGAGCCGTAAAGAAAGCTGTCAGTTTCGGGTCACAACGCCGGAGTGGTGGGGGACCCCGGGGCACGTCGAGCAGGGGCACGACTCACGGCGGGTCGGAAGGCATTGCGGCTCGGACGTGCAGGGCGACTCCCGATGCAGGGGCCTTGGCATCTGACTTGCAGACGCTTGCTTTTTCGCATGCGCATACTCAGTTCTACCAAACCGGCCCAGATGGATAGATAACCAGCGCAGATGGTCGCACAACAGCCAACGAGAACCATCAGACGTTCGCATTTCGTGCTCTACCTCGTGATCACCGTCACGCTGGCTATCATCCTGTCGAGAGCCACGCCACGGCTGTCCGCCCTGCTCGACCATCTCGGGGCCCGAACGTCGTCATCAGTGGGTATTCCAGGGTCACTGAGGGGCATCTTACCCCTCCACTCTGCCCTGACTGTCAGCCAGCCAAACCAAGCCCATAGTAACCACATCTCACACTGTGACAAGGTCAGTTTGTTCGCTCCTGGAAGTCGGTCACTTTTCTCCTTTTGGCCGTCTTGTCTCTCCTTTCAACACAAGAAAACCCCCAAATCTCTCCTCTCAAGACACCTCCTAACCTCTCCAAACACACAAAAAGATGGCCGCATATGCCAAGGAGCTCGAGGTGGCCCAGCTGGCCGTCCAGCGCGCCACCATCCTGACCAAGAGGGTCTTCCACGAGCGCGCAAAGGGCACTGTCTCAAAGGACGACAAGTCCCCCGTCACCATTGGTGACTTTGGCGCCCAGGCCCTCATCATCAGCGCCCTCAAGGCCAACTTCCCCGAGGATGAGATCGTGGCCGAGGAGGAGGCAGAGATGATGCGCTCCGACGCAAACCTCAAGCAGATTGTCTGGGACCTGGTCAGCAGCACCAAGCTGGACGACCCCGCCGCCGAGGAGGCCCTCGGCGGCCCCATCAAGGACGTCGACTCCATGCTGGACATCATCGACAAGGGCAACAGCAAGGGCGGCAACAAGGGCCGCGTCTGGGCCATCGACCCCATCGACGGCACCAAGGGCTTCCTGCGCGGCGGCCAGTACGCCGTGTGCCTGGGCCTCATGGTCGACGGCGACGTCAAGGTCGGCGTCCTGGGCTGCCCCAACCTGCCCCTCGACGACGCCGCGCCCCTGACCGCCGACATCGGCACCAACGCCACCGACGAGGGCCGCGGCGTCCTCTTCTCCGGCGTCCTGGGCCAGGGCGCCGCGAGCAGGCCGCTCGGCACCGGCGCCCTCGGCGAGCCCAAGCCCATCTCCATGAGGCCCCTGGCCAACATGTCCGACGCCACCTTTTGCGAGAGCGTCGAGGCCGGCCACAGCTCCCAGGGCGAGGCCGCCCAGATCGCCCAGAAGCTGGGCATCACCAACCCCAGCGTCCGCATGGACTCCCAGGCCAAGTACGCATCCATCGCCCGCGGCGCCGGAGACATCTACCTGCGTCTGCCCACGTCCAAGACGTATGTTGAGAAGATCTGGGACCACACCGCGGGCGATCTCATCGTCCGGGAGGCTGGAGGTCAGGTCACGGATACCACGGGCAAGAGGCTCGACTTTAGCATTGGCAGGACGCTGGCTGAGAACAAGGGTGTCGTGGCGGCACCCGCGGCCGTCCATGGCCAGGTCCTGAAGGCTGTTCAAGAGGTTCTGGGAATCAACTAGATGGTAGCGTTAGAAAAGGTCATGAAGACCCAAATAAAATAAAAGTTGATCAGCTATGGGAACCAGAAACTGGTTGTTATTCCTTGCACTATTGTTTTATTGCACGTGCCTCGTCAATTACATTGGCTGGATGATGAACAAGTTGGATCTACACTTCGGAGGGTACGCCAGCAATCTTCATGCAGATTGGCATCCGGCAGACCCCAACGGCTCTTCCCATATAAAGGAAAACACTGCTTTTGTTGCAGACAGTGGTTTCAAGAGCAGCATCCTGAGCAACCATCCTTCTCCATGGGGTCATGGAGAGTGAGCCACATATCTCAGCCTTCCTGTGCGGTACCGATTCTTATTTTCCTCTGAATCAGTCCTCAATCGTGACGTACACATCCCATTTCCGATTCTTTGACACGTCTAACTTTTATTTACAGACTATTTGTACTCTTCGAGCTTCTCTACGAAGCAGGAACAGCAATAAGCCAATAAGTACCCTAGCCGGAAAAGATATGTGTATCTTGCCGAGATGAATACAGAACCTCCTTATGCAGACCACCTAGGTACCTAGGTAGTATCTAGTTTAAATACTTAAGTATGCTATTCTGCACTAGCAGCTGAAGCATTGGGCCGTGCCTGGTCTGTTCGTACCAGTGCTGTTGACAAGCTATCGGCCTTGACATGAATCGGCCCGTCGAGGTTGAAGCCATCACGGGCCACGAGCAACCTAGTCTGACGCCGTCAAGCGCTATATGAAAGTGTCATAACCATGTGACGCGGGCAAACAGCCGAACAAGGTTCATATATAATTCGTCTCTGGCACCTGTCACCTGATCGCGGTCTTGTTGTGTGCGACGCCCGCTCCTACATACGCCCAAGGTTAAGACAGCCCACGTCTCGACGAAGAGTGATTCGCCTCGTTAGCACACGCATAACCACCCGTTTATCTGCAACAACAATGCATTGCCCCACCATTGGTCTCCTCGCCCTGGTTGCGGGTGTTGTCGCTCTTCCTCAGACGCCCAGCTCTGACGGGGACAGTAGCACTGTCCTGGTTGTTGAATCAGCAGGCGGCCCTTGCGGAGCCCTCTCGAGGAAACCGGTCTGCTGCAAAAAGTCCCTCCTCGGCCTCGTCGACTTTGGTTGTCACCGTCCCAAGGGAGAGGTCCGCTCGGGTCCCGAGCTGCAGGGCGTCTGCTCGGCACACGGGAAGGTGGCCAGATGCTGCCTCTTGGGCGTTGTGAGTAACTCCATAGGGAATTCCCCTGTTTCCCCGAGGGCTGCTTGAACTGGTGGGATTCTGAAAGTTGCGTGGCCTGAGGAGCACACCGCTGACCAACCTCGATCTTGCAGCTGGGCACGTACGTTGCTTGCCAGGCCCCTCAAGGCGTCGAATATTTTAACGACGCTGAGGACGACCTCGGAGTCGTCCCCGCAGCGCAGTAATACGACGTGTAAATGCTATGACGGGGTGAAGAGAAAGGTCATGCTTGGACAAGCAAGTCTTGGAACAATGTGGAAGAAGAGCTGCTGAGGCGAACAGAAGCACGGATGGAGACATCTGGAGTGAGAGTAACCTAGATGAGCAACCATAGGAGCTGCAAAAAAAGAGGCGACGTTTTGAATACAGTTACAGATGCATAGTGTTGACGATAATGGCTTCTAAGTCTGGCGGCGCGGGTAATGATCAGCGGCTACAAGTGCAGGGGTCGAGCTTGTTTGGGTTATTTACTTACCTAGGTCAGTACCTACTTTCCTAGGCAAGTGCTCTGCGGCCTGCCTGTACACGTCTTCTTTTCTCGACCCGCGTTTTTTTTTGTTCGATGATGTCCAAGGGCACACACTCTTTCCCCCATTACCCATTGCCCATTGCCGTGTTATCGGATCGGATTGGAGGACTGGTCGGCTTTGTTTTACTGGTCAAGGCCTTGAGCATTTGTGTGGTGTACATAAAAGTTCACTGTAGCAACCGCCTGTTCCCGCCGAGCGGTCGAGGTGCGACTGCGACTGCGACGCTCCTCCAATCAAGCAGCCAACCAATACTTGCTCCCTTGCACTACCCTCCCTTGTCACCACATCGCATTGATCAAATCTCCACGGGCGAGGCACGCAAGCCCGGCCCAGCCTACAGAACACAAACATGGACTTCGCCAAAAAGCGGAAGCTTAACGCCCTGTTGAACGGCCTTGGCAGTCAGACACCCTCGTACCCTACCGATTCCGCTGCCCAATATTCATCGCCGTCAAACCACACGGCAGCAGCAGCAGCAGCTCCCGAGGACGAGTCCACGCCGCAGACCCCTCCTCCAAACCGCCCCTCGACCGCCACCAACCTTGCCTCGGCCTCCTCGTCCATCCGCACCCCAGCCTCAGACTCCACGGCCATGCGCCCCTCCTTTTCCTCAATCCATCGATCCGCACCAGGCGCCACAGCAACAACATCATCATCCGACCTCGACCTTTTGACAAAACGCCGCCGACTTGGCCTCGCTGACTCGACCCCGTCCAAGGGCCTCGGCCGCACAAAGACAACACCAGATGGAATAGGAGGAGGGGGAGGGGGAGCCACCGCCGCCCCGGCGCCCGGCCAGACCACCATATCGAACATTGTCCTGAAGAAATGGGGCGGCAACAAGGACAAGGACACCATCTTCAAGCCAAAGTACTGCCCGGGCGACAGGGACGAGCTGCTCCGGCGGCTCGCCAGCTTCCAGGAGCTGACCGACTGGACCCCCAAGCCCAACCCGGTCGCCGAGGTGCAGTGGGCCAAGAGGGGCTGGATCTGCCAGGGCAAGGAGCGCGTGCGCTGCACCCTCTGCAACAAGGAGCTGGTGGTGAAGCTGAACCGGAAGGAGGTCGACGGCAAGGAGGTCCCCGTGCTGGTGCCCTCGGAGATCGAGGACGCCCTCGTGGCCAAGTACGTCGAGCTCATCGTCTCGTCGCACCAGGACGACTGCCTGTGGCGCAAGCGCGGCTGCGACGACTCGCTGCTGCGCCTGCCGCTGTCGGGCCGCCACGCCGCCATCCAGGACCTGCGCGCCCGCTACGACGAGCTCTGCGCCCGCAAGGACTTCCTCCCCTACGAGTTCAACCTGCGGCTCCCCGCCCGCCTCGACCTCGACACCGTCCTCCGCTACCTGCCCGACGAGTTCTTCGCCGGCACCATGACGGCGTCGGGCCACCAGCGGACGCCGGGGCCCCCCAACCGCGTGGCCCTCGCGCTGGCCATGCTCGGCTGGCAGGGGCTGTCCAACGCCCGCATAGGCCCCGTGCCCAACACGGCGTCGTGCCACACCTGCCTGCGCCGGCTGGGCCTGTGGATGTTCAAGAGCAAGGAGGTCGACCCGGACACCGGGGCCGTCATCGTCCCCGCGCCCATGGGCTACCTCGACCCGCTGCGGGAGCACCGCTTCTTCTGCCCCTGGAGCAGCGCCGAGGCGCAGCGCCTGACGCCCTCCTCGAGGCGCGGAGCGGCCGACCTGGGCGGCGACGACGAGAGCAACAAGCCCGGCTGGGAGGTCCTGCTGCAGGTCCTCAAGAACGAGGCGTACCTGCGCAGCCGGGACTCGCCCAGGCAGTCCAGGAGGGGCGGCGGTGGTGACGGTCGGAACCCCCAGACGCCGTCGCGGTCCGGGCAGGACGGGGACGGCGCCGAGGGGGTGGGGGCGGAGGACGAGGACGACGAGGACGAGAAGACGCAGAACGCAAAGGACAAGGAGCGGTGGAAGCGCCTGCGCCGCGTCAAGAGCCTGCTGGGCGGCGGCAAGTCGGGCAACAAGCTGCGCAAGTCCATCACGCTCAGCCGGCCCGGGAGCAGCAAGAGCCGGCCGGGGACCAGCCACTCGAACGCGGACGGTGAGGGCCAGGGCCAGGGCGAGGAGGGCGTGCAGGCGGCAGGTTGACGAGGGAGTTTCAAACAAAAAAAAAACACATCTGTGCTGTGTATCTCGAGCGGGTCGCTGATTGATTGGGTGAGAGTGGAACAAGTTGGCGTTGCATTGGAACGGCGTGGGCTACGAGAATTAATACCGTATCTTTTTTTCTTTCGGGAGGAGGGCATATTTGCTAACGACGGGACGAGTTGACGTTCTCCCGCCAATTATTCAAGGTATGTATGTGTCTTATACGATGGGAGCGGGGATCAAGGGTGTAGCACAGAGACTTCACACATATCAGAGGAGACTCAACTCCGATTCTTTAATACGTTAATGACGAGATGATGGGGCTCATGTGCTTGAACGAACGGTGCAGACTTCCAAAAGGGTTGCCGCAAATTCCTTTGTTCTTGGATACCTCACATCATATTGATGTGGCTACGTGTAATTACGGGCAAATGTAGGCCTCAGGGCACGCCACAAGATAGTCTTCCATCTCGGCAGGTTCATATTCAAGTGAGAACTCCATTAGCATCTCGCTGGGGAGATGGCCCCAAAACAATCGCTAGGTACAGACTCCGAGACAAAACAATCCTCCATAAAACGCCGTGGGGTATTATCCTATGTCTCCTTTGCCAGGGACACATCTCTCCCGGACGGGTATATCATACAACCTGCCCTATCATCCAGACCTCAATTCATCCCATATGCAACCCCGCATTCCTTATCCTCCCTCTTCGATTTCCATGCCGAGAAGAAGAGCGACTGCGACGGCCACCCCCATCCTACAGGGTGGTCTCACGAGTCCTCTCCCTGAACCCGATTCCAGGGATGCCGCTCCTCAGCGCTAGGCTGCTCATGACCACCGAGATGCTCGACAGTGCCATGGCCAGGCTGGCCCAGACGGGGTCGAGCTTGACGTGGTTGCCACCGCTGACGACGGGGTAGAGGACTCCCGCGGCGACGGGCACGGCGATGAGGTTGTAGATGAGGGCCCAGGCGAAGTTGATCTTGACGCGGCGGAATACCGTCTGCGACAGCTCCAGGAGCGTCACCACGCTCCACAGGTCCGACTTGACCAGCACGAACTCGGCCGAGCTGATGGCCACGTCCGAACCGGACCCGATCGCGATGCCGACGTCAGCCTTGGTCAGTGCCGGCGAGTCGTTGATCCCGTCTCCCACCATGGCCACCGTCGCTCGCTTCTCCGACTTCTCGTTGTCGGCCTTGAGCGTCGACTGCAGATACGTGATCTTGTCGGCCTTCTGTGTCGGCAGGACCCCAGAGATGACCTGGTCCGGCGGGATGCCAATGCGGGCTGCTACCGCCCGGGCGGTAACGTCGTTGTCGCCCGAGAGCATCCACACGCGAGTTCCGCGGGACTGAAGAGCGCGTACAATGGTGGGTGCTTCGGGGCGGATAGGATCGGAGATTGAGAGAGCGGCGGCGATCACCCACCAACTCGTGCTCGATGCCGCCCCGTTGTTTTGGTCACCCGAGACCGTCTCGCTCTCCTGGCTTGATTTCGTCTGTAGTGTTGCGACGAGGGCGATTGACTTTGCCTCTCCCTTCCACTTATGCAACAGTTCGACGACCTTATTAGAAATCTGTACGCGGTATTCCAGCATAAGTGCCTCGTTGCCCACGAGAATGTCGAAATGCTGGTTCCCACTGTGGTATTTGGCCCTCATACCCTTGCCTGGGATCTCATGTAGGTCATCGACCCTGACGTCTGAGTCGATCTCCTGATTCGCGCAGAACGAGGCGATAGCTTTTGCTACTGGATGGCTGCTGCCTTCTTCGACGGCCTTCACAGCAGCCAGCATCGCTTCTTTTCCATCAGGTTCTGTGGTGTTGTCAGGGTAGTAGACAAAGTCCGTGATGCTCGGTTGGCCGCCCTCGGTCAATGTGCCTGTCTTGTCGAATACAACACAGTCGATGCGGCTGGCTTTCTCAAAAGCTTCGCCACCGCCCTTGGCCAAGATACCATACTTGGCGGCGAGCCCACCCCCGACAAAGATGGCTGTTGGGGCAGCCAATCCGAGACCGCAGGGGCACGCGACCACGAAGACAGAGATGGCGAATTGCAGGGCAAAGGCCACCCATCCACCAGACGTGACATCCAGATAGTCATCAGGAAGAGCCCCGCTTAGGCCCAGGATCATCCATATGAGCCAAGTGAGAATGGCAACGAGGGTGACCACAGGCACGAAGTAAGTTGTAAGGACATCGGCAATCTGCTCCATAGGAGCTCGCTTCGTCTGACCTTCGCGAACGACGCTCACGATCTGGTCCAGCATCGACGTGCCCACCGCCCCGGTGATCTGTATCAGGATGGGCTGTCCCTTGTTGACTGTACCGGCGTAGACAGCTTCCCCGGGGCTCTTCTTGATAAGGCGGGCCTCGCCAGTAAGACTGGACTCGTCAAAGCTGCTGACTCCCTTAACAATGACGCCGTCTGCGGGCGGAGATGACCCGTTCCTGATCCGTACTGTGTCTCCGAAGTCCAACAGATCGGCTTTGACAGTGCTGTCCGTTTCTTTGCCGGACGCATCGCGCTCGACGAGAACTGCCTCAGTTGGACGAAGTTTGCCCAGGGCTGATACCGCATCGCCAGTCTTGGACTTGCTGTACGCCTCGATCCATCTACCGAAGAGGAGGAAAAGAGTCAGGAAGACTACCGAGTCAAAGTAGAAGTCTGTATCATTGACCTTCTCTGGTTTGTGTACCCCAGCAGCGATCAGCTGGGCTACTGAAGAGACGTAGGCAATGGTTGTGCCGAGAGACATGAGAGTATTCATGCTGCCAAAGCGATAGAACCTCCGCAGGATGGGAACCTTACTCCCCTTCCGCCACAGGGTCCGGATCTCCTTGATGGCGCGCCTGTGGAAGACGTCGGCAGCGAAGAAATAGATTGGCGTCGACAGGACAAACAGGGCGATCTGGGCGCGGCTGATACCTGAAGTCCATGGCATCATGAGGTAGTGCTTGCTCGGGTTGCCTTCGGGTATCAGAGACATATAAACAATACCAATGATGAATGTTGGAATGGCCACGATCAAAGTCCCCAGCGCCCGGTACAATAGCTGCCATTGGTGCTTCCGTTGGGCTGCCTTTGACCGTTCCTCCAGGCTTGGTGGGTGGTGGATCGATGCTCTCAGGGCCGGGTCACTGGCTTGTACAGCTGCCAGAATCTGCCGGATTGTGAAGCCAGGAGCATCGGGCACGTATGAGATCTTCATGATGGGCCTGGCCTGGGTGGGCTCCGTAATGATCCACAGCTGCCGACGGAAGCCGGCCAAGCTATTGACGACACGAGCCGGACAGTGCTTGCAGTACACGCCCTGAAGCGCGAGCTCTACCGTCCTCTCCTGTGACTCGGCCTTTTCCTCTCTAATGGGCTCAACCTTGTCCAGTGCCGCCTCATAGCCCATGTCCTCGATGGATTCGACAATGTCTTCAGCGTGGTCCTTGCCTGAAAAGTCGACGGTCGCGCTGTTGGAAACGAGATTAACCGCGACAGCGGTAGTGTAGTCTTTCTTGTTCAAGGCGTCCGTGATAGCATTGACGCAGGAGGCGCAGGTCATTCCTCCCACAGCAAGAGTAGCTCGCCAGGCATCAGGCGAGCTACTCTCATCCGAATCAACCGTAACGAAAGACATTGGCCCGGATTTCCCTTTGGATGATAGCCGCTGATCTGGCGAAGGACGTCGGCTGTCTGAGGGGGAAGCTGCCAGGGAGTGAGGGCCATCCGCCTGGCCATGAGCAGGGACTCCGGTGGGCGAGGCGGCCTGGGAGTTGCGGCATTGCTCGCAATTTAGTAGATGAACGCGGGCGGCTTCTGACCGCGACCGATCTCCCGACAGCCAATTTGTAAGGGCGGAAGACGGGTTTGGGCGTGACTCTGCAGGCTCCGGGTTGCAACACTGGGCAGTGGCGTCGACCGGGGAGGTAAAGCCGCCGTCGGAACCAGCACCGGTGGAGGTGATGCCTGAGACTTCATAGCCGGCCTCCTCCAGGACATCAGCCAAGCGCCTTGGTACAACAGATGGGTCGTGTTCCACGGTGACGACTGAGGTCACGATGTTCGGTGAAACCCATGTGATGCCGCCTGGGAAGTTCTCGCCTATCTCGTGCTTGATGGCTGAGACGCAGGTCGGGCAGTGCATATTAGACACAATAAATGAACTCGTGCACACGGCGTCGGCCTGGTTATGGCCGTGGCCATTTCCGTCGGTACTGGACCGATTTGGCCTTAGGAGCGAGGCCATGGCGGCGAGTTGTGTGGCACACGCAGCCGGATAATATGAGGCGGCGGCTTGGGTGCTGGTGTGACAAGCTGTGGAGGACAAGATCGATCTCGCCCGATCAGGAAGCGTATTATAACACAGACGGGCGTGCCTGGCTGTGCGAGGCGATGTGGGTTGGGGAGGAGGGGGCGTATAACAATATGCGATTAGCCTGATGTCAAGCTGCGTTTGATGGAGCTCAAGCGTCCGCGCCGAAACAAGAGCGCAAGCAGAGAGAGAGAGACGTTGACACTGATGAGGTTTGTGAATTGAAGCAGACAACCTGGCCTGGGGCAGTCACGTAGTCTTGTACGCGGTCGTCTTGGTTGGTGTTGGGGCTTGGGAAGGCACCTGGGGTACCTGGTACTTGGTACTTGGTACTAAGGGAGGCCACGACTAGTGGTGATGATTCAGTCTGGGGATGTTGCGAGACTAAGAATAAGGATGGGAAGATGCCAGACAGTTCCAGGGGCTTCCTTCCTTTTGGGTTGAAAAAGAAAGAAGAAAGTGGTTTGAGGAGACAGGTTGATGCTTCATCAAGGCCAAACCTTTGCTCTTTATCGTTTGGGATTGATTTTTATGGCGGACGAAACGCGTGCTGGGGTCGAGCGTTCTACGCACAAAAGCCGCAAGGCAGGTACATCATGACTCTGCAACAAGCGTGGTTTTTGCGGAGGCCAACTGGGCGATAGTTGCGGCCGCTGACACCTGACAGGCATGTTAGCCTCCTAGCGCAGGCACCGGCTAGACCAGCCGGGGCCACCCTGACAGCTCTGACCATTTGGAGGCCGAGGCATCGATTCCAACCACTGGCGATCCAACTTGGAATTGAGTTCCAAGGGTTGGGGGAATTGGGAGAACCCTGGGGTGCTAGGGAGGGCTGGGATGAGTTTGTCATAACTGTCGTGACCGACGACAATGCTATATTGTTTGCGTTACTACTATACAGTCAGTATGTAGGGTAAGATCAATCGCAGAAAAGGCCATGACAAATCAGACTCAGCTCAGGCGAAGCCTACCAGCCTCATCTGAAATCAGTCATCAGTCATCGACCCTCTGGAAAGTGGCAGAAGGCATAAGGTGTCATCGAAAGACGAAGGGGTGGAAATTGGGAGTCGCGTCAACTGGTCTTGCTTATTATTACAACGACCACGTCGAGGTTGAACCAGTGGCGGCGGGCGTTGCCGCCTCCAGCCTAGCATGTGTTGGGCTGGCGTGCCAGGCTTGCTCAAGTCTTGAAGCCACAGCCGCGCCCACGTTGATATTTCCCGCCAACCTGCATCATCGCATCTGTCTGAACCTGTATTCTGGGTCGGTCAAGCCACAGCCAGCCTGCCAGCCAGGGCTGCCAAAGCATACTGTGGCGCGCAACTGACAATCGACACCTACCGAGTGGCTGGGTGACAAGGCGTCCTCAAGCGCTGTCCTGTTCCCGATAACCCGGGCCAGTCTCAGAATAACCGAGCTTTGCGATACACTTCACGACAGCCACGGCTCCAGTCCACCTGCATGCTGCGCACAGTCAGGACGGAAGTATACTGTGGTGTATGCCCAGCCACCCAAGGCGACCGTTCGCGTCGATCATACTTAGGTCTGGTAAATACAAGACTTTTTACCAAATCTTGAATGCTGTGTTGCTGTTGTGCATTCTAGAGTTCATGTCACCGGTGGTCGTCCCGGCTGGGCTGTTCGAAGATGATGCCTTGCATGCGCACAATACTGTGGTGAACCTGGTGCACGAGGTGGACAAGCTACGGAGTACACCGTACGGATATGGGGGAACTGATGTGGCACTCCGTGGGTGTAGACCAGCTGACCAGTTGTTCACCTGCGTTGTCCTTGGGTCCCACATGGCCAATTGGACAAGGGACTGGATTGATCAAAGACATAACCTACTGCGTAGGGCCACGGCTCATCGTGGGTTTTCTTCGGTATTGGCACTGAAGAGATGATGATGATGAGAAATCGCCTCCGGCTCGGTGGCTCCACTTTCCCGATGCTCCCGCTGACCGAGTGCCGGTCCCGAAGGCTCGAGGCCGGCTCCCTGCCCGCAAGGCGGGCCAAGTCCTTCCAATCTGGTCCATTTCGTGTTATGTGATTGGCTGCCGATGGCGCAATTCTTGACGTGCTCGCATCATGCCAAAAAGGGTCCCTTTACAGACGCTTTCAAAAGGGCATTGCGAAAATTTGCCATGGCCCATTTGTAGCGCATGGCTGGCGCGACCAGCGCCTGCCATCAAAGATGGGAAATCCATCTCCGGTCGCGCCGCCCCCGGACCCAGGGCCCCGTTAAGTAGTCGAGTCTAGAAAATAATCTTGTCGCTCCTAAAATATTCCACGCCTTCTCCCGTCCCCAACCTGTCCCATTCACCTGCTCGACGACAAGGCCCCTTGCCGTCTTGTGACTGTAGTTGAACTGGTGGAGTGGACTGCCAATAGGTCTCATCCCAACATCCAGTCTCACTATTCACTGGGCCAAGAAGCACCGAAGCACACCTCCACATAGTGCTGCTTCCTGAGTCTCTGCATTTTGCAAGGCATCCATTCTCTACCGGACCCCTTGAATATCCCCAGGGCGCCAATTCGAATTCTCTGCCGTCAACATGCATCTGAAGCAGCAGGAGGGCTCCGGCACGCCGGCCGAGGCTCACTCTGGCGAGCAGTTCAAGAAGTTCTCTTCCAGCCTGCCTCTCGGCCAGCCCGTGCCACTGTCCCAGATCTCCGGCCCCACCTATGTCACCGCACAGCTCCTGGTCCAGCAGGTCGCCTACAAGCTGTCGGACAAGATCTTCTCCTACTCCCCCGAGACATTCGACCTCGACGTCGCCGTCAGCGAGTGGTCCCGCAGCAAGGATGTCAACATCCACGGCTATCCCACCTCCGTCCTGCCGTTGCAGACCCGGACCGGTGCCGGCGCCTTTGCCCTGGGCTACATGTTCTCCGAGGATTTCGACCTGAGCAAGAGGCACATCCCTCAGACCCTCCTGGCCCCCTCCCTGAGCCTGAGCAGCCTGCGGTCGTCGCTTGACCAGCTGTCTCTGCTCTACAGCGTCGCAAGCCCCTTTGTTGCGCACATTGCCGCTGTTGACTACTCCGCCGAGAACGGCCTGGTCTCAGAGTACGGACGTGCCCTGCAGATTGCAGACGACCTTGGCCTTGGCCTCGTCAGCAGCTCTTCCGCCTACGAGACCCAGCACATGTCTCTGCTGTCCACCCTCCTGGCCTCCATCCTGCCGACCCTGCATGTCTATGATGGTGTGCGGACCTCCCGGGAGACATTGAGGGTCATCGATGCCCTCAGCGAGGTTGGCATCCGTGAGCTCTACACCAGCTTGTCCAAGCACGTGCAGGGCCTGAACACCCATCTCGATACTGCCGGCAAGGTGCTTGACCTTCTCAACGCCTTCAACAGCGAGCTCGGCACCGACTACAAGCCTTTCGAGTACTTCGGAGACGAGAACGCCGACACGGTCATTGTGGTGTTTGGCAGCGTCGAGTCCCAAATCGCCAACCAGATCATCTCCCAGCTGGCCGCTGAGGGTAAGAAGGTCGGCGCCATCAACGTCCGCCTCTACCGGCCATTCGTGGAGGACGCGTTCCTGAACACCCTCCCTGCATCTGTGCGCGAGGTCGCCGTGCTCGGCCAAGTCCGAGACAACACCGAGGTCGATGATGCAGCCATCCAGTCAATCCTCTACTCGGACGTGCTCACTGCTGTTTCATTCTCCAGCAGGTGGGCCCAGACACCCGCTGTCACCGACCTCAAGTACGCTGCGTCTGAGGCCCTGACGCCGTCCAGCTTCCGCTCCACCATCCAGAAGTTGATCAGCAAGGATGGTGACCTGCCCACCAAGACTTCCACCCTGAACAGCCAGGTCGAGCAGTACACTTTCTGGGACCTTGACAACTCCGTTGCCCTCCACGCGCCCGCAGTGGTTGGCAAGTCTTTCACTCGTGAGTCTTCTGACAACATCTATGTCCACGAGACCTACGACAACCTGGTCCGTGGCGGCGTTATCCGCACCGACATCCGGAGCTCGAAGAAGACGATCGAGGCTCCGTACGCTATCAACGAGGCCGATGTCGTGTACGTTGGTGAGGAGAAGCTGCTCGAAAATGTCGACGTCCTCAACGGTCTCAAGTCTGGCGGCAGCCTGCTTCTGAGACTCCCCGCCCTGAAGGACGAGGAACTCGAGAAGAGGGTTTCTCCTGCGGTCAGGAAGAACATCCAGGAGAAGTCCCTGAAGCTCTTCGTCCTCGACTCCTCATTCTCTCCAGCCCTGGAGAATGATCTGGAGCTCCTGGTCGAGCTGGCGTTCCTGCGCGTTGCCCGGCCCGACGGTGTCATTGACGCCGCTAAGAACCTGTCTGCTCCTCGCGAGGGCACAATCCAGGAGTGCAAGGATGCCCTGAACCAATGCCTGCGCCAAGTCGAGGTTCCAGCCTCGTGGGCCGAGCTTCCCTCCGACTACACCTTCCCCGAGCTCACCTCCGGGGTCAAGACCACTGGCTTCACTGGATTCAGCAAGGAGGAGCCCGAGCAAGACCTGCAGCTCAGCAGCTGGGAGTCTGCCGCCAAGGCTCTCGCCTTCAAGGAGGCCTATGCCACCCAGGCCAGCCTGCGCCCTGACCTGACCGTCAAGACATACACGGTCCACGTCAAGGAGAACCGCAGACTGACCCCCGACGCCTACGATCGAAACATCTTCCACATCGAGTTCGACCTGGGTGACTCTGGTGTCACCTACAACATTGGTGAGGCCCTCGGCATCCACGCCGACAACGACCCCGAGCAGGTCCTGGACTTCATCAAGTCCTACGGCCTCAACGCCGACGAGCTCGTCCAGGTGCCCTCGCGCGAGGACCCCAGCGTCCTCGAGACCCGCACGGTGTACCAGTCCCTGGTGCAGAACTTCGACATCCTGGGCAAGGTTCCCAAGCGGGCCTACGAGCAGCTCGCCGAGTTCGCGACCGACGAGGTGGAGCAGAAGAAGCTGGCTGCCCTGGGCGGCAAGGACGGCGCCGAGGAGTTCAAGCAGCGCTCCGAGATCGACATGGTGACGTACGTGGACGTCCTCGAGGAGTTCAAGTCTGCGCGCCCATCGCTGCAGGACCTCGTCAAGATCGTTGCCCCGCTCAAGCGCCGCGAGTACTCGATCGCGTCGGCGCAGGCCGTCACGCCCAACTCGGTGTCGCTGATGATCGTCGTCGTCGACTGGGTCGACAGCAAGGGCCGCACCCGCTACGGCCAGGCCACGCGCTACCTGTCGCAGCTGCCGGTCGGCACCGCCATCACCGTCAGCGTCAAGCCGTCCGTCATGAAGCTGCCCACCAAGGACACGGCGCCGCTGATCATGGCCGGCCTGGGTACCGGTCTCGCGCCCTTCCGCGCCTTTGTCCAGTACCGCGCCATGCAGAAGGCCCAGGGCAAGGAGATCGGCGCCATCCTGCTGTACCTCGGCTCCCGCCACCAGCGCGAGGAGTACCTGTACGGCGAGGAGTGGGAGGCGTACCTCGACGCCGGCGTCATCACGCTGCTGGGCGCCGCCTTCAGCCGTGACCAGCCCCAGAAGATCTACATCCAGGACCGCATGCGGCAGACCCTGGACTCGATCGTCAAGGCCTACATCGAGGAGGAGGGCTCGTTCTACCTGTGTGGTCCTACCTGGCCCGTTCCCGACGTCACCGAGGTGCTGCAGGAGGCCATCGCCGCTGAGGCGAAGAGCGCTGGCCGCAAGGTTGACCCCAGGAAGGAGATCGAGAGGCTCAAGGAGGATGGACGATATGTGCTCGAGGTGTACTAAATGGGAATTTTATGGGTTTCTTGCTTTGCGGAGTTTGGGGCACACAAAACATAGATCACTGAATGAGGATTATGTGCAGCACCATCATGTCACGGGACCTGAATTTTTATCGCTCGTGAAGTTGTGTATATATCTGTATTGTAGTCTGTGGTGACCGCAACAACGTTCCGTATATCGGACTTCATGTAGGGATATTCTTGACAATTGCTTGGTTCCGAGGCATTGTGATGGCTCGCACCCGAGACATACATGACCGCATATTGCAAATCGAAATGGAATGTCCCCTGGTTGGGTGGTTTGTATTCGTCGCTACCGAAAACTTGCCCAAGGACCATAGGGGTGTGGTTTCACAAGGCCTAGAACCGAATTTTACCTCGAAAGGTGCAGACTAACAAGGTACGCACTTAAAGTTTCTTGCCTACGCCCGCGAACAGCATAACCTCTTCTGGGATGACGTGTTAGAGCACAAACAGTGGGATAGTGTCCCGCGATTGATTCGCTGAGAAATATGAGATGCCCAACTCAAATATTCCAGCAGGTAGTCTCTGCTTCCCTAACGAGGCTGCTCATAAAAGGGGAGAATCAACCGTTGCACGCCTCATTCCAGCCTTGGGCTCAAAGTGCGATCGATCTTTTACAAACCCAGGTACCATAGTAAGTAAATGGAGGGGGGGGGGGGCAGGCAGGCAGGCAGGCAGGTCGGGCTGGGTGGGGGTGGACAACCCAAGCGCCTCATCCCGGTCTCTTGGGTGGCTGCCCGAGCAATCGAGGCAAGCTCCATAACCCCACCAGGAGTCAACAGCCTCTGTGATTCTGTGCCTCTCTCAAGCCCCCCGCCTCTCTCTCTCCCTCTCTCTGTGCAAACAAAAACACCGAGAACGGCATCCCAAGCGTCCTAAACCGCTACCAGCGTGCCCTTTTGTTTCTCCTTCCCCTTTTTCCAGCAGCCGAAACACAATCAGCAAAGATGGCAGACAACTTCGTTGACGTCGCAAAGCAGTTCTGCGACTTCTACTACCAGACCTTCGATGCCGACCGCAAGCAGCTCGGCCCGCTGTACCGCGACCAGAGCATGCTGACCTACGAGTCGAGCTCTGTCCAGGGTGTCGCCGCGATCGTTGAGAAGCTCTCTGTACGTCAGCTCCCACCGGCCCATTGCGTGTTCATCAAAATCCTGCGCGGCGGGAGGACGGTGGGCACGCGATTGCGCCACCCCAGCCTTGGGGCACCACCCTCCGACGATCGGTGGCTAACTCGATGCGAACGCGTTACCTCTCTCCCTAGGCTCTTCCCTTCCAGAAAGTGCAGCACAAGATCACCACTCAGGACCCCATGCCCGGCATAGCAGATGGCGGTGTCCTTGTCCTGGTCACCGGCCAGCTTCTGGTACGTCTACGACGAGGGCTCGAGGCAGCCACGCATGCGGCGGTGCCCAACGCGCGCAGCGGCCGTTACCGCTTTTCCATAGCCCCCTGAGGACCTTGGAACAGCTCAATGACTGACCATGTTTCTCTTCTGTTCCGAACAGGTCGACGACGGCGAGCACCCCATGAACTTCGCGCAGACCTTCCACCTGATGAAGGACGCCAACGGCAGCTTCTTTGTCTCGCACGACATCTTCAAGCTGGTCTACTAGACACGCTGATGCTTTGTCTCTGAACAAGGGGTTGGGGGGTGTGCTGGACATATGAAGGCAACAGACAACATGTTATTGGTGCATTTGCTGCGAATTTGACGGGTACGCGTGTGGTCGCGCGCGGAGGACATATGATCGAAGGGGTCGATGAGATATTGCGTTTTCGTTCTAGAGACCTGGCAGGCACGGCCAACAAAAAAAAACAAGAGACGACTGGACATAAGACAACTGAATCTCCTTCGTGCCGTCTGACGAGAACAACAAGGGTCCGCGGCTATGTCTTCTATGAGCGGAATTGCTCTTGAGACAAATTTCTGGACGAACTGGAAACAGTTGCTGCCCTGCCGGTCTACACAAAGGAATGATGGGCATATTTGCTCGAGTCCCGGACCAACAGCGTGCAACTTCTGCTGCCCGGCGTTTTTCCAAGATCGCTGCTGTGTCGCAACGCAAGGGCCTCAAAGGGCTGACCCGTCTTTGCCAGATGTATTATATTGCTGCAGCAAGATCAGCTGCTAAGCCGGAAGTTCGGATGAACAATGACTGGCAATAGTGCAAGCTATTACCAAAGGGCGACCCGACCCCTGCCGGCTCACTCAATGGTGCGATGGCGCAGCAAAGTCTTGGTCACCCATGCTGCCAAGGGCGGTGGTGATGGCCACGTAAGTGCTGTTCGTAAACCAGCAGGTCCGTCAAGTGGAAGCCTTCCAGGAAAGCATCTGCCTGGGGGGCATGCGTTTTTATAAGGCGGACAAAGTGCGATCGGAATCCATTGACCGGGCATGTTTTACATTTGTTTCTACCACAGTACGGAGTAGTGGACACGAGATCAGGCCTCGGGAGCCGCAGATTGAGTTGAAACGGTCCTGACCATCTTAAGACCCTGGCGCCTCCAGACCCTCCAGGTCACTAGAACCACCCCCACTGGCCCCTTGCCTGTCAGAGCTTCCCTAGCGTCCCAGCGACAGGCTGCCACTGGAAACCCCAGCAACCGCCCCCAGCCCCTTGCACGCCTGCCGTGGGCGTACTAAGATCCAAGCTGCGCAAGCTGAGGGAGGCTTAGAACGATTGGGGCTACCTGTACATTTGCCTACCTGATGACAGACGGGCAAGGTTTCGAACTTTTTGCCAACAACACATCCCACAGCACGCATTACCTGCATCTCGCTACAGGTCCCGTTACCATAGACCCGAGCATCAGCAATCCCGAACAACACGAGACTACGGCTACACGACCTGCCATCGATTGACGTATCCGTGAAGACTTAGCCAGAGCCAACCGCGGGCGCGACTCAGCTCTCTCTCTCTATCTCTCCGCACACGCAGCTTCCAACTTCCTCCCCCTGCTGCCAGCCAGCAACATATCCAGATCAGACCACGCGACCCACGAACACACAGGACCGAGCAGGCCAGGCTCCTGTGCTTACGAGAAACGACAAGATGACGTTGAAGGAGGAATTCGCAACGAGGAACTTCAGTATGTGCCAGCCCACACACCCTGATGGAGTCCCCCACCCGCAGGTGATCGGCAAGCCGTGGACGCAGTGCTAACCGCCGAACCAACTCCATAGGCATCTACGGGCAATGGTGAGCACCACTCAAAACCAACCCCCCCGGTGACCAACCCTTCTCCATGCGATGGGATCTCGGGCGCGAGGGCATACAGCACGACTGTGCAAAGGCCGTCGGCGACGCTCGGGTGCTTGCGCGCGGGGAGCTAGGGATGGAACCGTCTGGAGGGAGACTCGAATCGCTAACATCAGAGGCACCACTCCAGGCTCGGTGTGCTGTCGATAATCCTCGGCTTTGCGCTCGGTATTGCCAACATCTTCACGTTTAACGTCTTCATCATCATCTTCTGCGCTCTGTTACTGTAAGCCTCAACCCATGTCTCACCACCCCCATGCCCCAAATGCCCCGAGCAGTGTCTCCAGCACACGCCGATATCGCCACCACGCGAGCACATATTCCAGTCGACCGCGATGTTCCAGATCGGTTCTCGCCTTGGGGCTGCGGCAAGAAAGAGAAGAAAGACAAGCAAAGGCTAACCACCCCAACCCTGCAGTGCATCCGTCCTCATCATCATCTTCATCGAGATCCCACTGCTGCTCCGCATCTGCCCCACGTCGAGCACCTTCGATGGCTACGTGCGCATGATCTCGACCAACTACGCGCGCGCGGGCGCCTACGGCGTCATGGCCCTGATCCAGTGGCTCAGCATCATCGCGCGCCCCACCTCCCTCATCGCAGAGGCCATCGTCCTCTCCTTCACCGCCCTCTGCTACCTCGCCGCGGGCATCAAGGGCCAGGCCTTTGTCGGCTCCAAGACCCTGGGCGGCGCGGGTGTTGCCCAGATGATCGTATGATCGTGCTTGCCCTGGGGAAGACGGGCGGGCGAGCGAACGAAGCGAACGAACGCCTTGTTTTCTGGGTCTAGGCCTCTTGCGACAACGGTCTGCTGTGAGCATTGTAGGCCGTGGTGGAGGACGGAGGATGTCGGGCTTTGGGTACTTGGGGGCATCTAGTCTGAGATAGTCGAGGAAGAGGGAGGCGAGAACAGGAAAATCATTCATGCTATTCGGGGAAGAAGAGAGACGGGTAAATGAGCTGCCGGGCGTGTCCTGGACGGGCCCCTCAAACATTGCGAGCAATTGGTCAACCTGCTCCAGTTCGGAGTATGGCGTCTATTGGGCTCTTGTTTTCTTCTTGCTTATTCATTCTTATGTTGCGGCCCAGATTCGATGGGTTTATCCTGTCTACTCTGCGAGGAGGGTTTGTCGTGGCTTATGCATTGTACAGTGACCTGGTACGATCAGACAGACTACTGTGTTTGGCGGCCGTTGTTGGTCTTAGGCCCTATGATTGTTCTTAGCTGCGGGTGCCTGTGGATAGAGTCAAAGTGCGTCCTGCCAGTCTGGCGCATCAATGCGATAGGTTGAGAATGGCTATAGCTCTGAAGTGTGTTCAGACTGACTGCACGCCCACCGCGAAATATGAACCCTTGATATTTGTAGGGCCGCTCCAGCACGTGGGAGATGACTCGATATATTAACAACTTGCTTTTGACAGGTCTCTTCAGAAACAGCATCGGCGCCCCTGGGTCTCCACGTCCAGGTCCCCAGCCCACGATTTATTAAGCACTTTACATGAACCTGCTGATAGGGGACCAATCCACTCCGACCATAGACGGCCGGGACGCATGGCTAGAAGGATAACTCGAGACGGGTCCGGGCCCGTAGCGGGCAGAGGCCGGATTTCCCACCTGCACTACTACTCATGCGGGCTTCCGTGCCGGGGGGAACATTTGGTCCGGGGGCAAGAGGCATGTGAGTGGTAATGAGCCTAGCCTCCTCGATTTCGGTTCCCAGCGAACCGATTGCCAATGGATGCATCCTGTGTGTTATAACCTGGGCGGACGGCACTGTCGAGGCATGACGCCATCCTGCGGCAATCCTGTTGCAATGGCCTGTGTGAGAGAGCGATGCGTAGGGCTGTCCGGCTGTCCGCCCCCCTTACGTAAAAAGACGGACGGACGGGAGGGCGCTGAGGTAGAGTAGTTCTCTAGCAATGATCTGAAATAACCTGGAGGTGTCTACCTATGTGCTACCATGTCTAGAACGGTCTGTCGCCCCCGAACGTGATACACATGAGAGTGAGCAAAACGACCACATGCCGCCAAGTGTTGATATGGGGATCGCAAGATGCGGCTTTTCCACCACGACGACGAGGTGGACGACGACAGCCATTACGAGTAAGCCGGACGCAGGACCCAAGAGTTAGGTCGGGGAGGTACAGGCTGCCCTGCGGCCCTTATTGGTACGATGGGCGAGGGCAATTGCTGTGGTGTTACTCCTGCATCAGGGGCTGTATGGGGAATAGCCCCGAGAGGGAGGGCGCAGCAGCTGCGAAAGACTTGGGACGCATGCACACTGACGGAACCGTCGTGGTTGCAGGTGTGTCTGATGCCAGGGAAGACGTGCGTGGTTTGGGCGGGCTGTATGGAGGACAAGGTACAGCTCTCTGAGCCTGAATTATGGGGAGCACTGCTTTGGTATTCCGTCAATACCGTGTACACCTCAGTGTCGGACATATCATTTATTATTGACTTTTTTCAATCGGCACAGAGATCTCAGTAACAAATGGTCGGTCCTGAGGTCGTGTTTTAGTTTCGATGCGCAGGGTGCAACTCCAACTCCCCGTGCGACAACCGAGAACTTGCTCGTCGAGACCAGCTGCCAAGCTGTTTCGGGGTCTAGTCAGTCTTCTGACTGTCTCCTCTGGGATTGCGATGGCGGGGTGGTGGGGTACACCATGCAGGTGTTTTGACGCCATCATCGGGCGGCGGGATTGTGTGAAAGAGCTAAACTCGGGTTGTGTGTCCACGATATGCACTGTAGGTGCACGTGTGGTATCGTTCTTTTCTTGACCGTCTTTCAGCAGCACAGCACTCCGCATCCGACGTGGTTTGCCGTCGTCGAGGTGGGATTGGGCGGGTTGTGGCTGGCTCGGGATCTCGAGTAACGCCTGTGCAGAGCTGAGACCCAGAAGGGTTCTCTTATTACTCAGTCATCACTGTGCATCTAGACCACAACTCTGAAGCTAGAATTTTAACGAGAGTCACAGGTATGACGACGACCGCCCGCCCGTTCCCACCGTAACCGAGCAGAGCTTGCAGACCAGGGGGGGGGAGGGAGTGATCGACAGCAAGCTACTATAATAGTCCCGCCATGATAGCTCATCCCGTGAAAGAGGCAACGGTTTGGAGGCTCTCACGAGCAGGCGGGACAGTCGGGGCGCACGGGCTGGGCTGGGACTGGCCGAACTGGATCGGCTGGCAGGATCACGGACAGAGCTTTCTAGATCGCATCCCAGACGGGCAGACGACGGGCAGACGACGGGCAGACGGGATGCATGGCGCGGGATAGACCTGCTACTCCTGTGCTAGGGATCGAGTTGGGGATCGTGATTCAGTGCGGGCTCAGCTGGCCCAGGTGGCTTGGGGTACACTGTCGACGGCGACTGTGCCCGCGGCGGCGGAGGTCACTCGACCTGTTGCCAGGGCCCGGAAGGGGAATGGGCAGGGCCCAGATATTGCTGCAGAGGCGAATCCTTGCTGCGGACGGTGGGGATGCCCAGTCGACGGCCCCAGGGCGGCCCAGCCAGTCGTGCCAGGATCCAAGCTGCCCGGCTGCTCGCGCCCAATGACGAGCGTGCCATTTGGTAGACGTAGGTTTCTTATAAGTGGCCCATGTCCGGCTTCCTGGTGTTGTTGCTGCGTTGGTGCTGTTGCTATTCTCGAGCACTTGTTGTTTCGCCATATTATTTAGTTTGCACCTATACTCCCTCTGTGCTCTCTGCTCTCTGCTCTCTGCGCTCTCGTCTCGGTCTCGTCCACTCAACTCTGTGGACTGCTGTAAAACCAAACCCCCAACAGACCAACAGGCCAGCCGACGTCTACTTTGTGTCGCCTATCGCTTACGCTTAACCCCTGCGCTCCAACCACAAAACCAACAGGTAAGTGCCGATGGCAGCCGCCCCTTCTTCCATTGATACGATCTGTTTTTAGCTCCTTCTCTGCACTGCACCTTCCGCTTGCATGCAGTCTAGTTGCTGTGTTCCCTCGCTGTTACCAGAGGTCTGTCTGTCGGAACAAGGGAGCCATCCCATCCCCCTGGGCACGACCAACAAGCTGGCCCTCGGTGTTGTTCACTTGGGCCAGGCAGGACGAGTCATCCAGGTCGACTGTGGCCGTTCAGAGCTGTCCCTGTCCCTCCCTTATCAGCACGGGGAACAAGGTCCTTGAACTGTGTTGTGACGGCGGTGGGAACACGCCAGCTCACGGTCCCAGCTTGGGCTTCGTCTCAACGGCACCTCCGTGCCTTTAGCCCGCTTGGGGAAAACTCAAATTGTGGTTCTTTGTCCATCTGCCCATATCACCACATCCTGATTTGGCCGTTCCTGTCGCTGCAGCACGGCCCAGGGCCAGGGGGAGGGAGCCGTCAACTGGCGGGGCAGACCCTCACCATCTGCAAGCTTCCAGAACACTGACGCCGCCGCATACCCCAATCCAAGTCACCCTTGGCTTGTTGGCCAGCTCAGCCCCTGTCTAGTCATCTTGTCACAGCACAGCTTCTTCTTGCATGATCAGTACTTAAATCCCTACCTCTTGTGCCTGTCTGTCCCAATTGTCTTCGCGGGAAATGGCTCACCGTATCTCTACTTCCACCCGGGCTAACAGCTGCACTTCTTAGGAGCAGACACATCCAGCATTCTCCATCCTCTTATCTTTCAGGCCTCCGACTTACCACACCAAGGCTTAATTAGCGTCCCCCGTTGCGCTTTTGGCCAGGAACTCGACCAAAAGAGACATTGGAATTTTCTGCAACTTACCACACCCTCAAATCATCAAAATGTCCACCGCAGCTACTCAGCAGCCTCCGGCTATACCTCCCCGTCCGTCCAGGGGATCCCAGGACAGGGACAGTTCCGAGCTCCCTAGAATTCCACCACGTCCTACTAAGCGCGGTCCCTCGCCCAACCCCGACCGATATGCCCCGTCTCCTCTGAACGGAGGGCTCCTCAGTCCGACCAAGAAGGACTTCCGCTCAAACTCGAATGGCGACCCAATCGAACGTGTCAGAAGCGTTGATCTGCCGGCTGTTGTCGGCGAGGAGGGCATGGAATACGCCGCTCTGGCTGAAGAGGTGACATCGTCTCGCGACCCGAGCACCTCTCCCACGCAGACTCGAAGCGTGGACGAGAACATGAAGATATATGCCCCCACGGCGACCATGCCTGCGTCAAGGGCCAAGCAACGCATCCAGCAGGTCACAAGGACCGACTCGGACAACGCGGCCGCTTTTGGTATCGGGAAGCCAAGCCAGGATCTCCCTACGCCCTCAAATCGCAGTCTGAAGAAGAAGGCCAGCACAGCTAGCGGCCTGTCCCACAGCGAGGTTGAGGACGAGGAGCATGGCATCCCGGAGATCGGGCAGCAAATTCCCTTGCTGCCAAACGCTGGCGACGTGCAGGCTCCATCCCCTGCTCCTGGGTCCGATGCCATCAAGTCCCACAAGAGGAAGGGTAGCTCGAGGGGCCTCCCACCTGGGAGCTACGGTCTGCATGGCCACAATGTTGCTCCTCAGGACAAGCTCGAAAAGGAGTACTACAACAAGCACCCTGAGCTTCTGAAGCTTGAACGCCACCCCTACCAGGCCGACCGTCCCACGGACTTCGCCTTGAGCAGTGAGCAGCTCAACAAGCTGGTCAGGGACACCGAGTCCACCGGTCACGGTGTTGGTAAGCACATGTAACGCCCCCATCATCCATTATGTGGTTCTAACATCAAAGTTAGGCACCATTGACCATATGGGCCTGCCCAGTGAACAAGCTGGTTGGGCTGCGCTTGACGCTAGCTCACGCCCTCAGTCAGCCAAACCGGGCGAGACGGAAGTTCGTATCGATGAGCCCAACCGCAGGAGAAGTATCCTGCTCAGTGGTGACCCTGTTCCTGCCCCATTGCCGGAGGAAGGCACCGAGTATACGGCTCCCATCTTGGCTGAGGACGAGGTGAGGAAGAACACCCCGCAGCGGGACCAGGTAGCATGCATCGAGCCCTCAAGGGAGCGCCGAGGAAGCGATTATGAGGCAGACCCACCACGCAGTCGCCCCACTAGCCGTCCGGCCAGCTTGTACAAGGTGGATTCCTCCGATATAAGATCCACGCCCCTGGAGGACGTGGAAGAGTACGAGCCGCTTTTCCCTGAGGATGATGAGGGCACTCCCAGGAACCTCACTGCTGCCCAGATTGAGAAGATCAAGCAGCGATTCCCTAGCAAGGACATTTGGGAAGACGCACCTAACAGCGTGCATCATACCGCCACCGTCTCTACGCCCGACCTCGCGGAGCAGATCCAGAAGAACGTCCCCTCGCGTGACCAAACCGAAACGCCGGCACAGGAATGGGCTCGCAAACAAGAAGAACTAGCTGAGAAGGAATTGACACACCCCGACGCCTTCCTGTGGCGCAACCAGAAGCCTTCCTGGGTTGGCCACCAGTCTCACCTCTCCCAGGAGTCTCGTCCTAAAATGGCGCAAAAATTCCCGAGTCGCGATGTCTGGGAAGACACTCCGGACAGTCTGAAGCTCGAGACCACGGTGTCTGGGCCTCAAATGGAGCCAGCATCACCGGCGGACAATAAGCCACCTCAGATCCCGGATCGTCCCCGGCGCAAGTCCAGTGGCTCTAAGGAGAAGCCCGCGATTCCTGAGCGACCTAAGCCCAAGTCGCCAGAGGAGACATCGCAAAAGCCCCAGATCCCAGACCGCCCCAAGCCCCAGGTGCCCGCTCGGCCTGTCAAGGCGCCTGCTGCCGCCGGCAATTCTTCCGACGCGCCGGCTCCTAAAGCGAAGCCCGCAGTACCTGCCAGGCCAGCAGGCAATAAGATTGCTGCACTACAGGCCGGATTCATGTCGGATCTGAACAAGAAGCTCGGACTAGGACCACGGATCTCACAACCCAAGGAGGAATCCAAGGATGAAGCGCCTGAGGAGCCAAAGGAGAAGGTACCCCTGTCCGATGCCCGCAAGGGAAGGGCCCGCGGTCCTCAAAGGAGAGCCCCTGCAGCAGCGGCAGCAGCGGCACCTGCGGAGTCTGCGTCGAAGAAGCCGAAGTTGACCTTTTCAACAACCGTAACCGTCTGGTCTTTGGACCCGGAGTCGGAGGGTACAATTCAGATCGGAGGGCTGAGTCCAGCAGAGGAAAAGAAGGAGCATATTGCACCTGTCGTTGAGATACCCGTGGACAAATCCGTGGCACCTGTGGTCGAGGCATCTGCAGACGACAAACCCGTGGCTCAGGAGGTCGGGTCCTCAGCAAAGTCAGAAAGTGAACCCAAGCTAGAAGAGACTACTGGTGAGGTTGTCGACGCCCAAAATGAGGAGGAACCAACAGTGAAGAAGGAAGTGTTGGCAACCAGTAAGTGTCCACGTGATGGCATCCCATCCACGATACTTGGCTAATAGTTATGCTCTAGACATGGCAGGTGAAAGTGTCGAGGAGGCTGTCGTGGAAGAGAGTCAGGCCGGCAAGGTCGAGGCGAAACACGCCGAGGTGAACCCCGTTGAAGACTAACTCGAGGCTTCAACTTGGTTCTCAAAACATTCCTTCTAGTATTGTCGATCTTTACATGAATAAGTAAACAAACGTGTGGAGAAGATGGGTCGGAAGCGCATCTAAGGGGTCGGGTTATTCTACAACAGAATACGTCAGGTAGCATTCTGGATTTTTGATGCCGACTTACTTTCATTCCTTTACAGTATACAAACCAGGCCCTCAGCAATGGCCGTACGAGAGCGCGACACTGCTAGACTTTGTCGTACCGGTCAAGACGACTCACTGCTACACACGCCATCTCGACTAACATAACACCGCGAAGCAGCTAATGTGCTTGCTCTCTTGGCCTCTCATCAAGCTGACTTAGGCCTGACAAGCCGTCGCGATGTCTCCACTGAACCGTGACGAAGGAGCAGTGACGATCTCGTGTATCATCCGAGCGGTGTTGGTTATCACCCACGCGTGCTTCATAGCTGCCTGTGCAGATGCCGGTACACTGCATCACGCACACCTTCAATGGTAGGGCACTGGCCATTTCTCAAGTTTTGCACGAGTATTCTGGCAAGTAGCGTAGCAGCGTCGCGAATTACCGCAACAGCTGGGTAGTCGCGGATCATCTGCCGCTCGTAGGTGTAGATGTTATTAGAAGGCGTCAAATCAGCAACAGCAGTCGTACAGAACGCTGCCAGACATCAATGCATTCAACAAGTTTTTATGCGCCTTGTGCGAATTAGTTATGCATGCTGTTATCCGTGAACTCGTGCCCTAAACAAATGCGCAGTCCCTTTCCCTTCCAGTAATTGATCTCAGTACCGTTACAATGCTTTGTGTTTATATGTGTGCAAATAAAACACCCGGAATGCCCGTGTCCAGCCTTTGGGTCTTTGGCTGCCCCGACCCGTCCTGTCCGTTGGAATTTCTTGCTCGCACCTGGAAAACCTGACTCCTGGTACATATGGAAAGCCACCCAACTCAAACCCCATGGAACCCTCTCATCGGTTCTCGACCCGGCGGGGCGTCGTCACCCGACCCGCAATTATCGTACAACAAGGAGCTCGTCTTCATCGTCATCATCGTCGTCCTCAAGGACAACCTCCTGCTGCTGCCGCCTCTGCCTCGACGCAAGGGCCCCGTTCCAACCCCGAGAGGCCGCCGCGGCGCCGTGCTCGGAGGCGACGACCGAGCCGGGCAGGCTCTCGCGCCCGGCCTCGCGGATCCCCTTCTCGGTGACGAAGCGTGTCTTCTTGCGCACGGGCGACCGGTCCTTGTCGCGGAACGCCGACCCGCCGCCCGTGAGGGTGGTGGTGGTGATGTTGGTGAGGCCGGTCCCGCCGCCGCCGCCGCTGCTGTTGCTAGCGCCGCTGCTGCTGGCCGTGGTGCTGCTCACGCTGTTGTGGCTCGTGTGCAGGGACAGCCGCTCGCCGGCCCTCATGCGCGACAGCTTGTCGCGCAGCGAGGTGCCCCAGCCGAAGCCGCCGGGCGGGCGGCCCGTCCCTGCTGCCGAGTGCAGCCTGCTCGTGGCGCCGGCGGGCCCGTGGTGGGCCGACGAGGAGGAGGAGGAGGAGGCGCCGCCCGGGGGCCTGGAGTCGAACGAGGAGCTGTTGGACGACAGGGAGCTGTCCTGGCGCTTGCGCTTGATGGGGCTGAGGGAGATCTTGGGGGCCCCGGCGGTGCCCCGGGGCGGGAGCAGGCCCAGGGACCGGGCGTCGGTCTTGCGCGGCTGGTCCTGGTCGTCGGTGCTGGCGAGCGAGATGCCGTTCGCCGGGAGCCTGACCTCCGGCTTGAACGTCGAGGACGACGGCACCGTGCGCGGGCCGCCCCGCAGGCCGCTGAGCCTCGAGGTGGACCGGGAGCCCGCCCTCGCGGTCTCCTGCGCCCCCGAGATGCGCATGTACTCGCCGCCCATGCCGCCGCTGCCCATCTCGCCCAGCTTCTTGGCGATGTCCCTCTCCTTCTCCTGCGCCGCCAGCTTCCTCTTCAGGCCCTCGGCCCTCTCCCGCGTGTCGGCGATGCCGTCGCGGTCGATGAGGGAAGACGCGCTCTGGCCGCGGCCGCCCCCATTCACGAAGTAGCGGCTCCGCGTCTCCCAGTCGAACTTGCCGTGTTCGTCTTCGACCTTTGCCCTTCTTTTGGCATCCTCGCTGCTTTCCCATTGCTTCTTTGAACGATGGCCCTTGAAATCACCGCCGAGGCCCCCCGTGCCGTTGATCTCCTGCCGTGCCGACCGTGTTCGGGACAGGGCCGTATTGGTGTGGAACTCGCAGTGCTCGGTGCGCCGGGCGTTCACCCAGCTGTTGCAGAGCTTGCCGTCCGACTTGACGGATTTGCAGTAGCCCAGGTCCCGCGCCGCGCCGATCTCGAGGATCGTGTCCGCGTCGGAGTTGATCGTCAAACTAAAACGGCCAGTGTCCGCACGTCCGGGTGGTGGCGGCATGATGTCTGGGTTGAGGATGGCCACGACGGTGCCCGTAGACAGTTTCCAGAAGCGCTCGAAACCCGAATTGAAGAGGAAGAGTTCAACCTCGTACTCCAGGTCGACGAGGGTCAGCACCATGTATTTCCCCCGGTCTGACTGCTTCATCTTCCTCGTCTCGGCGTCGTACTGAGGCTTGTGGTGACGAGGGTCTGACTTGGAGGCTACGATGGCGAACACGACGCTGTCAACCACGTCGTCCGGGAGTGACCAGTCTGGAGCCTTGACCTGCCGTAGCAAGTCCTTGATGGAGTATGTCGTTTTCCCGGAAACGGCACGGGCGACGATTTGATGTGGTAAGATGCGCTTAGACAAATGAAATCCCGAGTAGACGTCGAATGACGCAGAAGGTGACTTTGGGGTGTCGGATGCGATTGATGAGAAGGAACCTGCGACCTGAGATGAGAACGAGCCAGAATTTGAGGCCCCGTGCCCCAGACGAGACGCTGTCCGTATGTCAGGTGCTGTATTGCTGCGGCTCAAGTGTCCATTCCGGGGCCTCTCGAATGGCGCAGTCCCGGTCGTGTCGTCCCGGGCGAATATCCGATCACGAGGTGACGGCTCGTTTGGTGGCACATCAACGGCAGCCTTTTTGTAATCCTCCATTTCCTGCTGTGTCACGTTGAATGCTGAGCTTCGCGACCTGGAGGCCTTCGATCTCGTTTCCTCGCGTGTCTTCTCCTCGGTCCGGGCAGCAGCCAGCCTCTCGTTGAAGCTCAGTGGCCGGGGCTTGTCCTCCGTCAGGCCTGGGGTCCTGGACCTGTGCAGGTAACCTGCCCCGCTGCCCTGCGAGCCTCCGGGGTCATCTGACGACTTGCGAAGACTTGGGGCTCTCTTCAGTGATACGTCCTTTCCCCTCAGTCCTTTGTCTATGCCGAGTAATATGCGGCTTGGGGATGTCTGCTCTGGCTGCGCCTGGGCCTTCCTCACTGGCGAAGCTGGCACCTCCACGGCAGAATCTTGTGAGGGTGGCCGTACTGCTGCATCTGTCCTCCTGATCTCCTTTATCCTCATGCCCGGCCGTCCCGTCGAGGCTGAGCCTGGTCTTGACCCCTTCGTGTTGTCCTGGTCCGAAAGCGCACTGAAGGACGAATGCGGGTCGTTCTGGGACCTGGCCTTGTCCTTGCGCAACTTCTTGAGCCTGAGCTGTGCCTGTATCTGCTGGAGTTTCAACTGCAGCGTCTCCTCGTCATCCTCCTCGTCGACGTCCATCGGGTCCCCCATATCCATGTTGTCGTCCATGTCCATGGTCATTGTCGGCAGCGTCGCGCCGCGTGAGCCAGGTCGCGTAGAACGTGTCTTGGAAGGCGAGGGCGATGAGGAGCGCTGTGCGAGTATTTGTCTGTATCGCTCGCGGCCGCCGGGGGTACTCAGCAGGGCCTCGCGAGGGGATCGTGGCGGCCAGTGAGCCTCCAAGCCTGCAGCGTCTGTCCATGAGTCAGTTGGAACACCAGCATTAGGATTTTTGCCTTTAAGATGAAAAGGAGCCTACTGGATGCCATCCTGCACGCTTTATTATTTCATGAAGATTTTTTTACTTTCTGCAAATGGGTCGGGGGTCTCCCGATGTGCATCTGCACCCGAGTGTTGTGTTTGTGTTGGCGCCAAAATGTTTGGCCCAGGAGGGATCAAGAAGTAGATATGTACCTTGCCTACCTATAACAGCCGAATAATATCACCCACACGTAGCAACGCCGCGGTCCAGGACTTTGCAGGCGCCCCGAGAACAGCACATGGGAGCCAATGGGCAGGCAGGCGGTAGATCTTGTGGCTGATGTTTTGTCGCTGCAATCAGAAACAAGCGGAAGCGGCCGACTTGGAGGGGGGGAAGGATGTGTAGTTGGTAGACGGACTGCCGAAGTCAAGGACCTAGGTTTGCATGCAAATGGCACGTAATGCCCCTACAGAGTAGGTACGTAGTTTGGGGCAGGTAAAGCCAACAAGAGGGGCTCCAAAGGCGGGTGAGGCTGCCCCAGGGCCGAAACGGATGATCGACTGATACTCTAAATTAGTCGAGTGTGGCTGTTGTTCCGCGTGCCGCATGCAACTCACACCTTTCGCCCTCGCTTGGCCTTGGAAACCGGATCCTACAGGAGCGGGCGCAGGGCGTCGCACAGATTACGGTACAGGCCCACGGGGGAAATGGGAGGGGGCGCAACAGAGTTGCTGGGATACGCGACAGCGCGACTCGGACGCGACCCCACTCTGTAATAAGCGCGCTGACAGGGACCCTGGGTTATTTACTTGGGTACACTGCTTTTGGAGAGCCTGCGTCTGCATCTCATATCGGCTTTCGATAAGAGATATTCACAATTCTGGGAGTGGCGTCTTGTACATTCCTGCTCAGCGTCCATTGAATTGCCAGTTTTTTATTTTATACCAAAAGGCCACATTGTAAGGATATGGCGAGGACACGGTCAACAAAAGGCACCGACAAGGGGGCCAAAAGCTCAGGCAAAGACACAACAACCTCAGCAGCATCATCAAAGTACTCCCTACCAGCAGAGTCTGAGAACCCGTGTAGGGTACTCATCTTACCAGAGAAGGCGAGCCCGGATGCAAGAGTTGTGTCACTCACACACCCTCGATACTCAAAACCAACACGGTACCTTGTATGTCCACAGACCGGCGCATATGAGTTCGTCAAGATCTCAGAACCAAAGACGACACCCCGAAGCTGGCTCATCGAGGGGAGTAATGAACGGACATCCGCGTCAGAAGATGCCGCCGAGGAGGAGGACGAGCAGGCATTTCAGACACAGACAGCCAAAGATGCAGACCTCTTCATAGCCACACCGATCGACCCATTGTTCCTCGCCCTCCCCGCCCTAGTGAAGCAGCTGTCCTCGCCAAAGCGCATGTTCCTGTCCAGCGACGACCACCTCGACAGCATAGCAGAGGACGCGCCACACCTGCGCGAGACCCTGAGGTGGGCACAATGGCGCGAGCTGCTCGAGTCCCGCATGGCAACGGGCTGCGACACGGTCGAGGCCGGAGACGAGGCCATGTTCCGGCTGAGCGAGGAAAAGCTGCTGGCCGAGCTGCTGGCCAAGGCCCGTCGGATGAGCGATGGCGGCCTGCCGGCGAGCATGGAGGACAAGTTCGTGACCAAGGCGCTGGAGGCCCCCGTGCTCGGGCGCAAGGCCCCCGCCGTGACGCTGCGGTTGCAGACGCTCGAGTCTTCCGAGACCAACGGCGCGGACTCGGGGTCGGACACGCAGGTGGAGTCTCAGGCGTCCGCTGCAACATCTGCGACGTCCGCGTCCGAGGCTTCGACTGCCGCGACTTCTGTGGCAGATGACGCCGCCTCGGCCATCCAAGCCTCGCCTGAGGTGGTCAGGCTCCAGCGCCTGCGGGTCGGCTTCAACTTCATCTGCTCGAGCTACGTGCCGCCGGCCTTGGCGGCCGTGCTCAAGAAGATGCTGGCTGAGGGCAAGGGCAAGGGCGTGGACTTCAAACTACTCGATGACTACGTGGGGGAGCTCACGAAGCTGCGGCAGGAGGCAATGATGGCCCGGTCAGCGTCGGACTACAGCCGGAAGAGGACAATGGACGAGGAGGACGAGGATCGCAGGGAGAAGAGGCGCAAGAAGGAGGAAGAGGAGAAGAGGAAGAAGGCTGGGGAAAGCAGGGGCGTAAGGGACCTCAAGAAGGTTAACACATCGGGGATGAAGAAGATGAGCGACTTCTTCGCAAAGAAACCCAAGGCTTGAGCACTGCCTGCAAGGGACTGGCGAAGCACCAACTCTTTCGGTACGTATGTAGGATATGTGTTTTTGGATGAGAGCATATGTCGTTGGATGGCGTTGGAAACACCAAAAGGGGGGTATCATTCAATGCAAGGTCACACGAATAGCATAATACGAAGACGGACAGACACCAGAGCGGGTTCCTCGCCCTCATCGCACGCCCCTGCTGCTTCCCGTTCCTGTGCCCGTACCCGTGCCCGTGCCTGTCCCCGTGCCTCTCGTACCCCTCGTCGTGCGCGAGGCGCCGAAGCCCCTTCCTATCTGTGACCCGGCCCGCGTGCTACTAGAAGACGGCGCGGTGCCATAGCCGGAGCTCGTCCCGCTGCCCCTCAGTATACCACCACGGGTCCCCCGGGTGCCCCTGACGCCTCTGACGCCCCTCACACCGGAGCCCCGGCCGGCAGCTGAGCCCGTGCCTGCCATGCGCGCCCTGTCCTGCTCCTCAGCCTTGCGCCGGGCCTCCTCGCGGCGGCGCTCCTCCTCGGCTGCCTTGCGCTCGAGTGCCTGCTGGCGGGCCGCGGCCTCAGCCTCGATGTCCTGCAGGTCCTGGGTCGAGCCCTTCCAGTTGGGGTTGAGGATGAGCCGCTGGTTGTGTTCTGTCTGGGAGAGGATGCGTGTCCATGTGTTCAGGAGGGTGGAGGCATTGTCGACGGTCTGGGAGACGGTCTGCGAACGGGTGGGTGTCAATGTCAGTTGGGCTGTACTGTACATACGAGATGGGCAAGACTGAGGCAAGACTGAGGCCTAATGCGGGGTGCTGCTGTGGCCGACTTACCCCCATGTTCCCCTTGGCCCGCTCGAGTGTTCCGATGACGCCCTCGATCACCTCGTTGATGTTGCGAACCCCTTCGAGCTCCCGCCGGAGCTGCGTCTCCCGGACCTCATCGGCATCGAAGGGTTCCTTCTCCTTGCCGCCGGGGCCTGGGGTTGGTGTTTTGGGTGTCTTGGGGGTCCTGGGCCTATCGTCGCGTTCGGCCATGGTGTTTTTGTTTGGGTTGTATTGGGCCTGTTCTTGGGGCCATGGGCGATTTGGGCGATGACGTTGCAGACAAGGCTGAATCAAGGTCTGCTATTATGGACCGACGCGTCGTTTGCCAAGAACCGCTGCCAACCGCTGCCAAACGCGAGCAGGACGCGTTGGGGCACAACAAGAATTGATTGGCTAGGAGGGAGTGGGGTGGGCTGGGGGAGGGCAAGCTCCACTGTTACCAGCTCACCCGTGCACAATGTACCAGCCATTCTATTCTTCGCCCATGCTTTTGCCCAATGAGTGCAGTATCAATTCACTTCAGCACCCTATCCTATTTATTATCTGGCTTCCTCTCCATTGTTGGTATTTTGCTCTTCACGGCTGGTATTGTTCTAGTGGTATCCCATGAATGGTGAACAGTACTGCTCTACTACCACAGTACTTAAACCTGCTTTCAAAGCTTTCCTCTTTGCCGTGCTGTGTCTTGGAGACGGGCGACCCCATCACGAGTACACAGTGCCCACAACCCCCTAGTCTACCAAGCTACCAAGAGGCCCACCCGCATCCTCTCCAAGTCTCAAGCTCTGCATCTCCCTTCTCCCAACCCTTACCGCTCTTCCAACCTCCCCCTTCTCAACTTCTCGACTCCCTTTCATCGTGTCCTAACCCTCTACCCTCAACCTTTTACATCACATCGACTCTCGTCCCATCTGGCTCCTCAATTCACCCGAAAGCATTGACATATTGGAAGCTTTGGCAGGTTCCTGAATCACTGCTGCTGCCTTATCACCTTGCCGCGGCCCCACATTTCTTAAGGCATTAAGGCATACCTCCCTCTCATCCTAAAGTCACCTCCAAACGTGCCTGACAAACGAACAAACCATGGCATCTGTATCGACGCCCCCTCCGGGCTCGCCTGCCAGTATCAACACGCCTCCTACACCTCGCCTCGGTGGCTTCGATGACGATTGGGAGCCTTACACTCCCGTTCGCAAGTCTGCACGTCTCTCGTCGCAGCGCACCTCAGCCAATCGAACACCCTCACCTCACCTGTCCGGTCGCGCACCCACATCTCGTCAGGTCCGCGGTTCACCCAAGCCAGCCTCCGACAAGAAACATCAGTCTTCTCAGGCTAGCTCCTCCAGCATGAGTTCGCCCCCAGCCACCGCGTCGCCCCAGAAGAAGCGCCTTCCTACGGCGTCGCGCGTGTCGTCGGGGTCATTGACCGCAGAGAGCATTCGCAACGCTGCTGCCGCCCTTGGCCAGTCGCAGAGGATGGACTCCCTAACCAGCGCCCCGAGTCAATCGGCCCAAGTGATGCCCACCCCCGCCAAGACCCCATCGCGCAAACATGCCGAGCAGAACGAAAAGAGCGTCAATGCGATCGCGCGCAACCTCTTCAGCAAGCCCCAGAGCCCCAAGAAGTCGCGCGCCAAGCAGTACAAGTTCGACAGCTTCGAGGCCGAGGACGACTCCTTCCAGATCTACACCGACTCCCAGGACCGCCTACCTGCGCCCGATGTCACCGAGGACAACCCTTTCTACGGCGAGGCCGGCATCGCTGCCTCTGCGAAGCCCGTTCGCCGCAGCTCGCGCAACAAGAAGAACATTGTCGGCGCCAACGTCTCAGAGCAAGTCGACGAGGTTGTCAAGCGCAAGGACGGCATCCTCTACGTCTTGTAAGTTACCTACCCACGCCTGATGCGTCTTCTTCTCTCCGTACTAACTGCATTCATTGTAGCCGTGGCAAGAAGATCTTCAGGAAGTTCTCTGAGGACGAGGAGTCTAGCCCCCGGCTCGACGTCAAGCCCCGCCTTCTTTTCCCATCCGCGAAGAGTCACAAGGAGAATGATCTCGCCCACGACGATGAGGAGGCAGACACCGACATCGAGCAGCCCGTCGTTAGCAAGGCAGAGGTCGTCAAGGCCAACGAGTCTAAGCCCAGAGCCGAGACGCCCGTCGAGGCTGGTGAGGCCAAGGTCGACACCCCCAAGGCGCCCAAGTACGCACCTGCGTCGCCTCCAGACACGAGCCGTGCCACACGATCCAAGAAGATCACCAGTGAGCCGGTCCCGATCAAAACCAAGCGCACTGGCAACCGCAGCCCCTTTGATGGTTGGCGTCGTACCAAGACTGCCTCCGAGGGATCGGCGAATGGCCAGAAGCGGCCTGGAGAGCCGATCAGCGGCCCATCTGCGTCCAAGCGGCCCAGGACTTGAATTTGAGGTTCATTTGTTTGGGACTCGAGAGTCGAGCTGTTTTGTCTACTTGTTTTATTACTTTATGGAATCTGATTCACAAGGAACAGCATCTTCCACCGACGGAGAAACGGCGTATGGCAGCAAGGGGATCGTTTGGCGAGCTTGAGGAGGCTCTTTGATACTCCCCGGAATGTTGCGATGTTGCGCAGGATGGTTTGGAGTGTGCTCTTCTGTGAGGCTCTGGAGAGCCCTCTCATATCTCGACTGTCGGTCATTTGCCATTGCAGCCTTTACAAAATGCATTGCGAACAGAAGTACTTGCGGGTAGCCTCTGCGGTCTGCCAAATACGGGTTTTTCATTATGACATTGACTAGGGGGCAAGGGCAAGGAGTCTTGGACTGATTTCCGCAGGCATGTCTGGAAAGGGAGGATCAGATAGATAATTTTTGACTTTATGGATTCGGTCCTGAGTTGCTCCATCCAGTGATTCTGATGTATGTGATTTTAAATGCCAATGCTGTGGGATAACGTAAATGGTGAAGCTATCTTAGGCTTGTCCGGTTTATTGAGTAAAGCCAAGCAGCCCAGACCATGAGACAAGGAGCACGTCATTTGTCATCGAGTCCCGAGGTCGTATGATGCGAATTGGCATCGGGACTCGTCATGTCATTCATGGTGGGAACTCGGCCGGTTTGCGGGCCCACGAGTCGGTGGCCAGCTTGGAGGAGATGCCCCACCCCCGCAATTCCTCAACTGCGTTGGCAACGCGGGTTCTTTCCATCCCCAGAGAAAACACGTCTTTTTCCTTTGGTGCTGTCATTCTAGGTTCCAATTTTTTATGTTTAGGACTTCTCTTACAGGTAGATTGGCCCGTTATACAACCAGTACTCTCCGTCTCCACCACCGATCCGTTCGAAAGAATTCGTCAGGACCTCCCTCGCTCAACAAGACCCACGTTCCAAGGCAGCAGCAGCAGCAGCAGCAGCAGCCCAAGATGCACATCCTCGTGATCAACGACGACGGCCCGCCGTCGACGCACTCGTCCCCCTACGTCCACTCCCTCGTGCGCGAGCTCCAGGCCGCGGGCCACACGGTGTCGGTCTGCCTGCCGCACACGCAGCGCTCGTGGATCGGCAAGGCACACATGATCGGCCAGACCCTCAAGCCGACCTACTACCGCCCGCCGCCCGCCTCGTCCCTGCCCGCGGGGCTCGGGTCCGAAGACGACATCGGCACGACGCACAGCAGGCCCTCGGGGGACGGCAGCGTGGAGGAGTGGGTGCTGGTGGACGGCACGCCGGCGTCCTGCGCCCAGATCGGCCTGCACCACTTCTTCGGGGACCGGGGCCCCGTCGACCTGGTCCTGTCGGGCCCCAACTACGGCCGCAACACCACCGCCGTCTTCGCCCTGAGCAGCGGCACCCTGGGCGGCGCCCTCGAGGCCGCCGCCTGCGGCTACAAGGCCATCGCGCTGTCCTACGCCTTCTTCACCCGGAACCACGACCCCGAGATCGTCGGCGCCGCCAGCAGGCACGCCGTCCGCGTCGTCGAGGCCCTCGCGAGGCAGTGGCCCGCCGACGGCAGCGCCGACGTCTACAGCGTCAACGTGCCGCTGGTGGAGGGCGTCGAGCAGCGCAAGACGCTGTGGGCCGGCCTGCTCCAGAACTACTGGATCAAGGGGTGCAGCGCCTTCGAGGCTGTCGACGCCGACGGGGCCGACGGGCGCGACGAGGAGGAGGAGAAGATCCGCGAGGGCGCCAATGGCGAGGCTGCGACGCCGCGGGTCGACGGTGGGGCGAAGGTTGACGGCGATAACGGCGGCCACCAGCACAAGCACTTCAAGTGGGCGCCGAAACTGGCCGGTGTCATGAAGGCTGTGGATGACGCGCCTGCCGATTCTGACGGGCGGGTCATCAGGGACGGCCACACGAGGTAAGTTGTCCTGGGGTACTGATTGCTCTTCGAACACATGGCTAACGTGTGGGATTTTCGCAGTGTGACGGCATTGAAGGCCAACTTCATGCACGCCGATGAGAGTGCGCAAGGGCAGGAGCTGAAGCTGTGAGTGACTTGTTCCCGGAGTATGAGCATGAAAGAGACGAGCCAGGCGTCTTTGGACACAACACACGCACATATATCAAGACTTCTGGGGCTTCTCTACAGGCCCCCGGCCCGGGCGAGGGCTTGGACATAGAGTCATAGAAAGCATGCTAGAAATAGACAGCGTTTCTGCTCTCGACCCCGTCAGTCCATACACTTTTCCACCGAGACTGGATTCTTACACTTTTTGTCTTTGCTCCGGCTTCAGGGACCAGGATGAGCCTGCACCAGCAAGAACAGCACTGCCGCTCAGGACGGCGGGAACATTCGGCCCAGAGACAGCAGTCAAGCCGGGAGAGACCCAGCCTGATATCCCACCAGTCCCGAGCCCAGGGGAAGAGGTATTCGCGATCGTCGACTACGAGGACGCCTACGTCCAGCCGATCATCCTCTCAGCTCTGCAGTCCCTCATCCCATCCAACCGGCTACGCCTCGTCTCGCCGGACGCGTCCCGCAGCCTGGCGGAACAGGTGCCCAAAGACGCCAAGCTGCTCCAGATCAAAGCGTACGAGTCCATCGACTTCGACCACGCATCCGCGAACCCGTCGACGTCGCTCGTCAACAGCTACGTCATCCGCAAGGCCCTCATCAGGAAGCACTTCCTCTCGACGACGGTGGACCACTGGGTGGCCAAGAACCCGGCCTCGCCCCTGCGGGGCCACGTCAGGGCCAGCGAGCCGTTCGAGGTCGACTACGCCGAGTTCCTGGACGACGCGCTGGACGAGACGTTCGACCTGCGGGCGAGCCTGGAGCGCAACGGCGGGTGCGCGGGGCCGGAGGAGAGGGAGTGGTGGATCCTCAAGCCCAGCATGAGCGACCGCGGGCAGGGCATCCGGCTGTTCTCGACCATGGACGAGCTCCAGGGCATCTTTGACGGGTGGGAGGATGGGATGCCGTCATCCGACGACGAGGAGGATGACGAGGACGGGGACCTGCGCGACGGCAACGGGGCTGGGGCTGACCGCGATGACAGAGATGGCATCACGACGTCGCACCTTCGCCACTTTGTCGCGCAGCCTTACATCCACCCGCCGCTCCTGCTGCCCGAGTGCGACAACCGAAAGTTCCATATCCGCGCGTACGTGCTGTGCGTGGGCGCACTAAAGGTCTACGTGGGCCGCTCGATGCTGGCGCTGTTCGCTGGGCGGGCCTACTCGGCGCCCTGGGAGAAGAACAACGGCGGAAGGGCCGCAGACGACGGTTCGGAGGAGGACGAGGGCTACCTCGACGCGCACCTCACCAACACGTGCATCCAGGGCCCCAAGGCGGACGCGGGCTCGGTGCGGCGCTTCTGGGACGTGCCCGGGCTGGCGGACGCGGCCAAGAATGACATCTTCTCGCAGGTGTGCACCGTCACGGGCGAGGTGTTTGAGGCCGCCGCCAAGGCCATGATGGTGCACTTCCAGCCGCTGGGCTTCGCGTTCGAGGTCTTTGGGCTGGACTTCCTCGTGGATGCTGCAGGGCGCGCGTGGCTGCTGGAGGTCAACGCGTTCCCGGACTTCAAGCAGACCGGGGACGACCTGCAGGACGTCGTGGCTGAGTTCTGGCAGGGGGCGGTGGGCCAGGCCGTCGCCCCGTTCGTGGGAGCGGAGTTACCAAAAGACAGTGGGAAGGGGGATGGGATGGTGCTTGTCAGGGACGTCGATCTGGGGAGGAGGTGATTTGATGGTGTGATGTTACGATGGGGCCACCACGATGATGTTGAGGCTGAGCAGATCCGGTGAGCACCGGAGGGAAACCGTACCCGCCGGTTCCTGTCACCCTCCAGCACTGACCAGGTGGAAGACGGTACTACCCTAAATTATCGAGGGGCTTGGGAGTGCTACACTTGGTGGTGATATATCACTGCTGGTTGTCAAGATTCGAGCATTGCAGCTACAGCCTACCCTGGCCCCAGGCGTGGCAACCTGGGGACGGTAGACTTCAGGCACACACACGACCTGGCAGAGTTCGCTGGCTGGCGAAGCTGCCACCAACTGGGTCTCGAGCTCGGAAGATGCCTTGTGGTCAGCGAGACTAGCACGCCGTGACGACTTGTTTGGGGCTGTGCGTTTCAGCCAGAGCGAGTAGAACAGTGTGCGACGGTGCTACCCAATATCCCAGAGAGGACTTGGTGCACCGCGAGCTTCCGACGGTAGCGAGCCATTACGTGAGATTGCCAGTTGCCCTAAGCAGTAGCAAGTACACACATCTTATCCCACCAGTGTTGATGACGGTATGTAGGGTAGATGAGTCGTAAGCGTTGCAGAGTGCGAGCAATTTGTCGCAATATGGATCGCACGTGGACAGCTTTTCTGCCCATGTCACACGGCTAGTAAACACGTTCGTTGCAGAGAACTTAGTCTTCTCTGCATGATGCTTCGGTGATCACGCGCATACCATTGTTAAGCACGGAGAGCCGCCACGTTTTCCGTAGAGCCGCCGTCTGCGGCGAATGAGCGGAGTGTGTCCAATTAGGGCTCTGTGTAATCCAACTAACCGGGATCCGGAGAATCAGGGAATTGAACGACACCCAGCGGATTGTCCTGATTGTTGGCCTTGTCCGTAGGACCGGTTGCACCTTAGTCAGTGCAAGCCATCTATGACCAGCAACACATGGAATTATACTCGGACTAAGGCACGGCGCCTGTGGGGGCTGTGAGAAGTTGTGCCCTGCACGTTGCCACTGAGGGAGATGTTTCAAGGATAGGTCGATCACGAAAGCCAGCTGAGTGTGGGCTGAACAAACCACTCGAAACAGGGAACATTTTTCATGGACCCTGGTTTCCGGTCGTTGATCCGAGTCGTATCCTGCAGCTCAGGATCGTCCTGTCCTTTTGAGTGTGGAGCAGATGTAGCTGTCAAAGTCGAGTAAAACAGAGCGAACATTGACTTGTTCGGATCATTGAAGCAAGGCGCGCTAGCAAGGAGCGTGCCCAATCATGTCTTGCACAGCCTCAATGTACCACCTGAGTGCTGGGCAAAAGACAAGCCCACACAAGCAATGTCCAAGAAGGCCCGTCGATCGTCTAGCACTCTTGCCACGGGGCTGGAGGAAACCGGGCAGCTGTCACCAAGACGGCCGAGACTTCGCGCCATGGGAGAGCCCGCGAGCTTATTCAGAGGGGTGGCGCAGGTGGGTGGGTGTGCCAAGATTTTCTTGGCCCCAGCAGTAAATCTGGATACTCTTGATGATATCTGTAGTTTTGTGTGAATTCTGACTGTAGGTCTGGGTGTAGATAGGCCATGTGAAGCTTGACCCGATAATGGCAGTATTGATGAAGATTTAAGGCCTAGGATCTAGCCTAATTTCCTTGCGACCGTGGCATCTAGCTCACCCGGGAGACGTCCAGGTGGCTAATCAGAGTGCTGCACAAGGTGGGCTTGAGCAGTGTAACGGCATCGTGCTTGGAGATGCAAATGCTCTATCCTGTCACAGCCGAGGATGACGCCGTTGTGCACAAATAGCTTGTCTTAGGATGGGCCGATCCAGACTGCTGGATTCTGCGACAGATGGCGATGCTTGGCTTCCTTCGGTTGTCTAATACGGGAGCAGGATCGGTGCCACAATGAGCCGCAGAGGTGCATCCTCACGATCCAACACAGCTGGCCCAAGGAAAACACTTTACTGCTTAAGTCAGGTGACGACTGCAAACGCGTGGCACGGGCGGGAGAGATGCGCAAGAGGCATGACCAATGACACCAATGACTGCCAAGGTGTTTTGATATCGCTAATGTGCCCAGAGGTTGCAGACAGAATGTGTTTCGGGCGGGTCACCGGGTGGGCCCCCCTCCGGCGATCAGTGAAGTCGACCAGCCCGGATCGGGGGCACCCCCGTAAGAGCCAAAGGCAAAGCTTCTAGAATCACGTCAAGAACAGGCCCAGGACAGAGGCCAGGACCACAGCTGGGAGCGGGCACTCTCGCGGGCTTGGGGCCTCGTTGTGTATTAGGCGAACAACAACCGGAAAAGCCGTCGCTTGGGGGGAGGCGGTCTGTACTCCGGAGTGGGCGCGAGGGTGTCGAGGGCAGCGTGGAGGCGGGAGCTTCAGGGGCGCAACGCGACTAGTCGGTTCGGAGTGTTTGGGGCCCCGAAGTCTAGTTGCAGGACGGGCTGGACGGCTGGGCGCCCGGGAGGTGGGAGGTGGGTGGAAGGGGAATGCGAGGGGTTTGCTGGGTTTCGCTGGGTTCGCTGGGTAAGGCACCACAACTCCACCGGCCGGAGATGAGGGTCCAGCGCTAATCACGGCGGCAGCGTGGATGTCATGCCCTGAATCGAGGGCAGATGTGTGGAAATTGGGAGCAACAGCAGAGAGTTACCACGGAACTCTTGGCCATGGAGTTTGTCAAATAACGGTGAGGTGCGGCGGCAGGCGGCAGGCCAGATTCGCAGTTGCCGGTCCCACGACGACGATATCAGCACAGCAGGACTGTGTACGGAGTAGAGAGTAGAGTGATCATCGGGTGACATTTTCCTGGCGGGTGGGAAGGGCTGTTCTTGGCGGTGCTGGGGCTTCCGGGTATACACAGTACTGTAGTAGACACTCCCCGTGTAGACACACGCACCCATCCGATGAAGGCGTGCGGCAACCCATGAGCTATGGTGCAAAGCCGTGGCTTGTGGGCCAGGTGAACTTTGATTGATGTGGCAACGATGATGACGATAGAACTGGAGGTCCACCAGGCGGGTGCTGGAGGCCTTTTTTTTGGGTTCCGTCAGAGACCCAAGAATCATCTCGCCTCCTCATCCGCAGCATCGCTCAGCCGGCGAGTCGGTTATCGTAGCGGCGTGGATGACGAGGCTCGTCTTGGCCCGAGTCTAAACGACTGACTGACTGACTGACTGACTGACTGACTGACTGACTGACTGACCGACCGACTGACTGTGGCCGGCTGGCTGAGTGCTTAGGTCGAGACGTTTGCGGCCTCCGCGTGGTAATTCCATGGCGCAGCACCAACCGCAGGAAGCCGCCGTCGGTCACCTAGTCAATGGGCTGCTTGCCCGCCTGCCCACCTGCCCGCCTGCCCGCTCGATTGTTGAGGAGGCGGAGGGAGGCGAGGCGTTGGAGGAGGCCGTCCAACAAATCCAGTCGCTCTTTGTCACCGGTTGTTGTCAAGCAGTCCGTTACTTTGCGCCTCGAGTCGTGTGAAGAACCCGAGCACGTCTGTCTGCACGTATGTACTGTACGTTTTGACATGGACCAGATGAATGCATCATACGGCATACACCAAAAAAAAGAATTCCGAATGTTTGGCGCCAGACCTGTGGTGCTAGTCGGCCCAGGGCCTGGCCATGCTTGTTGCGGCCAACACCTCCAGAACTGTGTCTGTTGCGTGTGTAAGGGCAACATGGGCAACTGCGAACAATGTGCCAAGAAGGCACGCGGGTCGTGGTACCTGGGTACCGTCGGCCAGAGCTCCAATCATCTGGGACCTCCTGCAGCCAGCCCTGCAAGAAACTGCAAGCGCGGGCTGGGCATTTTTGCACAGCCACCACGCTAAAGGGGAGGATCCATACTGGCTGGCTCCTTGCTCCCTGACAAGCCTGGCCCCCTGCTCCTGTCCCCATACCTTGCATCCCTGCCGTGTAACTTCCTCATGTCTTGTTTCCCCTGCTACCGTGTATGTGAGATTTCAAGGTAATCTGTACCCAACTCTCTGCACAGTACTGCTGCTTGCTATTACTACACTCGGCACCCACTTGGTGCTTGCTTTGCCTTTCTCGTCTGCTTGTTTGCTCGCCCTGCCTTGCACTGCCCTACGCGGATGTTCGCCTGCAGACCGTCTCCTACATAGGACAAGCCCATCCGTCCACCCGTCCTCCACCCCCGACATCCAGCCTTGTCGTCTTGACTGAGCCTGGTACCACTCCGTCCCGGAGCAGCATGTTACTGTAGGCCGCGACTTGCATACCGCCGGTATCCAAGTGCGAGCTCCGCGCCGCCAGCCACGACACCCTCCTCCACCATGGCTCCTGCTAGGCCCAGGGCCCCTACCATCACCATCGATACCACCGCCGTCAGCCCAACATCCGACGCCGACGACGTCGATAATAATAATGATGCCGCCGCCAACGCCCAGCATGGCCGTGGCCACTCCCCAATCTCACCCTCAGAAACCTACAGCCCCTCCACCGTCGTCGATCAGACCGTCCAGACATGGTCATCCCAGAGAATCACCATTGAGACTTCCGATGGCGTTACCCGCACCCAAGTAGACACGGAGCCGTCCTTCGAGAGCAGAGAGAGCCGCCCCACCAGCCCTCACAACGTTTCCAGCCCTATCTCTCGTGCAAAGGACCCCTCTCAGACTTTCCTGGCCGTCCCCAACCATGGCGGCCCCCGTTCCAGGCAAAACAGCGTCGACTCTGCCGACGAGTCCCACCCGAGATCTTCCACTCAGGTCGACACCAACACCACTCTCTACCAGAGCGAGCAGGGAGAAGCCAAGGGCAAGGTTTCCATGGAGCTTGACCACGCCCAGGTCATGAACGACCCTAATGCCCTCAAGCCTGACCAAGGCAAGGAAGCAGACTTCGAGGTGGACAACAACCCGTTCGCCTTCAGCCCCGGCCAGCTGGGCAAGATGTTCAACCCGAAGAGCCTTTCGGCTTTCTACCGCCTGGGGGGACTGGGAGGGATCGAAAAGGGCCTACGTTCCAACCGATCAGCCGGATTGGGTGTCGACGAGAAGCACCTGGACGGCGCCGTCACCTTTGAGGATGCGACCGGCACTGACAAGCTCAAGACAGAGGGCGCAGAGCCCACTCAGCCCGCGGCCAGCACCGCTCACCCCGATGCTCACGACCGAGACCAAAACTTTGGCGACCGGAAACGTGTTTTCAAGGACAACAGGCTCCCTGAGAAGAAGGGCAAGAGTCTGTTGCAGCTGATATGGATCACCTACAACGACAAGGTGCTCATTTTACTGTCTATTGCTGCTGTCGTATCTCTGGCAATCGGCCTGTACCAGACCTTCGGCACCCACCACGACGAGGACAGCCCAGCAGTTGAGTGGGTCGAGGGTGTAGCCATCATCGTTGCCATCGTGATTGTCGTCATGGTCGGCTCTCTGAACGACTTCCAGAAGGAGAGGCAATTCGCAAAGTTAAACAAGAAAAAGCAGGATCGGATAGTCAAAGTGGTCAGATCCGGAAAGACGATTGAGCTGAGCATCTTCGACATTCTCGTCGGAGACGTGCTCCATCTCGAGCCTGGCGATATGATCCCGGTCGATGGTATTCTGGTTGAGGGCTTTAACGTGAAATGTGACGAGTCCCAAGCGACAGGAGAGTCGGACGTCATTCGAAAACGCCCCGCCGACGAGGTGTATGCTGCCATCGAAAATGGCGAGAACCTCGCAAAAATGGACCCCTTCATCCAGTCTGGCGCCCGCGTCATGGAAGGTGTTGGCACTTTCATGGCTACTTCTGTCGGTATTCACTCGAGCTATGGCAAGACTCTCATGGCCCTTAACGACGACCCAGAGATGACTCCGCTCCAGTCCAAGCTTAACGTCATTGCTGAGTATATTGCGAAGCTCGGAGGTGCTGCTGGTCTTCTGCTGTTCATTGTACTTTTCATCGAGTTCCTGGTCAAATTGAAGGGCAGCACTGCGACACCCACCGAAAAGGGTCAAAACTTCCTCGAGATTTTTATCGTCGTTGTTACTATCATCGTCGTCGCTGTGCCTGAAGGTCTCCCTCTGGCAGTCACCCTCGCTCTCGCCTTTGCGACGACTCGCATGCTGAAGGACAACAATTTGGTACGACACTTGAAGGCTTGCGAAGTCATGGGCAATGCCAGCACGATTTGCTCAGACAAAACCGGCACCCTCACGCAGAATAAGATGCAGGTCGTTGCGGGGACGATCAGCACGTCTCACAGGTTTGGCGGCGCGCCAGCTAGGGAGGGCCACGAGCCAGTACCTTCTGGGACATTGGACGTCAGCGCCCCGGAGCTTGTCAAAACACTGAGCGCAGATGTGAAGGAACTGCTTAAGAACTCGATAGCTCTCAACTCGACAGCCTTTGAGGGTGAGGTAGATGGACAGATGACTTACATTGGATCCAAGACCGAAATGGCGATGCTTACCTTCGCAAAGGAGCACCTAGCCATGGGACCAGTCGCGGAGGAGAGGGCAAACGCCAAGGTCCTTCAACTCATCCCTTTCGATTCCGGCCGCAAGTGTATGGGTATCGTTGTCCAGCTTCCCGATGGAAAGGCGAGGCTTTACGTCAAGGGTGCCTCCGAAATTGTCCTTGCACAATGTACCTCGATGCTTCGCGACCCGTCGTCCGACTGCCGCACTACTCCCCTCGGCCAGGAACACAAGGACACTATCACCAGCCTGATCGAGCACTACGCAACGCAGTCTCTGAGAACCATCGGAATTGTGTACAAGGACCTGGACAAGTGGCCACCACCAAGGGCTCGACGTGTTGACGGCGAGAAGGATGAGATTTCATTCGAATCGTTCTTCAACAACATGGTCTTCCTCGGCATGGTCGGCATCAAAGATCCCTTGCGCGAGGGTGTTCGGGAAGCTGTGAGAGACTGCCAGATCGCTGGCGTCGTTGTCCGCATGGTGACTGGTGACAACAAACTGACAGCTCGCGCTATCGCTGAGGACTGTGGTATCTTGCAACCAGATTCTATCGTCATGGAAGGCCCAGAGTTCCGCAACATGCATCTATCCGAGCAGCAAGAGATTCTGCCACGGCTCCACGTTCTCGCACGTTCGAGCCCTGAAGACAAGCGCATCTTGGTCGGTCTCTTGAAAAACAAGGGCGAGGTTGTCGCTGTCACAGGAGACGGCACCAACGATGCACCAGCCCTAAGATTGGCCGACGTGGGTTTCTCAATGGGAATTGCCGGTACCGAGGTTGCAAAAGAAGCATCCGCGATTATCCTCATGGACGACAACTTCAGCTCTATTGTCAAGGCTCTGAAGTGGGGCCGTGCTGTCAATGATGCTGTCAAGCGTTTCCTGCAGTTTCAGCTGACCGTCAACATCACCGCTGTCGTCTTGACATTCGTCTCGGCCGTTGCTAGCAACGATGAGAGCAGTGTTCTGACGGCTGTGCAGCTGCTATGGGTTAACTTGATCATGGACACACTCGCGGCCTTGGCCCTGGCAACTGACCCCCCACAGGACAGTGTGCTGCACCGAAAGCCCGAGCGCAGGACTGCGTCCATCATTTCGACAACAATGTGGAAGATGATCATCGGCCAGGCGATCTATCAGCTCGTCATCACGTTCCTCATCTACTTTGGTGGCAACTCGGTCATCCCCGGTGATGATGCCAATGACGCCCAGATCCAAACTCTGGTCTTCAACACATTTGTTTGGATGCAAATCTTCAACCAATGGAAGTAAGTATACGGAACTCATTTCTCAATCAAAAGCCAAGGAGACTAACAAGAGATAGCAACCGTCGCTTGGATAACAACTTCAACATCTTTGAAGGCCTCTTCAAGAACTGGTTCTTTATCGGCATCAGTGCCATCATGTGTGGCGGGCAGATTCTGATCATCTTTGTTGGCGGACACGCATTCACCATCGCTCCTGAAGGGCAGACGGCTAGCATGTGGGGAACCGCCATCGTCCTCGGCTTCATCTCGATACCCATCGGTATCGTCGTCCGACTCGTTCCCGACTCGCTGCTCGAGAAGCTCGTCCCTGAAGCCATCAAGCGCCGGGCACAAACCAAGGTTCCAGATGTCACTCTCTCCGACGACACGGAGCGGTTCCAGAACTTCCCGGCAGAGTTTGCCGAGATCCGTGACGAGCTATACTGGCTGAAGCGGTTCAAGGGCGGACGTGTTAACAATCTGAAATTCGCCATGAAGCATCCGAAGGAGGTCTTCTTGCCCAAGAGGAGCATGTCGCGACAGAACTCGAAACAAAACTCTCGTTCCAATTCCATCAGGCAGCCGCAGACCCCGACTCGGGAGAATAGTTTCGGCTCGAAGGGCGGCGACGGCGGTAGCAATGTCGGTAGCAACGTCGGAAGCAACAACGGAAGCAACGTCGGCAGCGTCACGCCGGACTCGAGGCACAGGTCAAGGTCCAACCGGTCCAGGTCCAGGTCCAACTCGGTGCTGGGGGCGGCGACTCTGATGACTGGTATCGTGGCGGGCAGTGTCGGCGCGGCGGGTTGGTCGCCGATCGATCGGGCGGGGGGAGACTGGCAGCAGTTCCCCCAGACGAAACCGGCACCTTCGCCGCTGGGTGCTGGTGCATCCTCTACGAAAGGAGACGAGAAAGAAGATGGAAATGGTAACGGCTCATGAGCGACTGTAAATATGGGATAGGAGTTATCATAGACAGCACGTACATAATTGTATGACTATACCGGGCGTAGATGAATCATCTCGCTCGAAATTATTCAAATCACTCACGCTTCTTTCCTCCCTACTTTCGTGATATGTTTGAGCAAAAAGCAAAACCTGGCGATGTGACCAATTCTATTTGCTCGGCCAGTCTTTTGGGCTACGCGATCTCTCGATCTTTGAAAAAGACTCGCTATCAACGCGCAACTTGTTCCAGACTGTCCACTCAGCATCTTACTAACTGCTTCAACCTAGATATCGAGTTATCGTTGGTGGCTTTGATAGCGTGTGCTGCTTCGGTACCCGTTACTATGTCTCCCCACCCATGTACTTTCCTTACTCTCTCTTTTCCTTTCCCATGTACAAACCAAGGCTCAATTGAATTCAAACACGTTCTCTGGGCATGTATGTGGGTGCCCTCTTGGGTTAGACGCTGCAGTGACAGATCTGTGTAACCACCGTTGGGGAGACCGCGTGTCTAAGTATCTGCCTCTATATCAATTAGCAGATCTGCCTGAGGGAGTTGTCTGATATGTCATTAATGGGCCCAATTTCCAGTGGACGCATATTTGTTTATATTCTTTCCCCTTGAGCAACGAAATCGTCCGGTTTCCATCGAAGAGTCCGTCACCCATGTGTAGGGCAGCAATGATTTACTTGCACGGAACTCTTTCCGCCATTCAAATACACTAACATGACATGCAGATCTGTGTAACACAAGACATAGATTATTCTCCGGTGACATGATCCAGACCTTGATGAGCATGCTGGTGCCGTCGTCAGATCGGCATGCGGCAGGGAGCTTTGCGTATTCTTGGTACATGCACGAGTACCGATATACGGCGCCGGGGTGAGAATGGACCAGACTGCCTGATGCGCAACGGGCAGCGAGCACTTGACGGTCCAGGGCCCAAGGCGGGCCACCTTTGGACACGGCCACCTCCAGAGCAGAGACTTCTGAGCACCTGTCTGCTCCGCAAGGGGCGCTCCGACAGCTCCTTCTCGGCCAGCCGCAGACAGACCCAGAATGTGATGGTTACTGACTGGCCCACTCCAACCGTCGGTGCGACGGTGCTACCTGCAAGCCGTGGGGGGTGGCCGCTCTGCTGTTGGCGAATGGCATCATGCTGTGGGAATGCCCCCCCCTTCACCCGAAGGGCCTCGGTTGCTCAGTCCCAGCGCAGGATGACAGCATGTGTGACTGTTTGTGTCGGCTCGCCCCCGTCCTCAGACGATCACAGGCGGACGGTCTGGGCCCGGCCCGGCCATCTTCGGCACCCTAATTGGATCGTTAGATTGCACAAGGCAGCCGACGACGTCGTCCCTGCCCGATCTCGTTTCTGGCGCCGTCCGAATCAAGGCACTGGCGCAGATGCTCCTGCCAGGTCATAGTGATGCGCAGCCTGAGTGCGCATCGCCAATGGGCAGCTTTCCGGTTTCCGTGCTGCTAGTCACGGCATCATGCTTCTCAATAAGCTCTCAGGGGCCTCAGGGCTGCCAGGTCATCATCATTGTGCCAAATGAGAGGGAGTCTTGACAGTTTGGTTTTACTTTTGACAACACACTGTGGAAGACGCCATCAAGTACGCATTTTGCAAGGGCAGTACTACATAGTACATGCGACTTGTGAGCCCTTGCCCCTGGGATTATCACCAAGGGTGGGCCATTTCTTCACTTGACTGAGCGGTAGGGACCCATACTGGTTTCTCTCGACCAGATGGGCCGATTCTCTCAACACTCTGTGTCATTAGCACTGTATCTGATGTATCGCCGTCACCAGTCATGTAGGGAGTGACAACTTGACATTTTCGAAACAAGATCCGCCTTAATTTCCTGCTGGGAGCGTTGCAGCATTGGCCGCCCCATTGCGGTTTTTCTTTTCTCGTGCTCACTTGAAGGGCCTTGCCATTACATGACGAGTCTTGTATGGCGGTGAGCGCCACGAGCTAACTTGGCATGATCAGATCCGGTCGGAATTGTGATATGTGACAGATTCTCGGGCTCGCACATTTACAGCTGAGCAGCACTCTCAGCCCTCTTGTTTGAAGAAGGAACGACAGCTGCATTTTAGCCGACCGGTGTGCTAGATCAGAAGCATGTCTCATCGTGAGGGCGATTCGTGGTTCAAGTAGGTCGGCTAGGGATATCTGCTTGGACACATGACGTGGGGGAACGGCGGCCATGGGGACAAGGGCGGACGGTGAGTTTTGGATACGCTTATTGTCGGTCTCTGATCTTTGAAGCCCTATGTGAGGGTCCCATTTCGAAATAAGGTTTTCAATGCCGTGGTATGGAGGGTTGAGCCCACGTGCTTGCTGCCCCTACCGTACGTCGTACACTATACACTGTACATCTCGCAGAGGCCTGCGATAAAATCGCAGTGGCCGATAGAAGATATGCGGGCCCGAAACAAAATGAACCACTCGGGATGAGCCGCCCGTTGACAGCTCTGTACCGGGTAGCCATGCGTTATAATCTGGTGGGGGCATGGGGAAGCAGGAGACGGTATCGGAATGAGCCACAGCAATGAATCACTGCCCAGCACTGGCAACTATCGAGGCGCGTCTGCAGTCGACCGGAAATAAAAGGCTCACAGTTGGACGGGCCGACTTCCAATTCGCTGGCGTTAGACGAAGGAGACGATCGAAGGCGGTGAATTTTGGGCCTTTACAATGCCGCAAGGGTTGTGCTCCCAGTATCTCCATTTTTCTTGGCCCTGAATATTTTCTCTCACTATTGCGGGCCACGGGACCAGGTGCGGACTCCTATTAGCCACCCTCGTATGGGACACCCTCGTATGGGACACTCTCGTATGGGAGGACGTTCTTGTGGAATAACATCCCGTAGATGAGTGTTGGACCTCAGACTTCGACCCGAGTGTACACAGTACCATGATGTGAGGGGGTCCGCAATGTCATAGCCCATGAGCAGGCGAGGATGGGAGGTGAGAGAGGATCGTTAGATGGGCCATGCACACGCCCTCTGACGGCAGTCGGCACCAACACGTTCGCAGAAGTAGGTTCTCATTATAGACGAGATCCGGAACGGCCCCTGGGTGTCATGTTGAGCGGATGCTGCATAAGCCGGGCCGAAGGAGTGGCTTCCTGTCGTTTCTGTTCTCTCTTCCGCGGCCACGGAGCCCCCACAGGTTGATAGGGTCCCCCACGGCTGGGGACGGCGCCATTATGAAAATGAAAGGGTGGCATTGGGCCATCCGGGTTTTGGGGGAGGGGGAAACGGCATGTATGTCTCTGGAGGAGCAAAGTGATGGTCATGTGCAGGAATCAGCAAGGTCAGCATCGGCGGGGTTTGCTGGATGGAACAGCCAGCGGAACCCTGGGCGCATAGATGGAGCAAATAGGGAGGGTCCCGGCCGCTTGGCTCATGTGTTCCTGATGGGATCGGGCAAGGGGCCGAAGAGGTCGCAGGCAAGCAGGCTTGACCACACGATAGTACTATGTAGTAGCGCAAGCCGGGAGTGTCTGCACACTGTCTGACTGTCCCCACCCTGAGGACCTGAGGCCCAGCCCCGAGGAAATGAAAGGAGGCGGGTGAGAAAGAAGGAAAGAAGATTTAGAAAGAAAATGGATCTAGCACTCTCGCACCGAGGGCGGACGACGCCAGCTGCCCAGGTGACTGAGAATGCGAGGAGCGATCTGGAGCCTGGCTGGCTGGCTGGCTGACTGACTGGCCAGGCAGACGGGCGGGCATGGCGGTCCCTCGGTATGGCCGGATCCCCACGTTGAAAAGAGGCTGAAAGGGCCGTTCCAGACAACCAGACTGGGTCGGACTGAGCGCACCTCGCTTAGGATTAGGCATATGGCAAGATGGCAGATAGACTAGTGTATGGTCACTTACAGCATGCGGGCTCGATGGGTGGACATATGCAGTCTACACAAAGTGTGGGACAGACATGGGACAGGACGTCCCCACTTGGACATCGATGCGGATCGGGGCCTTTCCGCCGGTCTGCATGGTCCAAATGGCAAGCATGTGTTGCTGTGAATTGACAAATGCTTGTGCCGATGAGAAATGCATCAAGTGGCAGAGTGGGTGAGTTGGGTAAGTTTGGTAAGGTGGTGAGGTTGCGAGTTTAGCCCCCATAATCTCGGGACACTCACGCGGGTACATGGCACATGGGACATGGGTACATTGGAACATGGGAGCATGGGTACTGTGGTACGGAGTACTCTGCTGTGGGCCCGCTGGGGGAGCCAAGCTGAATCGTGATTGGGCATGCCCCCCGTCCCACGCCTTCCCCACAACAGCCACCACCCTGGCCTGCCAGTCTCATTCTGGAAGCTCTTCTTTGCCTGTGCGGAACCTCGTCATCGGCCATTCGCACTGCACACTGCAGCACCTGAGCACCTACCAGCGATAGCGATATCTCAAACCGCCATCCTCCATCTGCTTGTGTGCCTGCCCAACTGCAGACTACTGTGGCTGCTACCAAACCTGGGACCGACCACGAACCCTGTGGTGCTTGAATCGGAGACTTGTCCGGGACCCCTGCAAGCCTTGGTTCTACCGAAGAGGTCGGATCATCGATCAACCACAGCACAGCACAGCACAGCACAGCGCAGCGCAGCGCAGAGCAGCCGCGGAGCAGCGGAGCGCAGACGCACTTTGTACATCACCGAAGGCAACACACAGCCCTGCCCCCCCGTCCCCGAGCCGGCCGCCGTGACGCATATCTCGACCCTCGAGTCAAGGAGAGGCGCCGGATACCACTTCTCTTGACATCCTGCAGTCCGGGGTCGCATCCACCGCCCTCGCTAACCTGCCCACACAACCAAGCACCCACGCGCCCACGAATCCACGAATCCACGCACCCACGCATCCACACATCCACAACCCATGCTGCATCTGCTGCCTCGCAGCCGTCATTAGCACTGAATCTCATACAGTCCACCCCGGCCGGCCTGATTGCGACCTTGGGCATCCGGATCTGACCTCGCAGCCGCCCAATCGCCGCCCCAGGCCTGCTCTGCCGTGCCCTCTTGCCCTCTTGCCCTCTTGCCCTCTTGCCCATTTCCTGCGATTTCATCAAGAGGCCCGTGGGCAGACCAGGGCATACCAGGACATACCAGGACAGGCCAGGGCACACCAGACCGACCACACGAACTACTCGACGCCCGCCCGGCCAGACGAGGCGAACTACTGCAGCCGCCTCACCTTGACGCGGGGACTCGCTTGGGCCAGCCGTCCAGGAACCACCCACAGCCCATAATCCCACAACCCATAGCCCAGAACCCAGAACCCAGAACCCAGAACCCTTAACCCACTTTGCTTCTGCCGGTCCATTCCCGTGCTCTGCCTCTCCCGAGCCTCGACCAGTCTCCAACATCCCTGTGCCGACCTGCTTGAGCCCCAGCATCGGAGCAATCTCAGGGCCTGCCCACGCTGTAGCCACCCTTCGACGCTTTCAAAATGTCGATAAAGTGAGTCCCCATCTCCCTCCTTCCACCCTATCTCTATGCCTGCTCTATCTTCGCGATCCCAAACCCCTCTCTCCCTGCCCCTTCCCTTCCTCTTCCATACCTCCTCGTCTCCGACTAGTCAGGACATATCTCCTCGTCTTGGTCACAGCGAAGCATACCGCCCACCCCCTTGTCTTCGCCTGTCTGCCCACCCCCATGGACCTCTACCAGGGTACCCTCCAGCATCAGAGCATCACGGCCCAGAGCCAGCCTCGGGACCCTTGTCTTTATAGCCATGACATTAACCACAAACGCAGTTGGGTCATGCTCAGCCAGAAGGGCGAGATACAGCCCCTGGAAGACGAGCAGATACTCTTGAAGACGCCTGGCTATGTGAGCCTCGAACTATCCGTTCCCAAGGCGTTGCGAACCTCCAACCCAAACTTCAGCGTGAAATGTGATTCGGGAATCGCATATGTCACCAACAGAAGGGTGAGCCCTTGTTTCCCTTTCTGTGGTATTGCGGTGGCGTGACTCGGCTGACTTGTGACTTCAAGATCATATATCTTGCTGAGCAGCCCACAGAGGCTTTTCAGTCCTTCTCGGCCTTCATACTCGACACCTATGACCCCCAGCCACGAGCAGGTGGGCTGCTTGGGTTCGGAGCCTGGCGATGGAGAGCCGAGGCCAAACCTAGAGCCGGTGGTGGCATCCCCGGCGATGTACCTCGTATCGAGATACTGCTGATCTTCAACCACGGGGGAGTAGAGGGTTTCCACTCAAAGTACAGCCTCATGCATGAGCGCCTCTCACATGCCCGAGACGTTGCAAGGGAGACGGGAACGCGCATCACCGTCCATGACGACGACCTGCCCCCGTACTCCGCCACGGGGGCCGGCAGTCCGCCTCAACCGCCGTCAGCCGAGCAGCCGGCCCAGACGAGTTCTGCTTCAGCCGAGAATCCGGCCCAGCCTCAGACTCAGCAGCCCCAGGCGACACCGAACGAGCCACCCCCAGACTATGATGAAGCGCAGGCCCAGGCTGTAGAACAGCAATTCGAGGAGAGGGACCGCCAAGACGCCGAGAGGGCTCAGTAGAAATGGTGCGCCGTGTGCGCTACGTTAGACCCGCAGAACTCTCACCCAGCCCTATCCCGTTCTCCGGTCGGCCGGAATCACAAAAGGGACATACATCACGATCGTTGATACCCACGTCATTTGTTCACACGCACAATACAGGCACTTTTGTCTCTGTTGATGAGGAGCTTGGAGTTCAGGAGCGGGACGAGTCATACCTGAATTTTGGTCCACGAATGTTCACGAATAGAATCTCACAAATAGCTCATGCTTTCGCTTTCCTCAGTATATATACTATTCTTACTTCTGCCCCTCAAACCTACATGATACCGTAGTATGTTCCGACCACCGACACCATCCTCTGGACTCGACTTCTTCTGCATGATGCTGCTGTCGTTGTTTGCTCAAGGGTTAGGGCTGTCTTGCACAACTGTAGGGACATGTACCTCAACGCTGGGGGTCCAACCAAGTTCACCATACCAGATTTCATAGCTCCCTTTGGTTTTGTTCCATAATTAATTCCTGCCTTCGCAATGACGTTTGAATTGGCTACAAGATTGAAATTCATACGACCGAGTGGAAAAGGCGTTCTATGTCAGGATCAGCCAGCTTCCGCAGCGGGACCCACAAGTCTAAGTGGCCGGGAAGGAACGGGCCAATCAACATGGCCCAATTACTTCCAGCCAGAAGTCATGCCGGTTTTTCTTCTCATGCTGAGAGCTTTCCCCGGCAGCCCGTCAACGACAACCGCCATCACTCCACTCCACTTCACCGTCAACACTCACAAGCCATTGACCCAAACTCAGCCCGCCAGCGCCGGTTGACAAAAGACACAATGGGTTTCTGGGACACGATCGCCGACCTCGCCGAGTCCGTCGCGCCATGGAGCGTCGCCGAGGCCGAGGCCCCTGCAGCGGAAGACTCCAAGGTGCGTTAATAACAGCAGCCAAGCTCGCCCTCGATCTGCGAGCATCCGTCCCACCGCGAGCTCTACGAATTTGTCCTATCGCAGGCCGCATTGACCGATTCCATTGGCTGACACTTCCATCCCCGACGTCATAGGCAGAGGAAGCGCCCGCCGAGGACAGCAAGGACGAATCCAAGGAGGAGTCCAGCTCCGAGGACAAGTCTGAGGAGGCTGCTGAAGACGAGCCTGAGGCCGAGGAAGAGGAGGAGGAGGAGGAGGAAGAGGAAGATGACGATGAGCCCAAGGACCCCAAGGAGGAACTCGAGGAAGGTGAGAGACGACCGCCCACACCCGAGATTGCCCGACAGATCGCGGACGGCTGCCACACCCACCGCCTGGGAAGCCCAGCTTCTGCCGTTTCTATGCTGCGTCCCGGCGAGTTCTGGAAGCAAGCGAAGACCCCGAGACGAGTGGGATAGCTACATTGCGGTACACAACAGAGGGCTGACGTAGTGTTCCCACAGAGTGCAAGGAGTCCAAGCAGTGTGCCCCGGCCAAGCACCACTACGACGAGTGCGTTGAGCGTGTCACCTCGCAAGAGGCCGACGGAGGTGCCAAGGAGGACTGTGTTGAGGAGTGTAAGTCCAGTTTCATCCATATACCAGGTCCTCTGACCCGGTGAGGCCGGGTCTCGATGCGCCGCACCACTGCGTCGGAATGCCCCCCGTACTGACATTTGACCTCGCCCAGTCTTCCACCTCGCCCACTGCGCGACGGCGTGCGCCGCCCCCAAGCTGTGGTCCAAGCTCCGATAAACCAACTTGTGTCGACCCAGAACCAGCCGAACCGGTGGCGACAAACCCCAAGGCCCCCCACCCGAGTGTCGGCGCCCGCGAGAACGGCAACCCGTGTTTTTCATTCCATTGCAATGTGTATGGATTAGAGGAACAACAACCAAAACTCCCCGCCTATAGAAAACGCCAGGCTTCGCGAGCGCTAAACTCAATCTTGAGGGAGGTTGAGGGTTTCGCCTCCACCGGTTCTAGCACACATCGATTGGGTGGAGTGGACATGCGATGGAAAAGAGACGAAAGACGATCAAGATGCGGCACCGTTGTCCCTTGTACAAATGCGTGACGACGAGTGACGATGGTGGGGTTGTGAGTGAGGAAGGCTCGGTCCTACTTGAGGCCGGTCGGTCTGCTTCAGTCACCTGTATCATATACACTCAAAAAAGACTCCCCGAAACGAAGACGAATTTTTAGATTTACACTGCTGCGTAGTACCCTACGGTCTTGTCGCTTCGGTCTCTCGCGTCCAGCCCACGTGGGATGGTCCTATTTGACCCCTACTTGCCCCCAAAGAGGGGCATGCACAGAAACACTTACGCACTTAGGGTGGGGAAGGGCAGAGAGGTGTGATGTGGGGAGCCAGATCCATAAACCGGGTGCCTCTTGTGGCGACGCCTGGGCTGGCTTCGGATTGTGAGAGGTAGCCAGACTGTGTCATCTGGGCTCCGACTGCCACACTCTAGTTGGCGAGCGAGGCAGGCCGACTGACTGACTGGTTCTAAGGCGAAGTCTCAGGGATCCAAGGACGGTCACGATATAACATCCCAGAGCACGGGATACCGCGTCCCACTTGGAAAACCTCGACATGGGTGGGCACAGGCCCTCCATCCACTTGGGACAGACTGACATCCTCCCAGTATGGAGCAGGTCAAGACGACAGACAGTACACCCCCAAAACGAGGGCAGTCCAAGTCGACGTACAACAGGGGACAATATCCCGGCTGAGCTCCCGTGACCTACATACCATATCCATCCAAGTTCCCACTCCATGGACTCAGCCGGGCAGCAAAGGGTATAAATAGATGAAGGCTTTCAGCCAGCAACGCTCGAATCCCTCGGGCCGTCGCCACCTCGACCGTGTGTGCCATGGTGCGGTACCCGCCGCACGACAGGTATTGTGGCATAGAACGTCTTCCCTCATTGTCGGAATGTGTTTTACGCTGACGAGTACTGGGTGGGCTTGCTCATGCGATGCGTAGGGATCCCGCGGCCGCCCTCGGGTCTGGTCCTAAACTTGGGCTTGGACTGGCGCAGATGTTGTAACGACGGTAGCCGCCGCCGATAAATGCTGTTCTTAGTGGCAGGGACAGCCGTAGGGACAGCCTTCTGGCCCGTTATGGATGGGCCTTAGAGGGGAGACATAGTTCCACCCGGCGCCTCTTGTCCCATATGGCGGGATTGCATGTTTTTGTAGGTCCTGTGTCGCTCGCTGATGGGCTTGTTTTAAGGCAGCCACAGTTTACATATGAGCTTGCGGCTCGATGTCACGTAGATATAGTGCTTGAATTGGTTTTAACGCGTGGCTATGAACTCGGGTGGGGTGGGGCCGGCTCCTGATCACTACGGGATACAATCAAGGATGTTTTACTTGAAAAGCAAAGAAGAAGAAAACCAGATGTCTTCAAGGCCGGCCATGGGACCTCTCGTTGTCAATATGAGCAGGTCCTAGGTGCGTGCCTAAAACATCGACTACGGGTTGCCACCATAAACTATAGTTACCAGTTGGGATAATATATCCATCCCACTGCCTTTCACTAATAAGAATGGTAATAAATTTCGTGCCGTTGCGCACAGCTTTACTGTGGTAGTCTACAGACGTTGTTGACCTTCGGCAGGCACAGTAGCATCAGAGTTTAAATGCAACACAAAGGGGTTCCTCCCGCGCACCGGACGGTACGCCTGGTCCGCGGGCGCCGAGTTTGCGATGGGACCCGGCCGGATCTGCACCGGACAGAGCACATTGGCTGCCCCCGGCCCCGGGTTATGCGGGGAAGCAACCAAATCTCGGAAGGCTAGGTAACTTGGGGCTGGGGGTGGCTGCTTGTGAGTTTGAGCCAGGAGCTCGGCAGAGACAAGAGATAGATAGGTAGAGATAGATAGATAGTCTTGTGGTTTGCTGAGAAGGCGCCCTATTCTTGTGGTGAGCGAGGCGGACCGATAAAAGGGTAAAATGTTCGGCCCAGGGAAGGTGACATATCACATAACCAATAGATAAATACTGTGTATTCTATGATTGTACAAGCTTATCAGCCAGCCAATCTCAGTGGTTTTCGCATCATGCATGAGCGCGGATGTCAAGCGCTGGTGAAATGAGAGGCGAGGCGGCTCAAACAATGGGAGGAATTTTCCATTTTGATACGGGCAGGCCATCCAGGCACCAGGGCTGGACCATGTCCCACACTGGGCGGGCTGGCTGGTCCCTTGAACGGCCAGAACAGCCCACTTGACCACGGGAAGTGGCCCCGAAATGCGTGGTGTAGTGCAGAGAACCACACTGCAGGGAAGAGGGTTGATTGGGGCATGGGCAAATGGGGAAGAGGGACCCTGCTAACAGTTACACCCGTGGGCACCAACGCGTGCTTCGAGCCTACTCGAATAGGCGTAACTTCATGCACCTCGAGTCCCCCTCCCCAATGCCACGGTCTATCACATCCCTCTCGCCCACAATACATCCCATACATACATAACACGGCCGGGCCGGGGGCAGGACACCCTCCTGACCTGTCGATTCCACTCCTTTCTTGATATTGTGGGATAAGACATACATACAGGCACGCCCCTCCTCTTTTCATTCCTTATTCCTTCTCGGACACGCTTGCTGCCCCTGCCACGCCTGTCGCGAGCCCGAGGTGATGATTCAAAGCACGTGAATGAGACGACATCGGTTCTAGAACCGCACCACATCAGCTCACATCCACCGCGACATCGTCCTTCACCTGGGGCGAGCACGTTGTTCACCTACTCGCGACCCAGTCGGTCAAGAAGCTGCACCGAACGATAAAGCAGACACGCCAGCAAAGCGAGTAGGCCTCATCCTCCAACCTGGATCTGCCTCAATTCTAGCCGGGTATTTGCAGAGGTTAGGTGCACCGGGTCGATACGTGCAACCGTCACTCAGCGTTGCTCACGGCTTCCTGCGGTGGTACTCGATATCACAAAGTCCCAAGTACGACACTGCCAGTATGGGATCCGGCGCCGTTGACGGAGACTGGAAGGATGGGTGCACGCGCATAGAAAGCGATCCCGTGGTCGGACGAGGGGTTTCGGGCTCGAAAAGTGACGATGTCGACCTGCCAGATCAGATCCAGGACAGGTCCGCCAGGGGATCTAGTGGTCGCCGATTTCCACGCCTTGGTCTTGATGCCTTGTTCCACGAGTCGCGACCCTCTCAAGAGCTCGCCGGAGACGGCACCGTCGAGTTCTTCAAGGTCTACAAGAGGAGGTGGTTTGGTTTGGTCCAGTTGACTCTGCTCAACATCGTCGTGAGCTGGGATGTAAGTCTGATACAAAATGCTTCTTTGAAGCTGTGCGACGTGTGCAATCCTGATACCACAGGCTCCAAGCCCACACACATGCACATGAGGCTTATGCAGTGATCGTGGGTGGACGATCGAGGTTGCATCGTACCTGCGTCGAGGACAAAATGAGGCTGACCATTCCTATCATGCTAGTGGTTGACCTTCTCACCCGTCGTCTCCAGTGCTGCCGAATTCTTCAACACCTCTGAGAGCGCCGTCAACTGGTTCTCCACCGCTTTCCTCCTGGCATTCGTCGCCATCTCCCCGGCCGTCATCTATGTGCTCCACTGGGGGCCCAAGCCATCTATCATCACGTCTTCGGTGCTCACCCTCTGCGGCAACTGGATCCGATATGGCGGCACTCGCACCTCACCTCCCAGCTTCGGCCTCACCATGTTTGGGCAGCTCCTCATCGCCTTCTCACAGCCCTTCGTGCTGGCCGCGCCCACGAGATACTCGGATCTGTGGTTCACCAACCGAGGTCGCGTGGCCGCCACCGCCCTGACGAGTCTGGCCAATCCTTTTGGTGCTGCGCTTGGGCAGTTGATCATACCTTTCTGGGTCTATTCCGCAAGTGACGTGCCCAATGCCGTCTTATACGTTGCTATTATTGTGTGTGACCCACCGCCCCCCCCCCGGCCCCAACCGTCACTGGGCAATGGACCCGCACCGCATGCTAACATGACATTCAAGGCGACTGTCTGCGCGATACCCTCATTCTTTCTCCCGGCGAAGCCGCCCACGCCGCCCGGCCCCTCGGGCGAGACCCAGAAGCTCCCCATCCTCGAATCACTTCGCATCCTCAGCCGCTCCCCGGAGTTCTGGATGATCTGGGGTTCCTACGCCGTCTACGTAGGCTTCTTCAACTCCATCTCCTCGCTGCTGAACCAGATGATGATGCCCTACGGCTTCGACGACACCGAGAGCGGTATCGCGGGTGCTATCCTCATAGTGGTCGGCCTCGTCGCCGCGGCCATCACCTCGCCCATCCTGGACCGCACCAAGACCTTCATACTGGCCATCAAAGTCGCCATCCCCATCACGGCGCTCTGCTACCTCATCTTCATCTGGATGCCGGCGACGCGCGACATCGCGGGGCCGTACGTCGTGCTGGCGGTCCTGGGGGCCTCGAGCTTCAGCCTGCTCCCCGTCGCCTCGGAGCTGCTGGTCGAGGTCACGCACCCCGTCAGCCCCGAGGTGACGAGCACGCTCGCCTGGACCGGCGGCCAGCTCCTGGGCGCCATCTTCATCATCGTCTCGGACGCGCTCAAGGCCGGGCCCGGCGCGAACCCGCCTAACAACATGAACCGGGCGCTTATCTTCCAGGCCGTCATCGCCCTCGCTGCCACGCCGCTGTCGCTGTGCCTCGGCCTGTTTGGCCGCGCCGACAAGGTGCGCCTGAGGCGGGTCGAGACCGATCGGGATCGGGAGCGGCTGGCTGCGGAGAACGCTGCTTCTGAGGCGTGAGGCCTGTGGGTTGGAGTCCACACTGAGAAGGGCCACTCACGCAGTGACTCTCGGTCGTGGTAGTGTTTTGTAATGCGCCTTGGATACCTGATGACCCTGGCTAATAAATGTGTGCTTTTTGTCGAGCAGAATATTATGATTATTGTACTTTTTTTAGTTTTGAGCTGTATAAACGCCCCATATTTATATATGCATGCGATGGCCGTTCAACCACGTTAACTCATGGTGATAATCCGGACCAAAGTCGTCGCCGGTCATCTAGTAAACTTTTCTCTCTTCCTCGAGAGGCTCACATGGCCCCAGCTAGGCATGCCTACCCGGTCAAGCCGGCCTCCTTCATCCTCGTCTCCCACTCCAGCCTCAGCCTCTCCATCTCGCGCCAGCACCGTGCCCCCGTCTCCTCAAACTCAGCCCTGCTCTCCTCCGTGACGAGCCGCGCGCCCTTCTTGCGGCCCTTGATCTTCCTGAGCGGGCCCGTCGCCCCGTCGTCGTCCTCGAGGCCCTCGACCTTGCCCCGCCACCCCCACCCGTCCACCTCGGTCTCCTTGACCAGCGCGTTGCCGCGGATGTCACACGCGGAGCCCCACTTGACGGCGCCGGCGCCCGCCGCGTCCAGCGTCTCCTGGGTCGCGAGCGCGAGCCACACCATGGCCACGGCGGCGTTGTACGCCGTGTTGGTGTGCCAGGCGGACCCGAAGTAGCGCGCGACGTACGCCGCGAAGGTCCAGAGGGCCTGCAGGATCATGGGCAGCGGCAGGATCGTCGTCACCACGATCCCCGGGTGGCACACGTAGACCTTTGGCGGCTGGTGCTCCCCCTCCCCCCCCTCCTCCTCCGCGGCGGCAGCAGCAGCGCCTGGTGGTGATGGTGGGGGGAGCCGCCAGTACGGTGCGCTGTGGGCCCGGGCGGCGGGCAGGTCGGCCGTCAGCACCAGCAGGTCCGTCAGCCGCTTCGTGCTCTCGTATGGCGCGTTGGTCTCCAGGCCCTGCAGGTCGTCGGGGCGGAAGTGCTCGCGCGCCGCCTCGACGCTGCTCTCCCAGATCAGCCTGCCGGGCGGGATGCCCGCGTCGGCGCCTGGCCCCCGCCGCCTGCTGAGGAGGGGCAGGATGGCGCGCGCGAAGAGGTAGTGGCCGAAGACGTTGGCGCAGAACAGCTGGCCCACCAGGGGCCTCGCCCTGCCGCCGTCCCTGCCCCCCCTGTCTTCTTCCTCCTGTTGCTTCCGCGGCGGGAGCGGGTCCACCGTCATCCCCGCGGGGGCGACCTTGAAGGTGGGCCAGGTGACGGCCTGGATCCAGCCGGCGGTGAGGAAGTTGTGGGCGGCCTTGAACCAGTCGACGCCGGTCCAGCCGCCCATGCCGGCGTTGAGGACGACGGCGTCGAGGCGCGGGACGCGGACGCCGCCGTCGTGGCCGTCGAGGGGCAGGGTCGCGCCCACGAGGCGCGAGGCGGCGGCGTGCACGGTGGCGAGGTCGCACAGGTCGAGCTGCAGGGAGAGCAGGTGGACGCGGGCGGCGGTGTCCTGTGGGCTGCTGCTGTCGCCGGTGCGGGCGCGGAGGCGGGGCGAGGCGGCGGTCTTGAGGAGGTGGGCGCGCAGGTGGCGCGTGGTCTCGGCCGACTTGCGGGCGTCGCGGGTGGTGGGGATGAGGATCAGGTGGGAGGTCAGGGAGCGGGTGGCGAGGAATTCGTCGATGAGGCGCTGGCAGATGCCCAGGCCGACGCCGCTGTGGGTTGTCTGGTGTCAGTGCTGTTGTTGTTTGTGTGTGCTGGGCTGGATTGGGTTGGTACGTTACCTGTTTGCGCCCGTCACCAGGGCAAAGAAGGTGTCCCTGGCAGGGACGTCTGCCCAAGGTGCTGCGGCAGCCATTGGGCGGGCGTCTCTGGAGCAATGGTGCTCAGGTTCCTGACAGGTGGGCTCGCAGACCAGACGGAGGTCTAACTCGGCCGTGTCTTTTGCTCTTTGCGTCACCTGGTGTGGGCTGGACTTTTTTTTTTCAGGTGCAAATAGATCAAGTTGCCGGCCATTGACGCTCGTACAAGCTCAAGGTATGGCTGGCTATACACACGGTCTGCTCATCGGACTGAGGTGGGTCGGAGTGGGATGGGACATGGTGTAGAAAGACAAGGACATGGTCACATGGATGGGAAGGCAGAGTTGACGTCGGGCAATAAGAACCGTGCACGCTGCTGCAGTTTCTGGCCGCCGGCACGCCAGACAACAGCTCACAGCCATGACATGGAGCTGCTCTTGTTGCGCCATCTGGACTTGTTATCACCCGTCTGCATTTTCATATACCTAACTAACTAATTTCGTACTACTACCATGTCGCGCTTCAGTCCAGCAGTCGGGGCTGCAGCGCCAACACCTGCATCCGCCCACCCCTGTCCGGCCGGGTAGCTTCCCTGTCGCCCCGGCCCGCGTCCGTCGACCGGTGTCCCTTTCCGTGTTGTCGGCGCCGGACGAGGCGAGGCGCAGATACAACAGAGGTGGGATTCCGTTTGTCTTTGGGAGGGAAGGGGGGTTGCCAAGTGCCACGCAACAATGTTTCGCCGCATTGTTTGTTTTCCGTTTGACCACAGAGTATGTATGCATATAATAGAGCCAGTGCCGGCGCCTGTACATGTCAATGTAACTCCCAGGCCCGGCAGTGCTCTTCCAACCTCTTCCAACACCAGAACCCGCCCCACTCCCACCAACATGCAACCAATACACTCAGACCTCAAGGCTTTCTACTCCGGCACCGACATGTCGGATGGCCTGGCCGCCATCGAGAAGAACAACGCCGCAAACATCGCCAAACAGGCCGGCCGGTACGACGAGGCCGTCCGCCTGCACGTCGAGGCTGTCCGGCTGAAGGTTCGACTCTACGGGGCCGATTCCGTCGACGCCGCCTTCTCCTACAACATGCTCGGCGACGCCCTGCTTGCCGCCGGGAAGCTCGACAAGGCCGCAGAAGCCCTCGAGTTCGCCCTCAAGGTCAGGGACGACGTAGCATTTGGCGGCATGGGGCTTGGCCCGCGCATCGATGCTGCTGCGAGCAGAGACAACATGGCCCGCGTCCTGGAGGCCAAGGGCGACTTCCCAGCAGCACGTGAGCTCCGCCTCAAGGGTGCGGACAAGGGACATGTAATCTGCGGTTGTTTGAAGGTGCGCATCCTTCTCTGGGGATGAGAAAACCACAAGAGCTTCCTTGCTTATTACCACCTATAGTGTGTGACCCCTGGCGGTGCCCTGCTCTCCCGGGCACAGTTGAAGGCATGTGGCGCTTGCCGTTCTGTCTTCTACTGCAGTACGGCATGCCAGAAGAGAGACTGGAAGGAGAGACACAAGCCACTTTGCAAGAAGCACCAAGCTGCCAGCAGTTCAAGTGCCGACGCGGCCGGAACTGCGGTGCCCGCCTGAGGCCTCTTCTGTTCTGGGACAGAGAGATGATTGACATGATATCTGCACAGGGGTGCTCCGTACTTAATTAGCCATGGTCTTCGCATTCTAGGTTGGAAACGAGGCATATGAATCTTTTCGGTGGAGAAATGACCATTCTGACTGGAAGGTACGTCAACTAAGAGGCAGGCTTCTGGAGAAGAATGTACTCGCTGGCATGAGCTTCTTGCCTGTTGAAAGTGAGGAGTGTGTACACCCCTAACCCTGACCCATGTTGCTTGACCGAACTGGGCAATCCATATACGAATTCGTCTTGACTGATACAGGCAACTCCATCCCAGCCTGACGACTCAGCGGCCAACGATGTTCTCCAACATTGCTTGATTCCCCCATTATCATACTCTAGAGCTTTACGGGGAAATAATCAATTGTTCGAATAGCCATGAGGGCATGATTGTCATCTGTGTGAGGGCTCGTGCGCAGTGGGCCACACTGACTGCAGCCAACAGTCTCATTCACTCGAGGCGCTAGCGCCCATTCTCACCATAGGCAAGTGTTTAGACCTTGGTCCTGCAAGCCCAAGGAGATCCTTCCCTTGTCTAAAATATCTTGCTGACTTAGCAGTAGTTGGTGTATCATTCGGGTCAGCTGTGTCTCCTTTGAAGCTACACCGATGGCAATGGGAAGGTCGGTCATCATCCTGACCGGCGCCCCAGAGGCCGACCGGCTGGACTGGGACAGCCCTGACCTCCTCCAGACTTTCCAAGACTCCATTGCAGCTTTCGCGGGCCTTTCGAAGCAGTCGAAACATGATCCTCCACTATCTACAGCGTCTCAGGACAGATCTCTCTTGGACATCCCCCTATGGCGCTCCCTCTCGCTGCAGCGCACTCACATCCCAACCGGTTTCTCCCAGTATCACGATCTGAACATCGTGAACAATTTCCCCTCCAGCGCCGACTTCCTCACCACCGCCGGCATATCCTTCGACGCCGCTTCCCAGGGCCTGAGCCAGGACGACTCCGCCGGCCACGAGAGCAAGCTGCTGGCCGAGTGGTATGAGCACTCGCTCGCGCTGCACGACGACCTGGTCTCGTCCCAGCTCGTGCCGCACGACTCCCAGGCCCACCACGGCAGCGGCGAGCACGATTCCCCCGCAGGCGGCGCCACCGAAACCTCCAAGTCTACTTCATTCCTGACGACCAGCGACGAGGGCGACTCCACGACGGTCCTCACTAACGCCGCCGACGACGCCACTATCGTCGTGAGGACGCCCCTCCAGCCCGGCCGGCAGCGCACCGGCCGCCCCTCCGCGGCGGACCACCTCTCGGACCTGGAGGACATCCCGCCCGCCCGGTACCTCGAGTCGATCCGGCCGCAGACCATGACGGTGACGCTCATCGCGGGCATCATCAGCATCGCGGCCCCGCGGGCGGTGGAGACGCGCTTCGGCAGCGCCAGGACGCTGGTCGAGGTGCTCGTCGGCGACGAGACCAAGTCGGGCTTCTCGGTGACGTTCTGGCTGCCCGGCGGCGGCGATGGCGCCTCGTCAAGCCCGCTGGCCGGCCTCAGGGCCCAGGACATCGTGCTCATGCGCAACGTCGCGCTCAACGTCTTCAGGGGCAAGGTCTACGGCGGGAGCCTGCCGCGCGGCATGACGGGGGTGTACCTGCTGCACCGCGGGCGGAGGCTGGGGCCCGGCGACGACGGCGGGCACTACGCGGCCGCTGACCTGGCCGGGGCCGGGAGGCGCGGGGCGAAGCAGCAGAAGGTCCACCCGCAGCTGGACAAGACGAGGCGGGTGAGGGACTGGGTGCTGAGGTTCGTGGGCGGTCCTGGCAGGCCTGCTGGCGCTGGCGATACCGGTGGTGGTGGCACTCGGAGGTCGACGCGGACGAGGAAGAGGCCTGCGCCTAGGGATTGGAACTTGCCTCCGCCTTTGGACTCGCAGTGATGCGGTTTTCTTGGACGAGCACGACACTCTTGATAGATTTGGCGCACAGTTGGGACGGACGGGAGGTCTTGGGTGGGGGGAGGGGTGAAAGACTTGTTTCAGTGATACCCAAATGCTACTGTTTTCCACGCAATACCGGAGCACATACGATGTTTCTTTTAGTTGACTTGTCTAAAGCCTCAAACTCATGACTCTCGTCCGTAGCAGCCGATTAAAGCGCAGTTGAGAACACGATGTACGAGTGGCGCTGATGCGCTGCCCTGGGCGGCGCATCCACCAGTGTCATAACCTGTCCATAGAATGCCATATGGGATCGAGCAAAAAAGAAGTGATGAAGTTTTTAACCCCAAGCTGTAATCGAACCACGACTCTCCCGAAACAAAAGTACAAAACAACACAGGTAGCCAGTTCGAACCAAGGGGGGGGGCCAAAAGAGAAAGGCGCCACGTCCTTCCTCACGCGCTGCCACCTCATTCGGTGCTACAGCGCGTCCCTCCTTTCGGTAATTCCTGTTCATTTTGAATCAGGCGCTTCGGGATATTTCTTTGCAGTGACTGGCTCCCACCGACTTTTAAACGGTGGGCACTGTGTCTGGAGTCATTGGCAATTGTGGTTGGACTTACTACCTTTGGGTTCGGCTGCCAACTTGTTGTTAGGATAATGATATTTTTTCCACTTTCAAGTCGCTCGCTTTACCGCCAGGCCAGATTACCTCGTCGTGATCATTCTGTAGTTCGGGGGGTCTATAAGGTTGGGACGAAAGGTGAATCGGTGGTGGCGGCCGGGGTCTTGCAGGGGGGCTACTGCTTCTGCTGCTGTTTCTGCTGCTTGGATGGTACCTAGGCATGCGAAGCTTCGCCTGTAGGATCGCTTGGGACTTGGAGCGAAGCAATCCAGCGAGCAAGACGTCCTGCGGTCGACGTTGGTCAGGACATGACAGTCCTTGCGATGGAGGTGTGATCTCCCTCTCACGCCCAACACGCTCCAAGGCCTTCTCACCAACAACTTTTTGCAAGCAATGTCAAAACGCTTGCTCGATCGAGTCGCCATCCCTTCCATTACCTATCTATACTTTGTTCGCACGGAGAATTTGAGTTTTGTGAAATATATCCACATCATCCTGCCACCCATGGACGGGCGCTGAGCAGAAGCTCATTCTCGAGCCTGTTGGCAAATTGGCCTTCTATCATTTCAAACGATGTCTGACACTGGAAAATGCTCCTCTCTGTCCCACAGATTGATGTTGGTAGATATGAGCCCTTCTTGTAGCTGAATTGGATTCTATGTAGCCAAAGAGTAATAGTGCCATGGGTGTTCTCCAGTAAGCCGCACCCCACCCCCCCTCAAATTACGAGCTTCTGGTGCTCTACCTGTGTGCTCATGATGCTGTCGTCTTCTGGTCATCTCCGTAATCCTCGCCTGACGCCCTCCAATTTGCACAAAAAAGGGAAAAGAACAGCAACGCTATGATAGCACCCCGCAAATACGCCGGCTCGTGCACCTCAAGCAACCAGCCGTCGCGGTGCTCTCGACGCTATGGACGTGCTGGTGCGGCACGATAAGGTGATCGTGATCTCAGCAAGGCTTCGGCTTGCATGTTACACCCCAACCATACCTCGGTAAGAACACTTTTTGTAGACCTAACGACGCAACGTTTCGAGGACATACATACCCCTGCGGTACGTTCATGCCATATGAGGGATCCCCCGCCTCCGGATGTGGTGTCAGAGCCGTAGCAGCCACCATCTACTTCCGATTCCTAGTCTTCTTCTGAGTCTGCGTCGTGTCCTCTTCTTCCTCGTCCTGGCCTTTCTTGAGGTCCTCGATCAGACCCCATTCCTCTTTATCGTACCAGTCCTCGCCGTCCGACATCTCTCCGACGTGGGCCTCGGATTTGGACCACTCCAGTACAGTCTTTCGCATGCGGTCTGCCTTGAGGAGGCCATGGTATAGCTTCTCAGTGCCGCGGCACACCTCTTCCTGTTTCTGGACGTAAAGCTGAAGGAGTCGGCGGACATCCTCTGCTTCCTGTTCTGGGAGTCCCAAATCGCGATCGGGATGGGCTGGCTTCGGCGCTAGGAATATTGGGTGGATAAAAGGGTCCCCGGCAGACGTCGCCGAGGGAGATCCAGCTCGACTGCCGTTAAGACCAGGCCCTGCAGCTCCATTCAACATGGCAACGTCTTCGTCCGCTTGCTCTGCTCTGGTTTCGGATTGTTTTCCTTTTTGTTTCGCCGAGATGCCATTGGTCGGGTTCGACCCGGGCTCGTCCACCTTGTTGCCATCCGTGGGGAGTGATGCGGCGTTCTCTTCGCCCTGCTCCTCGTTGGCGGTGCCTGGTGCTTCATGCCCTTCTTTGGAAATTCCAGTATTTTCTGTCTTGTTGTCCTCGCTATTCGTCATCACCACATCTTCTGTAGAAGTACTTGTTTTCTCGTGTGTCTGGGCCTCTCCATTCGCGGCTGTATCAAGGTCCCCGTCCAGGGGAGGTCGAGCTGTGCTGCCGCCGTTGATATTTGGACTTGATAAGCCTTCCAAAATCTCCTCGTGTGATCTCTTACGCTTGAGTTTACGCGATCCAAAGCCGCTCCTGAACATCTCGTGGTCGTTGGTACCCAACATCATCTCAGGAGTCACCCAGGTATGGTCTCCACTGAGTCTCGTCAGGAGTGGCCTCACTTTCCAGAGCGCAATATTTTCTTTGCGCATTAGATCGCATGCTTGGTTCGTCAATTCCTTCAGGGCTGTCGATTTGAAAGGCCTCGAGAGTGTGGGGTGGGCGGGTAGGTCTGTGACTGCCGTGAGTGGCGCCAGGAGCTCTAGAGGCCGGTCAGTGAGCGTTCAGGAATGCCATCTCCGCCTTCTCGCGCAGGTTTCGAAGAGTCACGTACGCTCAAGATGAATCGATGAGTAGGGGTCAGCCTCGGCGGCAGCGGCGACCGCATCTTGGACTTGTTGGTCGTCATCGTCGCTGTCGATGCTGTAGCCGTCTTCGTCGATGAGCGGTGGGTTGCGGCTGATTACGGCGCGCTTGTATCCTGCATGCTCGACCTCCTGTGTATGCCAATTAGTATAATGTCCTGACCACTCGTGGCTGCCCGCGCGCGGGGATTGAGACGTGCCTCCTTGTAGACTGCCGGCCCCGTGGGTGGCCCCAATTTGCCCTGGCGGACGAATCTTGCCCTCTTCTTCAACTTGTTACCGCGATTGGTTGTTTGTTGTATCTCGGAGTCGGAGTCGGATTCTGGCGAACGGCGCGCGTCAGCAGTGAGGTCGTCGACAGTTCTTGGCGGCAAAAGTTCTTACCGTTGGCTTGCCTGGCCACGGTCTTCTTCATGGCCTTGGCCAGGTCGGCAAAGAGGACTTGTTCGCGCGTTAATGACATGATGACGGTGTGTATGTGGTTGTGTCAAGATGGCAAAGGGTGGTCGGGGCAGCGTGGACTGCTCGCGCTGCTCGAGAGTGGCAGAATTGGGAGGCGGCTGGTTGCGGTCGCGACGCAGAACTTCGAGGTGTGCTTAAGGAGGATGCCTCCAACGCCCGAGGTCGGGGAATGATTGGGACGAAAGAGTGTGAATATGTTTATGCGCAGATAAAGTTGATCGAGCGGGCCTGATCTCCAAGGTCAAAGTGGGAACGAAGCACTTTCGACTGCCATTGTGTGTAGAAACCACAGGGGAGAGGGGCGTGTCGAAGTGGTGGGCGATCGGCGGCGCTCGAGTTGTATCCCAGCTTACCTAGTGTGGACGGAACCCGTCGTTGCACTTGTCTGCCAGACAGAGCATTACCTCACAAGACATTCTCAGCATTCTGCCGCTTCACCGCCCACGGCTCATCCCACTTGGAGCTGGGGAGACCGGTTGGAGGCCAGGAGGGACTTGGGACCCTTGGCGGGCGCATTCAACTAGAGCTATCTTCGAGTGCTCCTAACCCGCATGCTCCAAAACCCCATTCCCTATAAGCTGGTGGGCAAGCACACGGTCCGATGCACCCAACTGCTTTTCTGTTTTCTGTTTAGAATGCTATAGACACCGGTTTCGAGCTTCCAAATGTCCTCTCCAGCGCTGGTTGCCCTCCCTTGTGAGTCTAAAGTTGCTACGCTACGACTGCACCCTGTGTGCTCTCTGTACGCGCCTCTTGGGTGGGTCAGGAACTGGTGAGGGCCTCCACTGACAATGACATGCCAGTCTCTCCCGCCGACACCTGCCGATGATACCCCCGTGAACAGATAGGCTTGAGTTCAAGGTCGAAGTCCGAACGCTACGGCCAGTACTGGCAATCTGCAGTGGGTTTCGTCGCCCACCATGGACGAGTATCCCCCGTGCAGCTTGGACCATTGCTTGCCCTTGGCTGTCGTCCTTGGCCTGCCCGCCAAATTCGCCCAAGAGTCCTCTCTTGACCACCAGTACAGGGATGGCGCAACCTTGATACGATCGGAGCCGCCCCCGGTGGAAGGAGACCAGGTCGGCGCACTGATCCAGCATATCCGAGATACGGACGCATCCGGTTTGCCCTGGAATGGACGGGATACGAATAACTTCAAGTATAAGTTCCGCTTCAGGACCGCTGGCAGGGTACGCCATCTGTCGATTTCATGGGCCGATAGCCGCGCTGGCCTCTATTAGATGATCGTTGTGCTGACCGTCCCAGACCTACCTGCTGCCACCCAAACTTGCCCGCCTTCCCGATGATTTCGAGATCCCTCCCTCCCAGGCTGTATTACACTCGCCCTTCTCGCCTCTCAGTCCGACGGCGAACCTATACCCCGATGGTCTGATAGACCAGTCATGGCTCAAGAAGCACCAAGAACTGGTCCCGAGCGTCTTCATATGCCTCTACAGCCTCACGGCAGATGCGACCTTGGCGACCCTCCACGACAACAAGATCAAGACAGATATAGGCGTCTTGAGGAACGCCCTGGCGCAGTCTGGCTGCAAATCAAAGTTGGCTGTCATAGTGCTGGTCGACAACAATCATGGGGTACAGGAGAGGCTGGAGAACATTCGCAGAGGCAGCGGACTCGACGCCAAGTCATTCTTTGCCGTGCCGACAGATGCCTCGCCGGATGAGCTAAGCCGCATAATGGGCAATGCCTTGACCACACTGTACGCACAGTCAATAGAGTACTATCGCGACCATGGCAGGCGGGTCAAGAAGAAAAGGGGTCGCGGTGCTGCCCCCCAACCCACTGTTCCACCTGTATCAGGCACTTCACAAACACTGTCCCTTCCGGGGTGGCACATCCGTTACGACTTCAAATCTGCCATATTTGCAGAGTACCGCCAGGAGATGGACGTGGCGTTGCGTTCCTTCGAACAGGCCTATGAGAATCTGTTGAGCTCCGAGGTAATGGCAATCATACCTAGTTGGAGCCCGAGGTGGAATCAGGCCAGGTTCCTAGCCGACGTCATCGCTGTGCGGTGCATAAGGTGTCTCATGTGGAACGACCAGTACACAGCGGCAGTCAGGCGCTGGGAGAACCACAGGGAGAGAATAGCAGACTTCGTCGACGGACAAGGGCACGGTACCAACAACTACGGCTGGGAGGCCTGGGAGGCACGCTGGGCGGTGGTCATGGCGAACCTGATCGAGAAGGCCGACATTCCCGACTTTGATCACTCCGCTATAAGCATCTATTTGCCTCCAGAGAAATCTGTGCAGGCAGAGAGGATGCAGCCGTGGGAAATGCTACATCATCCAGGCTACTGGTACCGTCTGGCGGCACGACATACATTTGCGCGCCGCAAGCTTGCCTTCAGAATGCCCGAGGACGATAGGAGATCACCGAGCGAATCGCCAGCCTCCAAGCTGGCGTCAAAAGCCTTTAGGTACGACAGCTATATGTGCCCCGAGCCGTATGACGAGCTGCCTCTGGCTCGGTCGGGGATTAACCACTCCCAAATAATCCTGGATTACCTCCTTTCCGCACAGTCATATTTCATGAAAAAGCAGCAGCAGCGACTCGCCGCCGAGGTCTCTTTAGAGTGCGCCAAAGAGCTGGCTGCTGTCAAGGACTGGTCGAATGTGGTTAAAATCTTACGTCCCTTCTGGGACGAACTATCTTTTCGACGAGATGGCTGGCCAGAGATTACCGAAGACATGTGTTGGGTATTGAGAGCTGCAGCAGTCGATACCGTTCAGGCTGATCTGGTTGTGTCCATTGACTGGGAGCTGCTGAACAACAGTAAGATCCCGTGTGCATCTTTCACAGACAGTGTCGTTGACTCAAGTCTCAGGGTTCAAGAAGCATCCCAAATGGCACTACGATTTGACCAGGTCTCTCGATGGCGTCAATGCGCCAAGGCCATCCATAGATCTAAACGACGAGCTGGGCACATCCTTCATCATGCCTTCATTTGTCTTCCGCCACGAGGAAGGCAAGGCCGGGCTTACTTGCCAAGCTCAGCTGTCCATAACATCAAACGCGGTGTCCGGGTCCGCACCCATCGCCTTGGAGAGCATCATCCTGAGATTCGACGGCAGTATTAAGCCTATATTGCTTACTCATAGCCAGGAAAGCAAAGCCGAGGCGGCAAGCCGAGGGTCTGTATCCTTACACGTTGTCTCGCTGGCCGAGGCCACCACCGAGGCTGAGGAGGAGACCCAGGCCTCCGGAGAGCTCCATGGTCAACTGCATTTGAGCGGCACGAGTGACCTTACCATGGTCCCGGGGCGCACCTCTGTTTTCGAGATGAATATCCCGCTGAGAGAGCCTGGTGATGCTAGCGCTTCGTCGCTCAAGTTCACTGTCAACTATGAGGCCTTTTCCCTGACATATACTACCAATGTGCAGAAGGCAGGTACTGGACATTCCTGGCACACTGTACGATCAAGCAGACGTATCGCGCGCACCCATCCCCAATCTATCCGAGTCCTGCCCAGACCTCCTAAGATGGAGATCAGGGAGGTGGAATTCCTCGAGCAATATTACACAAATGAGGTCATCGAGCTACCATTTGATATTATCAACGAGGAAGATGTCGATGCCAATGTCAAATTGGATGTCGTTCTGCTCAGCGAAGACCCACCAAATTTCAAGCTGAAGTTTGGCGACGGCGAAGAAAAGCGAGCTTTGGCAGACGGCGAGGAGTGCACACTCCAAGGGGCTCCTCTAGGATTGATCAAGAGCTCAGAGTCCTCGCGGGTCACTTTGGTCCTGACAGGTGCGGAGCGTACAGCCGCCTATACGCTGACCTTGAAGGCGTCCTACAGCCTCGTGACGGACGCTGCAACCTCCATCATACAGTCTGCTACTTTCCGCATCAATGTAGCCAGCCCATTCGAGGCAAATTACGAACTTCTCCCTCGCCTTCATCCAGACCCCTGGCCAAGCTTATTCGACCACGAGGGGGTACACAATCCAACAGCCGATGCGCCTGGACCAAGCAATGGCCTCGCGCAAGCTTGGTGCCTCGTGACTCGATACGCCTCATTCGCATCTGAGAACTTGACGGTTCTGGACCTCGATATCGAAGTCCAACCTGTGCATGGCATACAATGTCAGACGTCGAAGCGAAGTGTACTCCCACCCGAGGGCCTACAGGTCAGCCCCAAGAACATCGAGGAGACGCAATTCGACGTTGCGGTCAAGAGGGCAAACCTGGACGAGCGAACTCCCACGGCACTCGATGTTTCATTTATAATTAAATGGGCCCGGCCAGGTGCTGAACCCGGCGCATCCAACAGGACCCTCCTCTCGGTACCTCGCCTTCCGGTCTTCACAATGGAGCCCAGGGTCCTGGCGTCTGTTTCGTACGCGAAGAAGGGCGGGCCTGTCGAAGAGACCATGCAGCTCGATATCACCATCGAGAACCCTTCGAACCACTTCCTTACCTTCGGGCTGACGATGGACCCCAGCGACGAGTTTGCCTTCTCCGGGGCGAAGCAGACTACGCTCAACCTGCTCCCAATTTCTAGGAGGACGATGGCGTACCGATTAGTTCCTCTGGTCGCGGGTGGCAGCTGGATCAGGCCGACCCTGACGGTCAAGGACAAGTACTTCCAGAAGGTGTTACGGATCATCCCGACGGACGGCATGAAGGCCGACAAAGATGGGGTTTTGATCTGGGTGCCGGTGGCCTCTGAAGACGGGGATGAGGAGTAATGGCCGCTTACCTGTAAAGAAGGTTTTTACTATCCAATTGTGCAAGGTCATTGGTAGATTTTTGAGACTTGATGTCTCAGATGGCTGAATTAGCTCGTCAGAGATAGTTGCTTACGGGTGGCTGCTCATGATGCTTCTCTGTCTTCACGAATATCTCGGTGACAACCTGAAACAGGCTGCTCCTTCACCGCTGCATATAATCACTGGTGCCAGTAGATGGTCTATCATTGTTTGTCTCCAAATTGGGCTCTCATGCAGACCACGATGGGTCGAATTCTGTTCCTGGCGTTGGCTTCTATGAAGAAGTCACCTACATCAGCCCGGGGGCGTACGGCAACTTACAGGACTAGTGGTGAGCAGCGCTACACACTACGAGATGATTTTTTGTTTTTTGTTTTCGGAATAATGGGCTATCAGCTCCGTCCATGACGATGTAAAAATTCATAGTGTCAGTGTCAAGTCGAATGCAGATCGCTCGAGGCTGCCTGGAAGTGGAGTGTAGGGTCCGTGTTGAGACGACCGCATGCTCGAGTGTAGATCGGCCAATCCTTCTCTACCCACGATCCCGATTGCGAGACCTCGTTTGCTCGTGAACTATCCCTGACCACGGTGAGGCAAGCATTTGCTGTTTAGGAATTGTCCTATCACCATCAGTGAATGGAAATTCGCATTCCCGGCTGGACATATGCAAGGTTCCTGCAGTTGGATTTTGAGAAAGAGGCTGTGTATGAAGTGGACGCAGCCCCCGCGTTTATCAGCCTCTCACACAAGGGCCGCTTCCCGGTCTGGCCAGGCTGACGTCCTCGCTACCCTCGTCTTCTTCTCATCCATCATCGATCACTGTGCTGTCCTGTCATCATTGGCCAATGCCTAGCTTCTTCTCCAATGCCGTGAGTCACGGAGCCCAAGTCCGTTTTTACATATCCCGCGAGAGCACAAATGTTGTGAATGAATTGCCGTTAGACTAAACTGCTGCGTGACTACTGGTGGGCGCGCACACACAACCCAGTCTAATAATAAGGCGACACCAGTGCATATGCAGGCAAGGCAGGCAAACAATACAGCAGCAGCACATCAGCACGGCGCCCTCGGGGTGCACTGCACTGGGCAGGGGAGAAAAGAGGCAGCCGGGCCCACAGCACTTGAGGGCACATGCGCGTCAGATCCGTCCACACATGCTGTTTCCCGATCCCGTTGCGGTCTTGTGACGACCACACGGACATATGCACCCCGACGGATTAGTTGCGACCACAGCATCCAGAGTTGTCACCACCGTCCTACTGGCTGGCTTAGTTGTCCATCTGCTCGGCGATGTGACTCTGACGCTGAGAGTTGGCCCGCGAGCTAGAGGCCACTTTACCCACATGTGCACCCAGCAAGTGCGCGAGCCTTGCCAGAACGCCCTCGCCGGCCGGGCAGTGCCAGTGCATATACCTACCTGGGTGCTGGGTGCTGGGCTTGCGGCTCACCACCAACCTGCAAGCCAGCTCGGTCTTTTCCGGTCATGGTATGCCAGGTCAAGTGCTAGTCATCCGCCCAGGGAGCTGTGGGCGAATCAAACCTGCAGGCCGGGCCGCCGCCTCACAGCCACTGATGAGGCCAAACTATGTCACCGCTCCGCTACCATTCACCTCTTCCGCTAACGCGTTTGCTGCCTGATATCGGGCCTCCTGTCTCGGCAAAGTGGCTAGGAAGGCTGAGTGTGGGGCGCCATCATCTAAGTCCCGCCGACGATATTTCTGCCGTATATAAGTCATGTTTGCTGTGTCCCAAGAGATGAAAGCTCTCTCTTGCAACTGCTCCGTCCCTTTTCACCCAGTGGTGTTTATACCCTCTGGAACATGGCTTCCATGAGCAATTTCTCAGCCTCGGACATGGCTTCATGCCCATGTCCTTCATCCTCACCATCCTCCATGTATCCATCACCATCAGCAGGGGCTACTGCCCTCCCTCCTCCGTCTCAGTTTGCCCTCTTAGATATGTTTTTCCCTGGCTTCTCCGTCTTCTCCAGCGCCGTTGAGAGGTACTTCAAGGTCGACCTCAACCTTTATATACCCCTTGTCCTCTTCCTCGGCAGCGTCACGTTTACATGGCGGTACATCTCGGAGTTCTTTTGGGAGAAGCTAGAGGCCTACTTCATGAGCACCGTGGATATCAGAACTGACGATGAGATCTACAACATGCTCATGGGCTGGGTGGCCCAGCAGAAATTTGCAAAGGGCGCAAGGCGCTTCGTCGTCAACACAAATCTCAACTCTAGGTCGTGGTACTTGTGGCGGTGGGACGAGGATGATGATGACACCCCTGAAGACGGCGACGATAACACTGCATCACACGGAAAGAAAAAGAAGGCACTTGCCTACACGCCCACCTTTGGTTCGCATTTCTTCTTGTATAGGGGCCGGCTTTGCATCTTCCGCCGGGACAAGGGCCGCGATCACCAGGCGGGCTTCATGATGGTCAGCGAGCGTGAGGAGATCTCCATCTCCTGCTTCGGCCGCGACCCCTGGCTTCTTAAGGAGCTGCTGCTGGAGGCGCGTGCCCAGTTCACGCAGCGCGATGAACACAAAACTCTCATCTACCGCGGGACCATCCCCGCCGGGTCCACATCGCCAGCCTGGCAGAGGTGCCTGGCTCGCGCCAGCCGGCCCTTCTCAACGGTCATCCTGAACGAGAAAGTCAAGCAAGACCTCATCGACGACGTTCAGGACTACCTCAACCCAGCAACCAGGCGCTGGTACTCAAACCGCGGCATTCCGTACCGCCGTGGCTATCTACTATATGGCCCTCCTGGGACGGGCAAGAGTTCACTCTCCCTGGCCCTGGCTGGGTTTTTCAAGATGCGCATCTACATCGTCAGCCTGAGCAGCGTCACATCCAATGAGGAGAACCTCTCGACTCTGTTCGCGGAGCTTCCGAGGCGTTGTGTGGTTCTGCTGGAGGACATCGACACGGCAGGCTTGACACACACCCGTGAGGACAACAAACCGGCTAACAATGACGACAATGACGACGACATGGTTCCCGGCCAGATCACCAAGGGCACTGGCCCAACTAACAACAACAACAATAATAACAATAATAATGGCCGCCTGTCCCTGTCCGGCCTCCTGAACATCCTGGACGGCGTCGCCTCCCAAGAGGGTCGCGTCCTGATCATGACGACCAACCACGTCGACAAGCTCGACAAGGCGCTCATCCGCCCGGGTCGGGTCGACATGATCGTGAAGTTCGACCTGGCCGACACGGGCATGATCAGCGCCATCTTCCGGGCCATCTTCGCGCCGCTCGAGGGCGACGACAGGCGGCCCGGGCTGTCCGAGGCCGAGGCGGCGGCGCGGGACCCGGAGGCGGTGAAGCGGCAGGTGGCGGCGGACAAGGTGCGCCGCGACGAGATCACGGCCGAGATGGAGAAGCTGGCCGACGAGTTCGCGGCCAGGATCCCCGCCCACGAGTTCAGCCCCGCCGAGCTGCAGGGGTACCTGCTCAAGAACAAGCGGGACCCCGAGGGCGCGGTGCGCGGCGCCGAGGCGTGGGTCGTCGACGCGCGGAAGGAGAAGGCCGCGAAGCAGCTCAAGGAGGCGGAGGAGAAGAGGAAGAGGGAGGAGGAGGAGAGCAAGGCGAAAGAGGAGGAGGAGAAGAAGAAGGCCAAGGAGGAAAAGAAGAAGAAGAACAAGAAGAGCAAGAAGGGCAGCAAGTCCAAGAAGCAGAAGAAGGACGAGGTGTCGAGCGGGTCCGACTCTGAGGCATCATCGGGCAACTCGTCGTCCAGCGGGTCGGAGTCCGAGTCGGAGTCGGAGTCCGAGGCCGAGGCGAAGAAGGAGAAGCGGAAAAAGAGCAAAGGCAAGACCGAAGTGACGATCAAGGTCGAAGACGTCAAGGAAGACGTGCTAGTACCAAAGACTCCGGACTCTGGCTATGGTACACCTTGAGAAGCGCTTTTGGAGGCCGGGGCTGGCATCATGTTTGAGGGACCATTCTGCTCTTGTTATTCTATTCGCTACTCATGAACCGGAGGCTGTGATCTTCTAGAGACAGCACATTTGATTGATACCATACATAGACAAGCACACTGGGATATAAATTTGAGATTATCTACTCCACCTCGAACATCGCAGTCAGTCCGTCTTTATGCTCTAGTAAACAAGTTATTCACCCACACTGTAGACCTGCGTCTATCTTTGAAAAAGACTCTGATCTCTGGTCCCAGATAGTCACCCGGCATAATGTTCCAATCCAAATGGGTGCTATCCTTGTGTTAGCGCGAGTCCGTCACTCACCTAGGCAGTGCTTAAGGATTTAGAAATTGCAAACATGAGAGTTGGACAACACGCCAACTCAACGCAAGCCCTTGAGCCTGGCGAAAAGCTAGGCGGCTAGTGATGCGCCGTCTGTTCCGAGCCAAAAAGTATTGCTGAAAATTAAGAGTTTTAAATCTATGCGACTCTAAGGATGAATGGGTATGCAGAACAAGAACATATACCAACCATTCTACACGCTCCGCTCTTTATTGCGTCCTTCCTCTTCGCTGAATCAAACCATCATGTCCGCGCCGATGCACCATTTCCCAATGGCACTCAGTGCCGAAGGCTGCACGGAGATCTTCACCTACATTATTGTCGTCTTCGCCCTGACAAAGCTCAGCATAGACGATCTCGCGCCCGAGGCACGGCGGTGCGGACGCTTCCCGCCCAGCGGCTGGCTCTACCTGGCATGCATCCTGTCGTGGCCCTTCAGCGTGGGGTCCTTCGCGGGCCTCCTGGTCCTCGGCACGTTCCATGCTGCTGTCATCAAGGCATACAAATTCGGGGCCCGGGGGGCCAGATTCTGTCGGCGGCGGATCGCCAGGTGCGTCCTGAAGCCCCGTGAGCCCGAGGACCTGGAGATGGGCCCCCTTGTGCCGTTGCCCCTGGAACGGGTGAGCTGGGACGACTCCAAGGCGGAATATAGCTTCCCGCTCGCTGAGATGCCGTCTCGGGAGGTCGTCGCAATCTTGAGGGAGGAGTGCAGCCTGACGCCCCAGAGATGGGGGCGCGCACCATGTTCCCGGACGAGCTCTTCTCGGTTGCCCGCCACGCGGGTACATTTGTCTCCTCCACAACCTACTCTGGGATACTTGTCTCCTCCTATGGGATACCCTCCTACAGAATAACATTCTGTGAAGGAGCACGTACTGTCATTGTTAAGATGTGGCAGCGGTACGGCAAGGTTATAAATGATTTCACCACCGTTCCAGTGCGACGGGTCAAGACGGACCTCGAGTCGGTCAAAGACTCAAGGTCCAGCTGTGTATGTTGAGAACTGCGGCCAGAGATGCGGAGGTTTGACAGAGGGTTCTTCGAACTCCTCCCGAGACATGTCTCTGGCCAGACACACACTACTCGGGATAATTGTCCAACGCCGAGGACTTGGCTGATGCGCAACACCAACGCGGCATTCGGCGGACTCTGGAAGGAGACGAAAACAACAGCTCTCGAAATCGAACAGGAGCCCGGATGAGAGAAATCGGAAGTGAAAGCTCAAGTGGAACTTGGCTCGTGTCATCAGCCGTCCGAACACCGCAAACGAGAGGCAAGGCTGGGAGAAACGAAACGGCAATGGCCCCACCACTCGGCGAGCAAGGACGAATTGAGAGACGTAGGAACCACGGGGGAAAGAGAGATGTTGTGTGTGTGCCACGACTCTCTGGGGCCTGACAATTATTAGTGTCGTTGATTTGTCGTGCCCGCATGATGTTGCTCAAGGCTGACTCGACTTCGAGCTTCGGCCTACGACGAGGAAGGAAGCCTCGTGATGGGACGAGACAGGGGATTGGGGGCGGGCTGAAGATGTCCAGCAGGCATTTTACGGCAGACAGACTACTAATACTCTGGTCTGGCAAGCCAAGGGTGACCAGAGATGGTTGTCTGACAGATACACATGCATATTGCTGCGTGTAATTGGGTCTCGGTGCATTTCGGGTCTGCGACGGGCCATTTCCTCTTTGGATACTCGCCGGTCGTTGAATTGTCGCCGGTGATGGAATGTCATGGAATGCGGCCGTGTGGAAGAGGGAAGGCCGAGATTCGCAGTCCGTGTCTCTCTTCCTTCGTTTTTGTCGTGGCCGAATGGGTCTCACCAGGAAGAAAGAGGAAGGCCGACCGCGCGGGCCGCGGCACTCTAGCGCGCGTCGTGGGCCTGGTTTTACGTACTCGGGCAGGCGTTGAGCAGGCTTGGTAGACCTGAAATGATCCACTTGGTTGATGCAGGTCGATGCAGGTTGATGAGATTGATTAGATTAAATAAACACTGATAATTCCGATGCCTGTCGCCATGGGCCGCGGCAGAATTTTCTCACCCCATTCCCATCCCCCGCCCCCGTCCCCGTGGGTCGGGTTCTGGCGCTTGATGCTCGTGTGTCGGACAAGACTGTCTTGTCTGACTGTTTGTTGATGGGGTTCCAGATTGGGAAGTCCGGCCAGTCGTGTGCATGGGTGGTGGCAGGGTGTAAAGCCTATCAGCGCTTGTGCGGCCCGAGTCGGCCAAAACAGGAGGATAAAGTCGACAAAGTCCCCGAGCGAAAAAGCCCCCGAGCTGGCGAGCTGGCAAGCTGTCAGCAAGGAGCACAGTAGTTGTGCTCTGTCTGTGCAGCCGAGGGGCAAACAAGAGCTGAGCTAGCTAGCTACACTAGAAAGGTGACGTCGAGGAGAATAATGGCCGTGCTGCCATGCGGCCCTGATGCGTGTCACTCGAGGGAACTACTGCAGCGGGAAGGCTTAGGCAGTGTAAGTGTGCACTCCGTAAGCCTGCTGTGACCACAGACTGGACGGTTCACGCCAGCGCCGCATCGACTACCTGAGTGGTCGCAGCAACGCTGCTCCGCCACCAACGTAGCAGCGCTGGGGGGAATAAGACGAACGGGCTACGAGATGCTCAGAGGCGAGGGAGATTGCGAATACACAAGTGGCGCAGGCATTGCTACATGCCCAGGTAATATCATAACAGCAGACAGAAAGACCTGGGCAGGGGTCCCAGACGATAAGCAGGGGTACGGCCTATCGATAAGCACTTATCGCACCGTACCAATCTGGCCCCTGCGGCCATGCAAGCCATGCACCTCCCAGTCAGCCCAGTCTGGGTCCCGCGTTCCGCGTCCGCACTTGAGTAGGAACACGACAGCAGCGCAGCAAAAGGGCTAGCCGACCTGGTTATAATAGTGTAGCACTACTGTACCTGTCAGGCCTGTCTACATAGTATGAGTTAGCTTTTTCCCGCCGTTGCCTTGCGGCAAATTTCCCAAATCGATCAAGTCCCGACCCGTTTCCTGTTTCCGGTTTGAGCCGTGTTGATCGCAGAGTCCGTTTCGCAATTCCAATCACCCACCGCCTTGCTTCTCCCCGAACGTCGGTGGCAGACTGGTGGCAGACTGGTGGCAGCAAGGGTGCACTCCGTGCATTAGATGCCGTTGACTACCAGACTACTCGGTACAATCAGCAGTGCCCACCCGCACAACGAGTCGGGAAGCCTTTGCTCCACCCGTTCCGCACCGTCCTGGGATCCCCTCGACTCGTACGCGGACGGCCAGACACCCAGACAATGGCACCGAAAGATAACAATCAGACGAAGAATGGCCTCCTTGCCGGGAGAGGACGGACGTCCGGCTGCCCTTCTGACTCTGTCCCCAGCCGGTGGACCGCTTGCAGGTAGGTGATGAGACCAGATCACCCTGCCAGTGCTGCGCAAAAGTTTCCTCTGCACAGGGCCTGGTGCCGCCGCCGCATGGCCGGGACTCGGAGAACGGTGGTGACAGCAGACAGTCTACGGAGTACTGTTTGTAGTAACCGAGCTCTCGACAGACAGCCTTGTCGAGGGTGGCTTGGCTTGGCATCAGCTTGCGACAAGATACTCGCAGTGACAGTAGGAGGAAGGGCGGTGTACTCCGTATCGGCCTACACAGTACACTACAGGTACACTACAGCCTGGTTCCATCCTGCCGGGCTCATCGCTTGTTGCTGGTGTTAGTGACGGCGACTTAAGGTTGAGGCGGCAAGGGGAGGCGATTGGCCTGGACGGGCCCAGGGTCCCAACAAGCTGTGGTGCCCGAGTCGCATGCAGCACACCAGGGGCTAACAGATTGGACCCCTCCTTCCCGTCCATACGTACCATCCGCCCACCCACGCCCACCGCGCTTGCATTTTATCTGCCAGAGCCACTCCAACATCGCAATTTCTGCCGCCCGTACAACTATAACCCCCCCATCATCCTGCCCGCCGCTCTTCCTGCTCTTCCCTTCTCTCCCTCACCCCTTCCAAAACACCCTCCAGCCCCTCATACAAGTCAACCACCTCTCAAAATGGCTTCCCGTCCCCAGAACATTGGCGTCAAGGCCATTGAGGTCTACTTCCCCAGCCAGGTATGCCCTCGCCCTCGTCCTGTGCCCCAGTCCGCTGCGCCGCCTCGTGGTAGCCTGTTGTTCTACTCCCTGACATGACCGCCAATTGCTCGCCCTTGTTTGTGCCTGGACGCGTGGGCTCGTGCTGATATTCCTCGCGCCGAAATAGTATGTCGAGCAGTCTGAGCTCGAGCAGTTCGACGGCGTCAGTGCCGGAAAGTACACAATTGGTCTCGGCCAGACCAAGATGGCCTTCTGTGACGACCGCGAGGGTGAGAACCTCTCTTTTGCCCCCCAGCCCTCCCCGTTGTGCCCTGTTCCTAGCGACAGGCGAGCCCGCCATGATTGGAATATTCTGCTGACAGCACCGTTCCCAGACATCTACTCCTTCGCCCTGACCGCCGTCTCCAACCTGCTCAAGAAGTACGAGATCGACACAAACTCCATTGGCCGCCTCGAGGTCGGCACAGAGACCATCCTGGACAAGTCCAAGTCGGTCAAGTCCGTTCTGATGCAGCTGTTTGGCGACAACACCGACCTGGAGGGTGTCGACAACGTCAACGCCTGCTACGGTGGCACCAACGCCTTCTTCAACGCCGTCAACTGGGTCGAGAGCTCTGCCTGGGACGGGCGGGACGCCATCGTGGTTGCTGGTGACATCGCCCTGTACGCCAAGGGCAACGCCCGTCCCTCGGGCGGTGCTGGCTGCGTGGCCATGCTGGTCGGCCCCAACGCCCCCATTGTCGCCGAGCCGCTGCGTGGCTCCTACATGCAGCACGTCTACGACTTTTACAAGCCCGACCTGACCAGCGAGTACCCTTACGTTGATGGTCACTACTCCATCAACTGCTACACCGAGGCTCTGGACGCTGCTTACCGCTCCTACTGCGCAAAGGAGAAGAAGCTGCAGAACGGCACCGCCAACGGCAACGGTGTCACTGACGGGCCCGTCAAGACCCCTCTGGACCGCTTCGACTACATGGCTTTCCACGCTCCTACCTGCAAGCTGGTCCAGAAGTCGTACGCCCGCCTCTTGTACCACGACTTCCTTGCCGACCCTGACAGCTCTGCCTTCGCCGAGGTGCCCAAGGAGATCCGGGATATGGACTACAAGAAGTCCCTGACCGACAAGGTCGTCGAGAAGACCTTCATGGCCCTCTCCAAGAAGAGGTTCCAGGAGCGCGTGAACCCCGCCATCCAGGTCGCCACCCTCTGCGGCAACATGTACTGCGGCAGCGTCTGGGGCGGTCTCGCCAGTCTGATTGCTCACGTCCCCGCCTCCAGCCTCGAGGGCAAGCGGGTTGGTCTCTTCAGCTACGGCTCTGGCCTCGCTGCCAGCTTCACCTCCTTCAAGGTTGTGGGCAACACCGAGAACATCTCCAAGACCCTGGACCTCCCTGCCCGCCTGGAGGCCAGGAGGAAGGTCGCCCCCGAGGCCTACGATGCTGTAAGCTTACTCCTTCCCGGAATAGGCAAGTGCCTCAAGTGCTAACGAGTATACTAGCTCTGTGATCTGCGCAAGCAGGCGCATCTGCAAAAGAACTTCAAGCCCAAGGGCGATGCTTCGACCATCATCAGCGGCACCTACTACCTCGAGGAGGTCAACGACATGTTCCAGCGGTCTTACTCCGTCCAGGCTTAAACGAATTCCACGCTTTTCCGGTACCAAGATGGTGTCACTTACACGCATAGAATGGGAGGCGTCTGCCTCGGGTTAAGGTCCCTGACCCCCGAGAGAAAAGACGCGAACCGGCGCAACACAGCTTCAGATTACTATTGCTTTTGGTGATTAGCGACGCGCATCGAACTGCAGGCCACAATGGCTCGCACTAATTAATCACGTCTCATGAAGGCTAGTTGACGATATATATGGCCGGCATGTATATATGACGGGATTGTCTGATTGTTCCTGGGGAGCATCTACATTAGAGCATAGACCCGTTACGGGAGCACTGGGACTTATTAGTACTCAGAACTCAAAAACCATTTTTACATCCCCAAGCCCTTGGTCTATCCTTTTTGTTGTGTGAAATATCCCCGGCCACTTCCCTCTGCCCAGCCGAGACTTCCGGGGCCCTGTCTAATCTAACGGGCATGAAGCACCTATGCACGCACGCATACGATGGACAAATACTATATATACAGTCGGCCGGTCTAATAAGCACGCTCACCTAAATGTGTCTGTGTCGTGCGTCCAGACTTAGTCGTCCCCCTTCCACTTCCAACCAGCATTCCTGTGCAGCTTGTAATCACGGCTCTTGATACTCTTGTAGATGCCATAGATGCCCCCAAAGGGCCAGACCCCCTTGAGCCCTCGGCCCGCGGCCTTGGTCTTGCCGACGTCCACCTTGACCTTGTCGTAGACGCTGGGGAGCCCGGCCTCGTCGGCCTTGTACTTGGCGCGCAGGGAGTCGTACCAGCCCCTGCCGCCGTACATTTCCCAAAAGTCAGGCTCGTCGTAGTAGGTATGGGCGTACAGCCACTTCATGCCGCCCAGCTCGCGGACCTTGTCCTCGAGGGCCTTGTTGGCCTTGACGAACTCGGCGCGGTCCGAGGGGCCCCAGCCCCAGACGCCGATGTTGAGCATCATGTCGTCCTCCCCCTTGCTGCCGTCCTGCTGCTGCTGCCTCCCGGGCGGCGTCGTGGTGAAGGGGTGGAAGGTCGGCGGGGCCCGGCGCTTCAGGGGGCACAGCCACAGGGGCCAGATGCCGAGCTCCCTCTCGGTGTAGTCGACCAGGTCCGGGGCGGTGGCGAAGGGGACGGCGATGTCCTGGACGACGAAGCGGGCGCTCTCGCCGGAGCCGTGCAGGGCGCGGTACAGCATGCGCGTGTGCATGAAGTCGTCGAGGAACCAGCGGGTCAGCCTGTTGAAGGGCACCAGCTTGAAGTAGGTCCAGCCGGCGCGGCCGACCCAGAACCCGGCGCGGTCGTAGCGGAAGAGGTACTCTGCCAGCGGGATGTAGTCGTCCTGGGTGGTGCTGCCCTCGGCTGCTGTCTGGGCCTGCACGTGCATGTAGAACCAGGGGTCGCCGGCGCGGCTGAAGGTCTGCACGGGCGCGGCGGCGGGCTTCTCGTCGGTCATCTGGCCGGTGATGACGACGCCGTGGTCCTTGGAGAAGAGGATGCCGTCGACGTAGTCGTTCTCGGCGCGGGCGGCCTCCTCCCTCACGGCGGCGACGGCCTCGGCGACGCTGCGGGTGCGGCGGTACCGCGTGCGCACGAACCTCTTGGCCCGCACCAGGTTCAGCTCCAGCAGCGTCGTCACGCCGAGGGTGCCGACGGCCCCCGCGGCGCCGCGGAAGAGGTCGGCGTGCGGCCCGGCGGCGCCGGCGGGCGTGTTGGGGTTCGCGGCGCTGACGACCTCGCCGTCGGGCAGGACGAGCTCGACGGAGGCGACGGTGTCGTCGAAGAAGCCGTGGCGGAAGCTCGAGGACTCGCCGGCGGTGCCCGCGAAGCCGCCGCCGGCCGTGATCCCCGGGAACTCCATGACGACGGGGGGCACGAGGCCGTGGCGCAGGGTGTGCTCGACGAGCCTGTCCATGGGGACGTTTGGCTCGACGAGGGCGGTGCGGCGGGCCTCGTCGACGGAGAGGACGTCGCGCAGGGCCGAGATGTCGACGACGCGGGCGCGGGCGCCGTGGGGCTGCGGGCGGGTGCTGTTTGTGCTGCCGTGGAAGATGCGGTAGGGCTCCTTTGCGTTGTAGAAGGCCCTGACCGTGGACGAGATCTTCTGCACCAGGGCGCGGTGGCGCTCCATTGTGGGTGGTGGAGTGGGATGAGAGTGAGGGCGAGGGTGAAGGTGAGGGTGAGTTGAAGGTGAGTGGAGATGATGATAGTAAGAGTGAGAGTTGTGCTCCGGGTCTGCCCTCGTTTCCACCGACCAGCCAACCGCACTGCAATTGCCTCCCCTTGCTCGGTTGTAAACACGCTCGCCCTCCCTACAGGCCGGCGTTGACCACTGCTGAAACGGGTCTGGTGCTCGGCGATAGGGTGACTTCGTCCGGTCGTTGATGTGTTGCTCGTGCACGCAACGGGAGACGCACGTCTAGGTTTTCGGCAGCTGGGCCGAGCGGATGCGAACACGAAAAACCCCCCGGAGGCCGATGCACCCCACAATTGTGCCCGGCTCCGATCCGAACCTGTGTGAACTGGTTTTTTCTTCTTTTTTATTTTCTTTTTTTTATTATTTATCCGTGCCCTCTGCAATTCTATGCACACAGGCGTGCCTAAATGTGGTTATCCCGCCCTTGCTTGCACTTCCTCCTGGTGGCGGCTTCGAGGTCGATAAAACAAGTCCAGGTCAAGTACGTGTGTTGGTGACGGATACCGAGTCCAGGACAGCAAGGTTCGTCCCGTACATGATTAAGCTCAACTGCGTCCCAACCCTGAAGGCCAATTGTACAATCAGTTGCAAGCCAGCGCTCCCTGTATTGTTCCATCCACACTTCCGCTGGAAATTATTAGTCTTCTTATATCGGGTATATCAAAGCTGAGAAAGCCGTCTTGACAAACGGATGAAAACCCATGCAGATCCCCAACCCTCCTCCATCATGAGCCATAAATCATGCAATAACCTTGGAACCACCGCCATGCCCTCAACATGCCAGACCTCATCAGATCACCTCACAGCTTCGCAGCGACGTCCCCCGCCGCCTTGGCCGGCGCCTTGTCCTTGCCCAGGTTCCTCAGCCTCTCGCGCAGCTCCGCCTCGGTGTAAGGGCTCAGCCTGGCCGGGTCGATGCTGGCCTCCTTGAGCGTCCTGGCCCTGAGCGTCCTGAAGCTCGTCTCGACGCTGCCCGGCCCCTGCTCCACCACGCCCCTGATGAACCCCGTCCACGCGTCAAAGCACCTCGTCGACACGGGGGTGTCCATAAAGACCATCGGGAAGCAGTGCGGCATGGCCTCGTACTCCTCAAAGACCACGGCCACCCCGTCCGAGTGCAGCTTGGCCGCCATGTACTTGTCCTCGTCCGCCAGCAGCTCCCACCCGCACGACATGTACACCGGCGGGCAGCCCTCCCAGCTCTTGGCCGTCACGAGCGTCGCCAGCGGGTGCGCGACGAAGGCGTCCGCGCAGTACAGCATCTTGCGCGGCGGGCTGGCCGGCCACGCCGCGCACGACGGCCGCTCCATCTTCTCGATCCCCTGCAGCATCGGGAGGTAGTCGAAGGCGGCGTTGTTCTTGCACGACGGCGACGAGTGCGTGAGGTCCAGCCACGGGGAGCTGAGGGCCAGGCCGCCCGGCAGGTGGGGTGTGACCTCCTGGCCGAACCACTGGATCTTGGTGTTGGTCCTTTTGAACTCGAGCAGCAGCTGCGCGAGCGCCATGCACAGGTTGCCTCCGGCACTGCGTCACTGTTAGCGGCTGGTGCGTTCTCGCGGGCCAGCAAGTCGAGCTCTTACCTGTCACCGGAAAAGACCACGTGCTCCGGCTTCACGGCCTCGTGAAAAGCCCCCAGCGGCGGGTACAGCAGGGTCAGGTACGACTGCAGCGCGTCGATAAGTGCTGCCGGAAACGGGTGTTGTGGTGCCAGCCTGTACCGGACCGAGTAGCAACGCCCGCCCGTCATCTTGGCGAGCTTCTTGGTCCCTGGCCGGTGGGTAGCCGGGTCCATCAGGTAGTAAGCACCGCCGTGGAAGTATAGTACGGTCGCCAGGCTCTTCACCTCCTTCATCATCTCGGCGTACTTTTCCGCCTCGGTGATGGGCGGCAGTCTCGACTGGGTCGTCGCCCCCGCCCGGTAGCCTTGCCACTCGGCCTCGACGGGCACAGCCTCGGGCCACTCGACACCCTTCAGCGGTGGCGGGGGACTGCCGTTGCTGCTGGGCTGGCGCATGTTCTCCACGGCCCGGACGACAACGTCACGCAGGCTGGTCTCCTTGGGGCTGGGTGCCGTGTACTTGGCCACCCAGATGCGGCCCTTGATGCCCGGGTCCTTGTTGAGAAGCTTCTGGGTCGCCGATATGGTCGTGGGTTTCGATGGCGTCATGAAGGACCGGATCACGGCCACGGTCAACTCGGTCCTCAGGTCGACATACTTGCTCGGCGGCGACATCTGTAGCACATGCAACAGGGCCACGCGTGCCACAAGAGGAAGCTTGGGCAGTATCTGCATGTACATCTTGAGGGTGTCGGCGTCCATGTCAAACATGCTTGGCTTCTCGTATGAGGACATTGTGGAGGTTGGCGCCGGTGGCCACAGGGCGGGTGAGACTGTAAGGTATATAGGAAGGATGAGAGCGCAGTCGAGCCAAGAGAATAAACGGCTGAATGGTCAAAGGTCTCAACAGGCAATGCCTGTCCGTCGCGGGGTGAGGCCGGTTCGTCTTCTTTTTCGCAGAGCCTAGGTCCCTGCCGTACCTGATAGGATCTCCTTGTATTGGGTATGAGAGGAATGAAACAATGTAACCAGGACCCTAACAGAAAAGGTCGGATGCGAGGCAGGGCGCAACTTTATTTCTGCTGCAGCAGCGGTGTCGTGCATCAAGCGAAGACCTTGGAGGGGTACTGAGAGAAGACGACGAGGACGTCAGGACGTGTGCCCTTCCTTATTGTGGACCACCACGTACTATACACTCGAGTGGCAGGGTCACCCTTCCTGACGAGTTTCTTTCCCCGGCGGTATCTGCGGGTCACTGGCCTGCGATGAGCCACACTCCAGCTTTACCGCTTTGATGATGTGGGACGCCTGGTCTAAAGGAGCATCTTTTGGGGAAATAATCTGGTGAGTGGCGGGAAAGAGAGATGGACGGACACCTAGTCAGTCGCCGGTTCAGCCGGCTCGGAAGCAGATTTGACGGCCTGGACGAGGCAGCCCGTTGTCAAGCGCGTGCTGGTCGCTCTGCAGTAGAATTGCTGGGTGCTGGGTTGGAGGGATTGTGCCTCGGCAAAGCTGCCCGTGAATAAGGGTGGCAATGGCGCCAGGCGCCCTCGTACGGCCCGAATGCGAGGGGCATGCGGCTAGCGACGTCGAGGTTTAGTGTGGTGTATCATATGCCGGCATCCACTCTTCAACGTCTTTGTCGCAGCCAGATTACCATATATAGACCAGTGATTACAGCTCGAACAGAGCAGCTGCGGTGGATTTCAGGTCTTCTAGAACTCGCTCCAGGCCAGATGAACAATGCGGGGTCGTCATGAGATGTAGAATGCGCGATTCTTTCCCGCCCTGGCCAGCACAGCGAAGCAGTGTGACCCACAATCGACGAGACTTGTCGGTCTGATCTCCAGCCTCAGGTGGCCTTGGGGCTGCTGTCCACCACGCAGGACCACAGCCGGCCTGGGGCAGCTTGGAAACGAAGGGAGACTGCCCCGTGGCCCAGTCGGAAACTGTCGAAGCTTTGTCCTAGTGGGACTACTATGGCATTATGAGTGTCGTCTGGTCTCCCAGACGTGACAGCTCGCAAGATGGTCTCCGAATGTCCACTACCAGCTAGCTCCGCGAGAGATGAGACGATGAGCCCGCCACAAGAGTGCCAATGCGCCTGCGACGGCGGCGGCGACAGGTCAGGAGGCAGCCAGTGATTTGTCCAGGCAAGGGTCTGTCAAGGAAGTCGACAGTCGCCGCGACCTGTGTCGTTGTCATGGGAGATGGCGATGGGCGGCGTGGCAGCACGAATGCGGACACGGGCCGGCGCAGAATGGCTGAATGGGCGACGCGGGACCTCAGTCGCGACAGTCGCCCTTCTAGGCTTAGCCCCCGCGGGTCCAGCCGTCTGTACCTTAGCACCGAAACGCCGGGTACACGAGCCCACGTGTTAGTGCAGCGCCTTGTTTTCTCTTTCGTCCCATCCCATCCATCCCATCCCACCGGCCGCCATGGATCCACACCAGCAACGACGACGACGCCCAAGACTTGGAGTGGTTTCCATCCAAAGCTTCCACACCTGGTCGGATACCCCACCACACCCGTGGGCCTCAGCACCAACCTATTCCTACCGCCAACAACAACGGTTCTTGGCTCAAGAAATGAAACGAACTCCAAGTCCGAACCAGACATCTGGAGACCCTTTACCACTGGTACCGATGCGGTTTGCGACGCGTTTAAATTTATACTTGCTGGCTACCTAGGTACCCAGGTACTTAGATCATTAAAGGCCCAGTGAGACACTGCTGGATTCATCTCCATCTCAGGGGCCGCAATTCTGGGATACGAGTGTCCACAGAACCCAATCGGACAAGTATCTCGTCTTTGAAACTCAACACCTTGAGCATTCTTTTCAAGTGAGAGACTCATGCCGGCCCAAACGCGGCCGTGAGGGTGCAACCCTGATGCCGCCGCCACCGCCCGACTTCGACCCCTTTCCCCGGCGTCGGCCCGTTCTTCGCGGCGCGCGGTCGACGCCGAACCTGAGAGATCCGGTCGCCCCGTCGTTCCATGTCCCGCCACCAGCATATGATGAGTTTCCTGGCATTGACGCCGGGGGCAGGCTCAACGTCGTTCCCCCCAGCTTGAGCCCGGGGCCATCGTTTCCTGGGCCGCCTTCATGTGCAGACACCTTCCACGAGCCAAAGTATCGAGCCTACCGGCCTCCAGTTCCACCTGCACCTCAAGCTTCAGGGGCTGAACACCAACCTTCACAACCAACCGGCTTCCCTCCTCCGGTCAAGTCGAAAACATCCGCCGTCCCTTTCGGTTACGTCCCTCCACCACCGCCGCCATTCCCTCCCCCATCCGGGGCGGCGACGTTCCCCGTAACTGCACACCAACGCCCTCCAGCCTCCCCAGTCTTCGCGGGTCCACCCCCGGCAGAGACGTTCCCCTTGGCAGGGCCTCGTCCGCCAGTCTCGCCAGGTTATGCCCCCTCAGAGGCCCCGTCTGCGGACCCGCAGACAAGCGACAAGACCTTTTGGCAAACAGCCCTCGACGAGACCAAGTACTTTGCCGGAGGGCTAATCGCTCACCCTTTTGAGTACACCAAACACTTCGCCATCCTCCGCCACTCCACCGCCCTCGTCTGGTACCGTGGCCCCTCGACATCTGTCACAGTCACCATCTTCTCAGATGCGCCGCTGCCTCGCACGCGGACGGTATGGCTTCAACGAAAGGGTGTCTCCGGGAACATGGGCATGAACCTCAAGTCCCTGCTCGGCGCCAACGACTCCTGGCTCGACGTCACGCCATCGTCACAGGCCTCACCCGCAGACATGGCAGAAGGCGATGAGCGCGCATGCCAGCGCGACCTAAAAAAGTTCCTCAGGAAGGCGCCAAAGAACCTCAGCAGCCACGTGCCGAGGGAGACCCACGTCGTCCGTATACCGGCTGCAGCTGACGACGGGTACTTCCGCCTCGTCCTCTGCGCCGGCGGCGGCGACAACGGGAACACCAAGAGGAAGGTCCTCTGCCCCAGCCCGGTATTCCGCATCGCCAGCACGTCCACCGACGCGAGCGTCATGCGCGGGGCAAGCCTCGCCACCATGCCTCTCGAGCTCGGCATCAAGGCCGGCTCCATCGTGGCCACGACCGTCGCGAACAAGTACATCGGCCCCGCCGCCGCCGTCGTGCAGTCGCGCACCAAGAAGCTCCAGACGGCCAAGTTCGTCACGAGGCACGCCGCTCATATCGCCGGTGGGAAGTCCGCCATTGAGAAATCAGGAGTCAAGACTACTGTCGCGGAATATGAGGCACAGTACGCCACCGCGAGAAGCGGTGGGTACGCGCCGTGGCAGGACGGCGATGCCGGCTTCCAAGAGGCACCGCCTGACGTGATAGGCCCAGACTCGGGCCCTGTCGGCCCGTTCCCCATCAAATTCGACGGCAGGATCGTGCGCGGCACCGGGAGGGGCGGGATGGAGCTGGGGATCCCGACGGCGAATCTCAACGACATCCCCGAGGAGGTCAGGATGCGCATGCGGGGGGTCTACTTTGGCTGGGCACGCGTTGTCCCCAGGAGCGGACTCGAGCACATTTCTGCGGACTGGCACGAGAGCATCATCACGGTCGGGCCAGCGCCCTACGCCACCCCTCGCGTTGCCGCCAAGAACGTCGCTACCGTGCACGTCATCCACGAGTTTGGCGGCGCTCTGTTCCTGGAGACCAAGCTGAAGGTCTTGGTCATGGGCCAGCTGCGCCTGTCTACACCACCGGTCGGCTCAGATGAGGCCCTGCAGGCATACGGCGCGGATGTCTTGCTCGCCGTTGCGAGCTTGAGTCGGGACAACTGGGGCCCGGTTGAGACCAGGGAGCGGATGCGCACGATGAGGAGCGACATGAGCTTGGCGGATCGGTATCTTGAGACGAGGGAGAAGGTGCAGAAGCAGGTCGACCGGTTACCTGTTCATCTGGCTGGTGTCAGGACGGAGGGTGCGGCGTTGAGAGATCAAGCCTTTGGTAATGGTGGCATGTGGATTCCAAGATGAACACTGAAGTCTCGTGATGCACCTGCCATGAGTGTAATTTAATAGGTCTTGATCAGTAAGTATAGAGCTTTCAGCAGTGCCAGTAATTAGATAGACCTGGGGCATTAGTAACATCCTATCTGTTGTAATATTTCTTGTACGATGATATAGGTTCTACGGTTATCACGGTCAGAATCTGGGCATAATATAGCAATTGGAAAACTTAATATATTCTTAATCATCTCCCCCTTTTCCCATAAATTCAGTACTTCCATTTGCCTTTTTTAGAAATAAAGAAAAAAGAGAACAAGAGGCGGGGGGGGGGCCGTATCGTCGCGTCTCTCCGTCGACAGGGTGTAGTAATTCTAGCCAGTTCCATCAATTTGAACAACAAAGTACCAAAGAAATGCCAGCCTGTATTGTGTTCAACGTCGTGTGTTGATCTCCGTTCCCATTTCTGCGGTCAGTCTGTTTATTCGGTGTTCGGGTATTGCCGCGGTCCTGCGGTGACCGTCCGAGCTGTGGCCTGAAATCAACAACCCGTCTCACTCCCACTGAGAGCAGAAGGTACCTTAATAAAGACCGTCAGAGGAGAGAAATTGGTTCATGTTTCAGTACTAAGAGCTGTGTCTAAGTTTCAGGTGCATTTTCCGATAGGCAAGCCACTGAAGAAAAATGTGTGGAGGACGCGCCCCTAACCCTGGTTTCAGACCTAGTCCAAAGCGACTATAAAAGGCGTTATGAGGTTAAAAGGACCATTACTGAGAGACTTAGACCTTAGACAACTTAATTTACACCTTATAGACTAAATTATTATTTCTTTATAGTTATAAACCCGATATATATTAGGTAAATTTCTTTTATTAAAGCTTAAAATAGATAATATAAGGTGTAACTTATTTTACTTTATTTTTTATAAACTATTTTATACTATTATAAAAATAGTTTTAACTTTTAATTTAAATATTATTTATTAAAACTTTTATTTATTTTTTAAATAATATACTTTTTTTAAAGTATATTATTAGTTTAGATAATATTAGGCTTTTATAAACTTAAATAAACTTAAAGATAAAAGAATAAATATATCTTTTATATTAGAACTATTAAAATAAGCTATTATATATAAAAACCCTATAAAATATATTTTAAGGTAAAAATAAAATATAAGGCTTATTTTATAAATAATATATTTAAAAATAAGAAAATTAAGCCTTTATAGAAATCCTCTATAATAAAGGCTTTAAAAGCTATTTATAACTATAAAATATATTAATAAATAATATTTACTCTTAATTAAATATTAAAAGTATTAAAATTTTAGAAAATTTAAGATTAAATTTAAAAATAGTATTAAATAATATTTTATTAACTTATATAATAAAACTAATAGATTTAAACTTATTTTTAATTTATAAAGTTATTAAAAGATTAAAAATAATTTTATTTTTTAAAATTTAATAAAATTAATATTATATAATAAACTTATATATAATATTTATAAAAGCTTAAAAACTAATATTAAACCTATTTAATAATATTAAAATTATAATAAGATTTATTTATAAACTTATATTTATAAAATACCTAAAATTAATAATTTTTAAAAGTAAATAACTTTTATAAGTAATTTCTTTATAAATTATATTTAAATAAATTTAAATAAAATAATATCTTATTATTAAATAAAATACTTTTAGAAAACTTATTAAAATACTTAAAACCTATTTAAAATATTAAGTATTTTATTTTATATTAATAAGTAATTTAACTAACTTAAAACTTATTAATTTTTATTATATTAGTTAGAAATATAGTATTAACTTAAGTTATAAAGTTAAAAACTTTAATTTAAGTAACTTAAATAAGAAATTAAACTAAAAAAGAATTTTAAGTATCTCTATTAAACCTCTAAACATTTTAAGTACTATAAATAGGATTTAATTAATTATAGAACTTTAAAATATATTTATATAAAAAAGATTTACTTTTAAATAAAAAGATTTTAAATATTTAATATAAAGAGATTAAAGAGTATTTAAAGAATAAATTTAAATATTTAATTTTTAAATTTAAAAAATAAAAATATATTTAAAAAACTATACTAACTATAAAAATTAAAAATAATATTTTTCTTTACTTTATTTAAGGATATTTAAGTTTAAATAGAATTTAACTTTTATTATACCTCTTTTATATAAATAATATTAATATTTATATTTATTTTTATTATAAATTCTATTTATTTTTAACTTTAATTTATTTAAAGATATTTTAAATATATTTATTTTAGTTATTAAATATAAAATATATACTTTTATTAACCTTTTATAAGTTTTTATTAATAAGGCCTTATTAAAAATATATATAATCTTAAATAAAGTATTATATTTATTATATAAAAGTATAATTTTAAATAATTATAATATAATCTATTTAATTAACTTAATAAAGAAACTAAAATTAAAAGCTTTTACCCTAATTTAAAAATAATATTATTAAAATAAGTACTTTAACTCTTAAAATTAATAATTATAAAATATATTATTTAAAATAAATAATTTATAAAAATAAAAAATATATAAAAACTTATTATTAAAAATATAATAATTATAAAGAACTTTTATATAAATATAATATTAAAAGTACTTTTATAAAAAGTAAGTATTTAATATTATAAAAAATATAACTTTATACTATAAACCCTTTAAAAGTAGTATTATTATAATAAAATTTATTTAAAAATATAACTTAATTTTTATTAAATATAAATTACTTTCCTTTCTTTATTTCTAAACTATTATTATTATTAAAAGTAAGGTTAAAATAGTAAACTACTTAATATTTACTATAATATAAAAATACTCTTTTATTCTTTTAGAATAAACCTTTAAAATATAAAGATTTTATTTAACTTTAATATTTATATTTAGGTTACCTAAAAGTATAAATTTTAAAAACCTTTATTAAATAAAGTAAAGATATAAAAATCTTTAAAATTAAGTAAATTAATTATAAAGTTTACTTTAAAGTACTTACTATAAAGTATATATAAAAGCTTTATTAAAAATAGAAATTTAAGGTCCTTTTAAGGTTTTAAAATCTATTTATATATAATTAAACTTTAAATAAAACTTTATTTACCTTTATTATTTATAATAAATATAATAAAAGCTTTTATTTACCCTTTTATATTAAAATTTTAAAAAGAATATTTAAAGTAATATAATATTTTAAAATATATATTAAAAGATAATTTAACTTTATAATTTATAAAATATAGTAAAACATTAAAACTATAATTATTAATTAATTTATAAATACTAATTATATTAAATAAATTAAATAAACTAATATTAACCTTAAAATTATCCCTTTAAGAATATTAAAAGTAAATAAAAAAAAAAAAACTAAAAAGGCCTTAATTAAGAAGACCTTTACTTTTTTACTTAAAATAAACCTTTTATTAGAGCTATAATTAAAGACTATATTAACTATAGCCTTATTATATAATATATTTCCTCCTTTTTAAAAAAAAAGTAAGCTTTAAATATTATTTTATATAAATAGTTTAACTATTATTTTAAATAATATTAACCTCTTTAAATAAAAAATAAACTTTAAAACTTACTTTCTAACTAAAAATATTTATATTTATAAATACTAAGTATATACCTTTATAAAAGTATAAAAATAATATAAATAAATATTACTTAAAACCTATAAAAGGGCCTATATAAAATATTTTATAGAATATATAATATTAAATATATATAAAATATAAATTCTATTTATAAATAAATTATTTTTATAAAAATATAATATTTAAAGAAAACCTTTTATATAAATAAAATAAATAAACTAAAAAAGCCTTTAAGTTCTAAAAATAAAATAAATTTTAATTAAAATAATTACTTTTAAAAATACTAAATATAATATATATTATAATTAAACTAACCTTATAAAAATTTAAATAAAACTTAAATTAATAATTAAAAAAAGATAAAACTTAATAATTTAAATAAAAGTAGTACTCTTATAAAAGTATAAATAAATACTAAAAGGAATAACAAACTAAACTCACTATTTATTCAAGCTAATTCCAAAGAATAGTATATAAACCTCCCTACCCCTAAAAAAATACTAAAAGCCCCTAAAAAAAGTATATTATTTTAGGAGGAATTAGCCCCTAAAATAAAAGCTAATACTAAAAGTTTAAAAAACCTTAATTAAAAAATATACTACCCTAATAATAAAAAGAAAGCTAACTTTTAAATAAAAGAAAAAAAAACTAAAATTAAAATATAGAAAATAAAGCCTATATAAAAGTCTACTTAAATTTAGAAAAAATAAAACTAAGTTTAAAAACCTTTACTTCACTTTAAATTAATTTATATTATAAAACTTTAAAAATATATATATATAAAACTAATTTATACTAATATATATATTAAAATAACTTAAATACTATTATTAAAATATAAAATAAAATAAATAAATAAAACTATATATTATATCTTTATTATAACCCTTAAATACTATAAATTAAATAATAAAAGAAATAATAATCTTAATAAAACTAAATAATATATTAATAACCTCCCTTTAAAACTAACTTTATAAAATAAACTTAAAATAAACCCTTTAAAAATATATAACTTAAAGCTATATATTATAAATTTAAATTACTAATAAAACTAAATATATAAAAATAATTAAATAAAAAAGACTACTTTAAAATTACTCCCTTTAAAATAAATATATAAATATAAACTTAATAAAATAATTACTTAATTTTATTTAAAATATATATATATATTTAAAAGACCTTTAACTACTTTCTATAATTAAAAGTATATATATAACTATACTTATAATAAAAACTTTTAAATAATAATAACTATTACTACTTACTTTAATTTAAAGACTATATAATTAAATATAACTATTATATTCCTAAATACTAAAAAGAAAAGGTAAAAACCTATTTTTTATAAACTATTAAATAAATTTAAAAAAAATAAAAAATATATTAAGCTTAAAAAAGCCCTATATAAGCTAAAAGACTCTTTACTTCTTTAATATAAAGAATTTATATTAACTCTAATTAATTTTAATCTAAAACTATTCTTAAAAAAACCATACCTTTTTATAAATTTAAAAACTAATCTTATAATACTCTTTTATATAAATAATATCCTTATCTTATACCTAAAGGAGCAATAAACCAAATTTAAGCATATAAAGAACAAAATTAAAATATAATATAAAGTTAAGAACTAAAAACCAGTAAAATAGTTTCTAAATATATAAATACTTTAAAATAAAAATAAATAAATTATTACTTTAATTTATAACTTATATATTAAAAAATTATTTAAAAATTTAACTTATAAAACAACCCTAAGGTCTTCTTATATACTTTAATAATACTTAAAAACTTTAAACCTTTTAAAAATAAACCTTAAAAAGGAAATTAAAGTATACTAAAAATAAATAAAGTCTATATTATATATTACAATTATATTATACCTAAATATAACTTTTACTTATACTAAACTTTTAAAATACTTATAAATCCTAAACTAAAATACCTTAAAATAGTAAACTATATAATTAAATATTTATATATAACCTAATTTTAGAAATTTAATATAAAAATATAAAAATATAAACCTTAATAATTATTAAAAATACCTTATTTATAAATAATTAACTAAATTATAAATCCTTATAAAGGTATATTATAACCTTATTTAAAAACCTAATTTAATAAAAATAATAAAATAAATAACTATATTAACTTTAATTATAAAGTAAAACTATTAATTTTAAATTTACTATAAAAAGATAATAACTTTAAAAACTATTTAAAAATATTTAACTAAACCTAAATAAATTATAAATAATCTACTTAAATAATTAATAAATTATATAACTAATAATATATAAAACTAAAAGACTTAATATTAAACTATAATATATTAATATTTAATAAATATAACTTAAATAAAAATATAAATATAATAGCTTTAATATAATATACTTAAAAATATTAAAAATACCTATTAATAAACTTATTAAAATACTTTATATATTTATTTTAAATAATTTAAAGCTTACCTAAACTTAAAAATATATAAAAATAATAAAATAATAATTAATTTAAAAGAATTATAAAACTATATTTTAAGCTTTTAAAATATTTAAAAATCTAATTTCTAATTAAATTAAAACCTAATATACTTAAAAACCTATAATTAAAATACCTTTATTAAACTAAATTAACCCTTTTAATATATCTAATTTATATAAAATACTAAAAGTATAAATAAAACTAAAAACTATATTTAAAATATATACTCCTAATAATATTTAAAAATTAAAAAGGATATTTATTTTTAATAAGGCTTTTAAAGTTATAAAAAGCTTAGTTATAAAAGTTTTAACTTTATTATTAACCTTAATACTATTAATATACTTAAAAGATTCTAATTTAAATATTTAAAAATTAAAAGCCTTTTTAGCTTTAAAACTAATTATATTTTTTAAACTATATATAACCTTAAATATAATTTAAACCTTATTATAGATAGTTTTAAGCTTAATTCTTAAAACTATAATAATATTATTCTTTATAATAAAAATAAATACTTTATTAATTTTATTATAAGCTTTAATAACCTAAAATATAAAGATTTTTATAAGGGTATAAAAGGCTTATATTTATTATTACCTTTAAAATAATATAAATAATATATATTACTATTAAAATACTTAAAGTAATTAATTAAACCTTTAAAATAACTATAAAATAAAGAATTTATATAATAGATATAAAGAATCTTATATATATTATTCTTTATTATAATATTAAATTTAATATACTCTTATAACTAAACTTAATATACTTAATATAAATAATTTTAAACTACTTATTGCTTAATAATTTTAACTTATTAATTAGCTTTAACTATAATAAAAATATTAAATAAACTTAAAATATACTTTTAAATATATAAAATTATATACTCTTAAAAATAACTAATATAAACTTATTAATAATCTTTTAATATACTTAATAATAGAATACTTAAAAGATAACTTATTATTATTATTAATTATAGTATACTTTTTAAGGTACTTAAAGTAAGGAATAATAGAAACTAAAATAGGTTTTTTATACTTACTACCCTTAATAAAAGCTATAATAAATAAATTTAATAAAATTAATTTTAAAAGTATTTTAAAATAAAAATTAATATAAAATAACCTTAAAAATCTAAATTCAAGATTTATTTTAATAAAATAAAGTATACTATAATAATAAGGGTGCCTAAAAAAGGAAAATATAATAGTAAAGGAAGGAAAGAAGGTTAAAAATTAATCTATATAAATAGCAAAAGGTAAAAAGGCCAATATAAGGCCCGTATACATCCAGCAGGCAAATAAATAAAGTAACAATAAGCCTATAGTAGTAACTATTACTAAAGGAAGTATAGAGAATACACCCCTAACCCTGGTTTTAAACCTAGTCCAAAGCGACTACAAAAGGCATTACGAGGTTAGAAGGACCATTACTAAGAGACTTAGACCTTAGACAACTCAATTTACACCCTATAGACCAAATCGTTATTCCTCTACAAAATGCACCTGGACACAACTCCGAGCCCGTGGAGGAAGCAGAAAAGTCGCCAGACTCGCCGCACAGTAAATGGGAATAATCGTGGCGGCCATGAAACAGGCGATGTCAGTTTTGTTGCCGCTCAATGATTGTGCTTCAATTCCGGCGACGGAGATCCGAGATTCGGTACTTTGTCCGGGGAACCGGCGGACCCGACCCGGCAGACTATCTACCGGATTTCCGGCTTGGTCTCCACACGCAAGATGTTCGCCGACTTGAAGCAATCCACCTGTCCATATAATCATGTGTCCAGGACATGTCGTAGAATGGCGGTAACTCACAATTCTGGCCGTCTTGGCAGTCCTTTGCAGTGATTCCACCAGAGAAAATGACAATTCACCCGAAGCCGAGCAGTGGCCAGGGGGAAGAGGTGGAATTCCCCCATATCATCTGCCGCGGATCACCAAGAGAAGTTTGTCCCCATTGCCTCCTTGCCGACACACTGACGACTCAAATTTCGTAGATTGGCTACCACCATGGCCAGAATGCAGCCACCCAAATACGGTCAACTATTGCGTTTTACACCAAGGTGTTTGAAGGAAGCCTCAAGATTCCCTGGGAACGTGCTGTTGTCGTCGCAAAAAGGTTCTTGCCGATGCTGGAGAGCGAGGTACCGGAACTGGTCGAGGAGATGATAGGTGCGTGCTGCTCGCTGCTCTTGCGAGGCGACCCCCCATTGCTCTGTTCGTGACATCGGAGGCTAATAATATTGTCTTAGGCGTTGCCGAGGGCGCATCGCTCTCGTTGGAAGATATCTTGGTGTTGAATACGCGGAGTGAGATCATGTTTGGGAATGCGGGAGACGGATGTACGGCCTTTTCATGGAAGTCACCAACCACGTCAAGCTCCTGGCTGGCGCAGAATTGGGATGTGCGTCGCCTCCTGTTCCCCCGCCCCCATCCGAGAACGAGGCAACGGAGCTGACGAGGCCCGTAGTTCCACCTCTCCGCCCGCGAGAACCTCATAGCCCAAACCATCATCCGGTCGTCTGATGACGCCCCCGTCATTTCTCAAATCATCGAAGCCGGCATGCTCGGGAAGATCGGGCTCAATTCAGCCGGGGTGGGAGTAGGCCTCAACGCGATAGTAGCACCAGGGACCGATTTCAAGCGGTTGCCCGTCCACATCGCACTGCGCGCCGTCCTGGAGAACCGCTCTCGCCAGCAGGCTGTGGGATTTCTTGACCGGGTCGGTCTGGCGAGTGCATGTCACATTCTGGTGGCCGATGCCGCAAGTGGCGGCGTCGGCCTCGAGTTCAGTGCTGTGGATTGCGTGAGCTTGGAAATGGACGCGAGGGGGATCGTGACACACACGAACCACTTCCTGCGCCCGCATGCGAAGGGGCTGGTATCCCAGGTCAGCTTCGCGACCCAGATCCGGCTGAGCCGTGTTAATGAGCTCTTGCGGGAGGTACAGGGCCAGGAGGCGAACAGGGGTGTGGTCGAGGGGATCCTGGCGGACGAGCTGTACTGGCCCTATTCTATCAACAGGTCTGCGGGCAAGGAGACGCCCGCCGTGACGCTTTTCAGCATAGCGATGGACTTGGATAGGCGGGAGGCTACTGTGAAGATTGGCCGGCCTACTGAGCCCATTGCCGAGTTGGTCCTCACTCCTGGCTTGCTCGGATCCGAGTCCCGGACTTAGATCATCCATTGCATAATGTTATATTTGGATGCTGAAGTATACAACCCTACATTGTGTGTTCAGAGCGCAGGGATAGTGAATAATCCTTCACGTCTGAATTCGGGTCTTTGTCAGCATCTCTCGCGCCGGGCGGTCGAGTCCATCTTGATCCACAGGTATCATACGGGTAGATGTAGCCGATGACCCTTCATATAGGCGGGTGCCTATCAACCGGTCGATGAGAAATCAACCACGGCCAGGTTCTTCCAAATTTCTTCGCGGTGGACCGGGCCGCAATCGTCCCTCGGTCACGCAATGACGGTTGATTGATTCTCGTGCAAGTGGTTTCGTTTTTTCTCGTGCAACGAGGAGTAGCCACTATATGGATGAGGCACATATATATTATCATCGGATAAATGAGGGTATTCAATGACATCCAGATTAGTTCGCTACACCTAGTAACCTCTCATTCAAGAAGTTGCACATCGCATCCAACCCCTCCTTCGTAGCTTCCGCAAACGGGAAGGACAAGAACCCATGCGTGGCGTGCTTGACGATCCTCAACAATGCCTCGTTACCCGCCGCCGCCCATCGTCCCGCCATGATCAACGAGTCGTCCAGCAGCAGATCGTTGGTCCCGACCACGAAGACCGCAGGCGGCAAGCCACTGAGGTCAGACAATTTCTCGTAAACCGGCGAACACTCGGGCTGTTCAACGAGCGACTTGTCATTGCCAACGTAGGCGTCAACCAAAGCCTCCAAAAAGGTGCGGTCGATGGTGTCGTGCGTGTCCCGCAAACGCGCCGACGGCGTGAGAGACAAGTCATAGCATCCATAGGCCAAGAGCATGGCCCGAATGCTCCCGATCGCGACTTGATAACCGGCCGCATGCTCCCGGCGCAGCCTCATCAGGGCACAGAGCGCTAATCCGGCTCCCGCGCTGTCGCCGGCCAGGGCGAGCAGTTTGCCCCCGAGAGCCACCTCCCCCTCATCGGATACGGCGTATAGCAAAGCCGCGACGGAGTCCTCGATGGCCGCCGGGAAAGGATGCTCGGGCGCGAGACGGTAGCCGAGGCTGACGGCGCAGAGACCGCTCTCGTCGGCCAGGTGAGCAAGGAGCTTGTCTTGCGTCGCTTCGCTCTTCATGCACCATCCTCCGCCATGGATATGCAACAGTACGCCTCTGACCGGGCGGTGGGCCGGTACTATCCGTCGCAAGGGTAGGGGAGGCGTCCCAAAATACGTCGTAGTTGCCCGGTCGCTCAGCACCGGGGCCTTTGATGAGAATTGTCTCAGGTCGCGGATGGCATCGCTATCAAGCACAGCCGGTGGAGGGGGCCGCGCTGCAATGGCGTCGACAACGGCAGTTCGAGCCGCAGCTTCGGCGGGGGAAAGTGTGCTCGGGATGAATGTGGCTGTCACCATTTTTCATCGACGAAGGGGTCCAGTCTGGGGTTGTATTGTGGTTGTTCTAGAACCATCTTGGAGGATGGCTGCGCCTTTTAAGGGCAATAATAGTACGGAGTAAGTGGCTACGATAGTGCATGTAGGGTAGCAATGCACAGTACCGTTCCATAATATCTTTTCCGGGCTCACTACCACTCACCCCGGACCACATTTCCTCGTCCGTCTCACGGAATACGCCTCGTCTCACCCAATCGGAGGACCATGAAGGCAGCCACTACCGAGACCAGCCCGCTACCCATCAGTATCCACGACATGCCATACACTGCCGAACCCGAATCATCGCCATCGCCAGTTATGCCAAAAATGATGGTCCCCTCCAACGAAGCCAATATCTGCGGAGCCGCTATGAACACGTTGTGAATGCCGAGAACAGCACCTACCGTTCCACCATTGCCATTGCCGTGGTTCTCGCTCATCATTTTCACCTGCACGCTGATGAGGGCGAACGGGAGCCACTGCGTGACAGCCCAGCTGAATCCGATGAAGCCCACGGCCACGATCATGACTGTGGTTGACTCGGTTACCAGTAAGGTGTACAGACCTACACTGAACACGACCTGCGCTGTAAACCATGTATTGCGATGGGTAACCCATGAAAACAACCCTCCATGACGGCTGCGAGGACTGGATGAAATGCACGACAGCAGCTGGGGGAGGAACAAAGAGTTCAAGAGGGCGCTGACCGACAGGGTCAACAACGAAAGTGCTCCGTAGCGGTCAGCCGACGCGCTGAGGCTGGCAAGTTGAGCAGCAGAGAGATACGCATCTTGCGACACGATACTCGCAAGATCTAGAGAGATGATTAGAACATGCGTCCAAAAAAAAAAAAAAAAGGATCGCTGGGAATCCTGGAGAGGTTCATTTGCGGTCTGCACATACAAGATTTTCCCACGTAGCTACTAACGTACAGCAGAAACGGGAACCAGGCAAACCAGGAGAAGAATTGGACTGCATGTATGCGGTTGACCTGCGTCGGGAGTGTGCGGACCACATTCAACATTCCTCGGAGAAAGCCTGTGGAAGATGTCGGCTTCTCCGCGGCAGTATTGCTGCTCGAGATGGATGCCGAACTACTTGTTCCAAGGCAGGTGATGGTCGACGTGACGAAGAGCACAGCACACCCCAGAACGGCCAGGCACTTCAGTTGCGTGTTGCCAAAGAACGGCAGCAGAGGGGGCAAATCGACATAAGAGAACAGATACGAGCAGATGCTGGCCGTGTTGACTACGCGACTCGCCCATGCGTTCGCCCGTAACTGCGTACTCTGCGGACATTCGTCGACTATGAGTGCCCGCGCACCACTCTGAATAGCCTGGGCCGAGACGTTGATTGCCAGGATGGACAAGCCCGCCAGCACTTTGTTAGTCGCCCACGCAAAGCTCAAGAGGGATATTGCGAGTCCGATGCTACCCAAGATGATGAAGGGCTTCCTCTTTCCGATGGCGGTGGAGCAGTTATCGCTCCAGAATCCGAAGCAAGGTTGTAGAAGCGCTCCGCATATGGGCGGTGCCAACCAGATGAGCCCGACCAAGGGCGGACTAATCCCAAGATTGAGAAGATGGATCTAGAGCCCGGATTAGCTGGGCCCTCGAGCGGAAAGAGCAGAACCCTCACTTACCGTTCCGTTTGCAAACTGGATCGAGAACGCCATTTGCAATCTACACGATCCGGTCAGTGATATCGGACTTAGCTAAACCGAATTCGCATAAACACTTACCCCCCAATGCAAATCGTCAGCTTCAAAAGAGAAGCCCAGCTCATGTCATCCTCATCATCGTCCCGGATCGTGAGCTCATTGCTCAGCAGTGCCTTTTCGCATATCTCAACATCGGAATCCTCATCGTCTTCCTCCGACAAAGGAGATGAAGGGAATGCGTGCCGCAGTTCCCCCAGGTCGACACCTGCCCTCTCTTGGGAAAGGGAGAATCTAGGGACTGCACCTGTTGGCATTTTCAATTTGATGCTCAGTGTAGATGATGCTGATGTAGGCGCGAGATTCAACAGGTCGGTCAGCGGCCCTGCTAGTAATAGCTGACATCAAATATGGCCCCAAGAACTACTTATCTCGGTGATCCGTCCGTACTAGTTCTCTCGGAAGCCCAATCGGCAAATGACACCTGGGCAGCCTCGGATCCGGACAGAAGCTTTCCGAGCCCCAGCCTTGCCACCACCCACTCATCCGGATCGCCGGCTGCACTTGCTGACAGGTTAACCCCCTGTTTGGGACTAATGCATCATTCACTGCACAAGTGAATCGCCTGAATTTCGTTCACGGTACATCATAACCATGAGAAAAGTTTTCCCGTCCTTTTAGGACATTCATTGCCGTTCTAGCTGAGTAGAGGAACCCAAAGAATACAAATAGTCTACACTCATGGTATTAGTCAATGGCCATCACCAGTCATGAAAAGTCGAGGGTCCTTAGAAGTGGTTAATGACCAATTAATCTCTTCTCGACTAGCTAGAAACAACAATTCCAAAAGCAATCCAGCAATGACTTTGAGAATGGTAACTGGATCTTCCGTCGCATGCCTCCCTCGCTCAAAAGCAAACCATGGGTGAGAACCAGTGAATGGTAGATTTGGGCGTGGGAATGATCGCCGTTCCATTGACAGTAAAGGCATGAGCGTCCACAACGTCCAGACAGTGCACTAGGTGTTCGTCATCGAAATCCTTGGGGCACAGGCCCCATCCCCTCTTGTGCGCCCAGTAGAATCGCCGCAGCGTCAGAGCACAGTGGGCAAAGTGGTATCCCTCCCCAGTGGGGATAATCGTCCCGTAGTCTTCCGGGGGCGGGTAGCGCCCGTTTCCGAACAGCCGGGCCAGCTCGGGCACCTCCTCTTCGATCCACTTGAGCCTGGGCAGCTCTTCGGCGTCGTACTGGGTGGAGGGGACGAGGGCACCGATGTCGCTGCGCAGGTGCCACTCGTTGAGGTCGTGGGTGGAGGACCATTCGGACCAGTTGGCGGCCTGGAAGAAGTTGTCCTGGGCCGGCCGGTGGTATTTCGTGATCCTGTAGGAACCGAAACTGAGGAAGGCGGAGAGGCTCGCGGCGCTGAGACAGATCGCCAGTACCAGGCTCAGGAACAGGAACAACATCCGCGATCTCCGGCTCCTCGTCTTGGCCGGCGGCGCTGAACCCAGGAAACTGTAGGAGGAAGAGCCCCCGCGCGCCTTTCCGCCGGGAAGAATCGCTCTCGTGAAGCGTCCCCAGGCCGTCACCGGCTTGGGCGCGACGGAAAAGTCTTTGAGCAATCGCCGTTCTTCCAGGTCCTGCCGCGCGCGAAGCGAGATAGAATGGGTCCTCAAGAGCGCCGTGTTGATAATGCTCAGAACAACAACGTAACTCGAAGAGGGTATCGCACTCATATCATCCTTGGCATCCACCTGGCGGTCGGCCTCAAAACCCAGGACAATGGAGTTCTGAGCATGACAGTCGCTCTGGAAGACGGAATTGAGGAAGTCTGTAGCTGCTTCAACCGCATCCTCGACGGACGAGCTTGAGTACAGGGTGTCTAGGTCGCTTGTTCTTGCGGCCCAGAGCATCAGGGGGATGGATTTGTGGTCGTAACTTGCTTCCAGCATCAACTTTGTGACTTGGTCGGAGCTTTGACTGTTGGGGGTCTGCTGGACATCCTCGAAGAGGGTGTCAAGGGTGCAGGGGAGGTTCCTCGACGTCTTTTCCAAGCCTGAATCACCAGGAGACAGGATCTTCAGGGTGAGCATCGTGATAGCAGTCTAGTTAGGTGCAAGGGGAGAGTATTGTGGTCAGGCCTATGTTGTGCCTCCGCCCAGCATTGGACTTTTTGTTGAAGATTGGTAGCGGAGCTTCAGGAAACCTTCGTGTATTTGCGGAGCGAGGTATGCTGCCAATATCCATGAAGGGTGTGTTTTTGGGAGCCGATCGGTCCGGCGATTGCTCATTCACCACTGTAATCGTTCGGTTCGATTTCTACTTCCTCCCGTGTGTGGGGGGGGGGACCACTCTCGGAGTTCGGTAACAGTACCTCATGCACCTCGATGCAGTTTACTGGGTATTTAGCCGACTTGACTACGATGCAACTAAGAACCGAAGAGCACACTTAGGTTCACACCCGCTTAGCACGGAACAGATTGTTGACTTTTTTGAATCTAAATTATGCAAGTGTTCTAGTAAGTGATTTATGTTATAATCCGTGTTTGTATGCTTCTTGAGCAGAATGTAGAAAATCCCTTCCTACAGTTGTAAAAGCCCAGCGTAAAAATAAATAAATTGAGAATAGAAGAATTTTGTGACCTCGAATATGGCACGTGGTCCTTGTTCTAGTCATAGGTGGAGTAAATCAATATTGTAGCACACCAAACTTCCCAGAACTACATGGAGTCCTGTGTACGTCAAGGCTCTACGACTGAGAGCATAGAAATGATTAGAACATCCCATTACTCGGGGTTGAGGCTGTGGGCGAAAGAAAATCTGATCAATATCGTGCTGTGGGATTTCTTGCACATTTTAGGAGTGCCACGGCATCACTTTACTCAACCTAACTTAGACATCCCGTGAACAAAACTTCATGAACGGAACGATAGAGCCAGGGAAAGAGCTCAAGCCATGGACAGGATCAGTTAGGGAAAAGGTACTATTATCACTAAGGTAGCTAATAGTGGCTGGAAGCTGACCGTGGCACGCTGCCAACCACAAGTGAATATCTATAGTAACCTTGACAATTTCAGCCCGACCGTCTAACACTACCGTTAAATGATTGTCCAATAGCCCAGAATATCACCTCCACCAACAAGGGAAAGGGGCCACACGTGGCCAATTGGCATCGCCTTCCCTGACTAGATGCCTTGCTGGATAGGCCAACAAGAGAAAGAAGTAGCAGAAGACATGAGTCTGAGCGACTCATTGAAGTCTCTTGACTCGAGCAGTCTGTGGTCTCCAGCCATATGACCAGGTTGCGGAGCCTGTGGATGTCTTTGCAGGCTGGCCGCGTGGAAGAACCAAAATCTGGTCGATTTTGGGTCTGATGTTGGTCGCTAGATCTGATACTTCTTAAGCGCTGGTCTCGGGCTCGGAGACGATGATGTTGCGCTTGTTGGTCTCAGGCTCGGAGACGATGATATTGCGCTTGTTGGTCTCAGGCTCGGAGACGATGATGTTGCGCTTGGCCTCAGCAACTTCTGGCTCAGATACAATACAATGATGTTGCGCTTAGCCTCAGCAACTTCTGGCTCAGACACAATGATGTTGCGCTTGGCCTCGGCGGTCTCAGGCTCAGAAACAATAATGTTGCGCTTGGATTCAGCAACCTCAGGCTCAGAGACGATGATGTTACGCTTAGCCTCGGCAGCTTCTGGCTCAGAGACGATAATGTTACGCTTAGCGGCGACTGTCTCGGGCTCGGAAACAATAATGTTGCGCTTGGCCTCAGCAGCTTCAGGCTCAGAGACGATAATGTTACGCTTGCTGGCAACCTCGGGCTCGGAGACGATGATGTTGCGCTTGCTGGCAACCTCGGGCTCGGAGACGATGATATTGCGCTTGGCACTAGCAGTCTCGGGCTCAGACACAATAATGTTGCGCTTGTTTGCAGCCTCTGGCTCGGAGACGATGATGTTGCGCTTGTTGGCAGCCTCGGGCTCGGAGACGATGATGTTGCGCTTGTTGGTAGCCTCAGGCTCGGAGACAATGATGTTGCGCTTGTTGGCAGCCTCAGGCTCGGAGACAATGATGTTGCGCTTGTTGGCAGCCTCGGGCTCGGAAACAATGATGTTGCGAGCTGGGAGGACAGCGGCAGAGGCGAAGCTGGTGGCCAAGATGGCAGAAACGATAGCTTGAGTGAACTTCATGGTTCTGGTGTTGGTGATATTCTGGCTTGGAGAGCGTGAAAGAGGCTTTTGCAGTAGTACACTGTTGGACTGATCAAGTGGGCTGATTGTGGTCTGATCAAAATTCTGTAAACTCGTATGGTCGTCGTTATTAGTACTAATTTTGGACCTCCAGCTTCATGGGCATGGCTTCGGCAAGGCTTTCCGTGGGCTCGATGTCGTGCTCGGAAATGCCCTTGGCTCGGACAACCAGATGTCAAAAGAAGACAGAGGCAAGTCAGAACCGGTGAGATGCAACCTCTGGTCGGGGTGCAGATGGTTTCTCAGTTGCGTTACCGAAACAGAGCAAAGCTCGTCGGGATCGGTATTGAGATTTAGCCAGTCACCTGACAAATGTGCTTTGCCGATGGCTTCCCACGGTGCATTCCGCTCTCTAATACGATTTCGTACGAACCGCAATCCCTTCGGCTCGAGCCGAGGGTTTGTTGGTGTTGGATAGAGCACAGTGGAATCCTAAGCAGTGACCTCGTAGGTGGCAAACATGAGACCATGGCGCAAAAATGCATGCGAGACTCATACGCAGATGCTAGTAGATCTTGAACGGTATATTTGGCATGGATTCGCGTTATCGCGAGGGTACCTAGCAATGTAGTGGCTATGGACAGCGCGCTGTGTGACAACTCGATTGATCTTCGTGAGTCCTCTCTCTAGACGCTCACTCAAATGACGCGGCTGTAGTGGGTTGAACACAAACGTCTAGAGGACGCAACCTAAATTTCCAACCAATATATCTAGGTAGAAACTTAGACTTAATCGAAAATCAACGTGTCCAAGGATCCGAATCACAGGCGAGCGGTGGCCCAGTGTTGTCAATCCATCCCCAGTCCACGGAAACCACTGAGTCCCCCCCCCCCCCAAAAAAAAAAGAGGAATCCCTCAACAGCTCATCAGCTCCACGATGCCCTCTGCCGTCATTCCCTCAGCGTCTTTACCTGTGAGTTCGTCCATTATAACGCTTTCACAGTGCTTGGTGTGGTGATAGTCTGCAAGTCCCTCCGCCATGCGGCCGGAGTTCAGCATAACAGCGCGATGCATCTTCTTCCACTGAAATAGGCAATGGACGCTGTGCCACCGCTGTGACATCCATATGTGTTCGTCAGCGTCCACTGTTCGCGACACCTCCTCCAGGGTGAGCTCTCTGGTCTTGTTGGGGTCAGAATAATACGTCCAGGGGCCTGCTTGGTGGAAGAGCTCCGTGATTTCGTGGTCCTGACACGCCTGGGGAAGCCAGCCCAGTTCAAGCTCATTGTAGGTGCAGCCAAGCGCTTCGGCCTCGGCAGTTGTGCTGCCACAGTGGAACCTGGCCGCAGGGATGGCGGATTGATGGACAGGTTCTCTGTCGTAGGTCGAAACCAGCTTTGATGCAACCCCTAATCCGGCAGTCACAACAAAGACAGCTGCGGCAGTGCACAGAAGCACGAAAGGACGTATGCCTCTTCCTCGGGAAGTCCATTTTGGTTGTCGCCAGTTGGACGCATCTGCTCTCTCGGTCCAAGATCCTGGCGAGATTGACCCGTCCTCGTCAAGACGAGATGATAGGGGTGTAGACTTTTCCTTTGCAACGAGTTAGCATACTGGCCATCATCTCAGTTTCATGTACTAACGGCGAGCTGAGGCATTTTTGTGCTTGAGACTATTTGGGGCTTAGATGATGCTCAGACCTATTGTCGTGGATCTTGGTGAAATCTGAAAGAGAGTGGAATGGTGCGCGCTAAGCATTCGAGCCCTGGAGAGGCGTTGGTCTGGTACAGAGTAGATCATTAAGCCAGCTTCGGCAAACTCGGTGGAAACTCTTGATCCGAGAATTGCTGGTGTGGGCTGATTCCGGACTTGTATCCGATGGGGTGCCTAGGCCTAGGTATGCGTATAAGCCAGCTCCGCAGAAAACCGTCGCCTCGCCTGCGTCTTCCTGACAACGTGCGAAAGTTGAATGAACCTTTCGTCTCTCTTCTCCCATCTTCGTCTCAGGTAATCTCCATCCAAAATGGTCTTCGGATTCCAACAATTCAAGATGGCCTGGGCTGGGAAGGCTCGAGGTCCTGCTCGGTCCGAGAAGCAAGAGTATTCTGCCCTCCAGGCCACGGATTCTGACAACGAGTCCCTTGAAAATGGCATAAAGTATAAGTGAGTGGTTCATGCGAAAGGAAAATGGGAAGTCAATCACTGATTGGGGCCAGGACAGCCAAGGGAACCCGTGGTATGCAGATATTCTCAGTGGCTCTTTTGGCGACTTCATGCGTGTGGATGGGGTGGTCTCTTCATTCATTCTACTCCCCGCACTCTCATTTCCAACGCGTCCGGCATGCAGGGGTGCCCAATTGTGAGTTAGCACTTGAGTCTGATCTCTGTTCGGCCGTTGTTGACTAGACTCCTCAGATGTCACCGATCCCGTCGTGTCGGAAGTCTTCATGATCGATCCACTATTCAACCTCGAGCGAACTGACAAGGAGAGTGAGGATGCTTGGCTGGCATATGAGTCGCGTAAGAGAGACACAGAAGCTCTTGGAATGCCGGCCCCAGTAGCATAGCGAGCTGACATACGAAATCATCTACTAGGCTTCGTTGAGATTGATGAACCAGAGCAATACGGCCTTCCTCCATCCACCCAATTGGTCGAAGGTGGCCCACATGCGTACTCCCTCGCCGCCTACCACCAACTGCACTGCCTGTGAGTTAAGAGCCAGTCCTTCTTCTTGCCCCCTCTCGAGCTTCCCTTGCTCATCAAGGTACAGCGCCGTTGTACGCTTCGCCTGGCACACGCTCCTCAACAACGGCTCGGCAGCGTTGGAGCAACCGTTCCCTGGCCAGGCACACTTCAGCGAAGGCTACACCATCGGCTCGCACATGGGTCATTGCGTGGAGATCATCAGACATGCCTTGACCTGCTACGCTGATGCTACTCTCGAGCCACTTTTTCAGGAGGACGGTATTCACCCCTCAAAAGAGATTGCTAGTGGATGGGGCGTACACCACACCTGTCGGAATCTTGATTCATTGACCAGCTGGGCGGACTCTAAGAGCATCCACATTTATGCCAAGGGCGATCTCAACGGCTGAGATCGACGCCAAGAGATTAGTCGGGGCCGATCGGGGCCGATCGGGGCCGATGTCGAGCTGAAATTAGTGCAGCGCCAGTTACTCCATACTTCTCAATACTTTCATTTGGTAACAGAACAATGGTTTGCAGAAGTAGAGTGGAAAGTCACTCTTTAAAGTCTTGCATAGCGAATATCACTGTTATCATCTATAAGACACATTGTTCCTTGTCCTCATAGGGCACTTATTGCCGTTCCAGCTTAGTAGAGGAACTCAAAGAATACAAACAGTCCATACTGCTCATTTGAATTGCATCTTGTCCAAGTGCCAGTATCATCATACGGACGACGATATTTCAGAATTCTACCGTGTCATGAATCCCTCCGTCATAATCTTCTTGTCCCAAGAACTCAAGTGCCAGCCTTTCATTTACCCCAGCGATCACTTTTCGCCACGTGACAATCATCTGGGTCCATTTTGCGGTAGCTGCTTATCAGCTCTCCTCCGCCGAGCCAATTCGACCAATGGGAGGTTCGGGTTTCCCGGAAGCTAGCCACTTTGCCCGGTTTGTTGCCAACCAAGCACTTGTAGTGGTACCTTACCGATGGGGGTTTCCGAATTCCGATCCTTCGTACCGCTTGAAGTATGTGGCCCAAGAAAGAGATGACTGGTTTACTGCCCATCAGTAGCTCCGGGGGCTCGTGGATGAATGTTGTTGACCAAGTTATCCTGTCTCGTCACCATACCACGAACACCCAGCCGTGTTGTGACATTACTGTTGCTTCGAGATATGGACCATCATGATTCACCAAGCCTGGAGGACCTCTCGATGCCTCTAAATGGAGACACATACGAAGAAAAGGCTTTCCTGTCGCCCGTTCGAGATTACACAAGTCGGCCGAGAAAATGGTCGCGCTCGCAGGCCTTGCATCTCACCCTTGACCTCTTCCTCCTGGCTCTCATCGGCCTCCTAGCTTCATCGCTATGGAGCGAGAAGTCTAAAGGAGTTCAACCAAGACGAAGTCTTGGCGAGGATATGCATGGCTTCATACCTAAGGGTAATGACTTCTCTACGCCCATCGTTTTAAGAAGGTTGGAAACTAATGCTGAACAGAAACCGGAGCCACCTTGAAGCCCGTCCGATTTGGAGAAGTTGAAGGCGACCCCTACTGGCTGGGTAATGATGTTTTTGATAATATGACAACACTTCAACGCAGTCTTGCGGAGTGGGACAAACTATGGCGCTGTATGGAATGCTTTGCCTCCCACACCCTTTTGAGTACTAGCTGAGTTCTAACGCCATCATTTCAGATGGTTACGTCTTCACTGGCGGCGATTTGCACGAAAGCTCTCAGTATCCCCAACATAGTGAGCTGGGCGATGTCTTCACGGTGGCGGCACCACATCAAGTGCATTGTCTGGTATGTTCCCTGCCAAACAATGCTGTCTCGCGGAAAGCTGGACTCATGAAACTGACCGAGATCGCACCGCAGGGCGCAATCCTTGCAGACAACGGCGCTGTTCGGAACGGCCTGCCGCCAACGGCGGATGTTGAACACATCATCCATTGCTTCAACTACGTTCGACAAACACTCATGTGCTTTGCGGACGCTACCACTGAAGGACACGGATATGAGGACCCTGACGGTCCAGTTATTGGCGTTGACCATATGTGCCGGGACTACCATGCTCTTCGGAGCTGGGCTGATGAGCCATCAAGAGTGTTTCCAAAGAACGGCACAGTTCAGCCGTATTAGACTCTACTATATTGTCGTATCGCACAGGTAGAGCGATATTTGAAATATAGGAGAATCGAAACAATTTTTCGTGTTGTTTAAAGTTTTGATTTTGACGGTATCACCAGTCGAACACGTGGCTGGTGAAAGCGGGAAGATACCTAGGTATCTAACATTGAATGTCTTCCC